AATTGAATGGAGGCTACTTAAACTCATGATGCTCATGCCTGCAACGTGTCTGCTTATTACTATAATTAGAAGTTACTTGAGACCAATGTTATTGTGGTATGGGAACTCTGTGTTGCATTAATATTTTGTGTCAATATCTTGCAGGAGACTTGCCATATCATTTTCATCATATTCCATATTGGCTCCACAAACTCTCTTCATCATATCTGCACACACACAAATATAGATAAATATGTACCAAACTATATGTTAAATGCATCAACACAAATTCCTCTTCTGGTATTGAGGGATGGGTATGATCATATTATCATATATTGCAATGTTATGGGGCTAAAAGAATGCAGATTATTTATCAGTAGTGGATTTTGATTTATTGAGTAGAAACTGCATACAATTAAAGGAAATAAACAAGGCTTGTGTATGCATTAACGACATAGACAATGACGTTTTGGTGTCTTAAAAAGAGTTATTGCATCTTCTATCTATAATTGAAGAAATTTCTTTACATTTGACATTAAACTAATTAGTCCACTAGCGCCGCTAACAATTTAATGTGTCACAAACAAACAAACTTCTCACTTTGATACATAAAAATCTTTTAGTATCAAATTCCCGCAGCTCCATTTTTCTTCTTTCTTCCAGATTCGGTCATCATAATTCATTTTTTTTGAAATCTCAATCAATTGTAGAAAATGCAAATCTCAACTAAAATTTTCCCAAGATTAAAAAAAAAAGTCAGAATAATGGACATTATTTAGTACTTGTTTCAAAATTAAAAGTTAAAAGTAGCTGTTGACAAAAAAAAAACTGAATTTGTTCACAAATTGTTCAAATTTCTTTTTAAAATCGTTCTTTTACTGAAAATGAATAAATGTAATAAAAACATAATCCAAAAAATAAAGAGTAAAGTTTCGACACATGGTACAATTTGATTAAGGGAGAATTTCTGAATATGACTCAAAACTTGAATTGAAATGTAAAATTAGAGCTCCTATTGCATGTTTGACAAAAATAACTCACAGGGGTAGTAAAATTACAATTTTAACTCTTATGACCAAACAAAAAAACACCAACATCAATTACTATTTTATCCCAGAAACGTCTACTACTTCTCCAAGATGTCTACTCTTTAATAATATGTTTACAATTAATTTTAAAAATCATAAAAGATAATTTGATAAAAAAAAAATTAGATATATAACAACAAATATATACTTTTTACACCTATTAAAAATAAAATTTGACAGAAAATAATCAATTTAAATCATCATAGATAAATTATGATAAAAATCAATACTAAGAAACTTCTCGAGTAGACTTCTCGGTTTCTCGAGTAGACTTCTCGAGTAAACTTCTTGGAGAAGTCTACTTACACATATTTTTTTCTACATATATAAGGAGAGTTTAACCTAATTGTATTAACAATAAAGTCTCTCTATATCTAAAAAACCGCCTCTCTCTCTTCTCCCTTCTCTCTAGCCATGAATTTCTTCTCCTTCCTCTCTTGCTATCAATATCCTCTCCATCCTCTCTATCTTGCATTCAACCTCCTCTCACTTGCAGGTTATGGTAGTGGTAAGCAAATCTGAGCTTTTGTGTTCCTCTTTTTGTTTGCTTTGTGTTCATATTGCAAATCTGAGCTTATTATTATAGATTTGAGCTTATTGTTGTAGATCTAAGTTTATTTTTGTAGATATGAGTTTATTGTTGTATAAATTTTGTAGATTTTGTTAATTTTTTGTTATTATTGCAAAGCTGAATTTTGTTGATTTTTGTACAGATCTGAATGTTATAAATATAGTAGATTATTATTATAGATCCGAGCTTATTAGTTTAGAATTGAGCTTATTGTTGTAGATCTAAGTTTATATTTGTAGATCTGGGTTTATTATTGTATAAATTTATTAGATTTTGTTCTAGATCTAAATTTTCGTTATTGTTACAGAGCTGAATTTTGTTGATTTTTTCTGCAGATCTGAATGTAGAAATTTCGAGTAGACTTCTCGATCTCGAGTAGACTTCTCGAGTAGACTTCTCGATCTTGAGCAGACTTCTCAAGCAGACTTCAGTTGCATACATCATTTTCAGAGATTTTAGTTTAGTAGTAATTTCTTATGCCAGTTTTAAGATTTATAACTAGTGATCCTTAAATGTTTGTTTGTTTAGATGGTTATTTTCTTTGTAATGTTGAATTGCATTGAATGTTTTGTATCAAATTCCTAAATTATCTATGTTTATCTATTCTACAAAATAGACTTCTCCTGTCTCGAGTAGACTTCTTAAAGACATTGACTTTACATAACTTATAAGTGATTCAGAGAGACATTTCTCCCATTTATATCATATAACTTGTCAACCGAGTAGACTTCTCTTGTCTCGAGTAGACTTCTCCTGTCTCGAGTAGACTTCTCATGTCTCGAGTAGACTTCTCATGTCTCGAGTAGACTTCTAAAAGACATTAATTTTACATAACTTAAATGTGATTCAGAGGGACATTTCTCTCATTTATATCATAAAACTTGTCAACCGAGTAGACTTCTCTTGTCTCGAGTAGACTTCTAAAGTAGACTTCTCATTGTCTCGAGTAGACTTCTTAAATACATTAATTTTACATAACTTAAAGGTGACAACATTCGTCCTCCTCTGCTATTCGCCCTCCTTTGCCAACATTCACCAAGAAGCTCACCATGTGTGCAACCATCTCTTAAGAACAACATTTGCCCTCCTATGCTATTATCCACCTCGAACTGCCACACTGATTCACTCTTAACCCATTCTCCATAAACAGCGGGTATGTGAGCCATTCTCTGTGAAAAAGAACAAAATCCAAACCACATTAGACATCAAAATTGCATAAGTAGACTTCTCTGAAAGTCGGATGAAGTCTACATAGTAGACTTCTAGAGTAGACTTCTTAGTCTACTCTTAATAAGCTAAATATCATATAAAACATGAAAACTCATTCGACTATACCTATAAAATATAAACATTCAAAACTTATACATAAGCAAGAAAACTTAATAACATAAGCTTAGGATCGCGAAAATCTTAAAAATTTGTTATATATTGTATAAAAATGATTTTTTTAAAAAAACAAGAAAAGTATACTTTTCGGATAAAAGTAGACTTCTCGCAGGTTAGTTTTGCAATTGCCAAAATATTAGTAGACTTCTCTATGAAAAGTAGACTTCTCCGAGATGTCTACTTTCGTAAGTAGACTTCTCGCAGGTCATTTTTGCAATTGCAAAATATTTGACTTTTTGGTCAATTGCAAAAATGACCTACGAGAAGTCTACTTTCGTAAGTAGACTTCTCGCAGGTCATTTTTGCAATTGAAAAATATTTGACTTTTTGGTCAATTGCAAAAATGACCTGCGAGAAGTCTACTTACTCTGCATAGAGAAGTCTACTCTACAAACTCAAAAGTTGGCCAATTGCAAAAATGACCTGCTTCTAAAGAAGTCTACTCGAGAAGTCTACTCTATTTTTTTGTTATCAAAAGAAATGGAGTAGACTTCATTCGGACCAAAAGAAGTCTATTTTTTCATGCGGTCAATTGCAAAACTAACATGAGTGTTGACTAGTAGACTTCATTCGGACCAAGAGAAGTCTACTTTCAGAGCATTTTCGTAAATAAGTGAGGAAGATGAAGATTAGTTGGTCATTTGGATTTCCAAAAATAAAAGAAATTAATTAAAAATAATGGTAAGTTCGTGAATAACTGAAACTATGAATGATTGTTTGGACACAAAATGGCAAATGTTGGGAAGGTGATTTTTGTGGGTTAGATTTGCAATTCAAATCAAATTTTAGATCATTTTTGCAAGAATCCATTTTATTAATCTACCTAGTGATTAATTAATGGAGCAAAGGTACCATTTTTTAAAACTACTATCAAGCGTTTATTATTTTTATAATTATTATTAAGTGAAGGGGTAATTGACAAATAAATGTAGTTTTTCATAATCTCGTTTGGCATCATGTTCGCCTATGTTTGACAGAAATCAATTATCTAAAACAAACATTGACAAACATGAAATTTTAGATTCTATTGTAATTCTAATCATCTGAAATTTCGGATGATCATTGTCGTATTCTATTTCGGATTTTCTATTATAAATCAAATTTTATATCTTATAAAACAAGTCAATTATCTCAAATTTTATTACTTACCTCTACTTTTTATAAAAAACGAACGTCAGACAAATTTTATCTTCGTTGAAAAAATTTAAAAATTAAAATGATCAAATAATTAAATAGGAGATAAACAGATGATCGAGCAAGAGCGAAAATAACATTTATCTCTACATTTTTATAAGAAAACGAGCGAGATCGAACAAGATCATCAAGCAAATCTTGTCTTGAGAAAAAATTCAAAATTGAGATGATCAGATAATCAGATGGAGGAGAAATATGAACATATGATTGTTTAAAGGTGTGGATGTGAAATGACGACTTTATCCCTTACAGCATATGTCAGCTAATCTATATTGAACCATCAGACTATTTGCAGTGGGCATTTTTCAATGAGTTTTTTACTATTAAAAGAAAATATAATATTAAAAAAAGAAAAGAGAAAATGAAATGACAATTCTTAAATTATATGTTTCTCTATAAATTTTTTTTTATAAATTTAAATTTAATTATTAAACTAAATTTTATTTAAATTAATAAAATTATATTATATAAGTCTCTCACCAATGCAGGTATTCTTATGATTCATTGTTCAAATCTCAATTAATTAATTATAGAAAATGCAAATCTCATTTAAAATTTTCTCAGGATATAAAAAAGTCGGAATAGTGGACATTATTTAGTAATTAAAATTAATGGAGCAGTTTTTAAAACTAAGAGTTAAAGTAGCCCACTTAATTAGCCCACTTAATTCTTACAAAGAGGCCCACGATGTCCACATAATACAAATAGCTTTTTATGGCCCATCCGTTTGGTTTACAATGAAACGCAGCGTTTCATTTAAACGAGAAAAACAAAACCTTCGTGTGATCGTGATGTCTCCTTCCTTGCTCGTCTTCGCTGTGTAACTTTCCTTCTTCTTCTTTATCCCGGTAACTCCTTTTCGTTCTTCTTCTTCTCTTCTTCTTCATAATCCGAGCTATATCATATCAATCCCAACCGAAAAATTGTGAGTTTCTTTGAATTGATCTCATTTTTGGGGGTTTATAAGTTAGACTCATGTTAGGGTTCCGGTTTTAAGAATTGAGCTCGAATTTAGGGTTGAGATTGATGGTTTGTGTAGAATCGAACGAACTGTTGATTTTTGTTTAGACTGGATTGATTTCGATTTACTGCTTTGTTGTTTTTGTGAAACTGCTTTGAATTTTGAGGTAATTTGTGCTTTCCTCATCTGAAACTTTGAGATTATCTCTGTGTGGGTTTAGGTTTTAGTTGATTTTCAAGCGGGAGAGGAGGAGAAAGAGATGTCAAACCATCCGAAGATCTCATGTGTATCTTCGGCGCATCAGAATCTGGTGGAGAAGCTAATGGAACTCCAGGAGAGGTTCGGCCATCTTCAGGCTGCTAGGAAGGAAGGGCGGTTCAGCGATCATGCAATGTTGGAAGCCCAAATCTCTCAGAATCTCCGTGAGTGGCAAGCAGAACTCAGTGCTCCTTCCCCAGAATCTTCTCTTCTGGTTCGTTCCCCATCACCCAAAAACCTGAATTACTCGTCTTAGTCTTAGCCAGTTCTCTTCTGGTTCAGCTCTTTTGATTCTTTAACTACATGTGCAGGGTGGAAGTATTAGCCAGTTCTCTGAGGAGATTGCCCGTTTGTTGAAACTAAACGACGAAGAGGATGATGCAACTAGTTCGTTAAAGGAACACGCTGCACCGAATCCCTGTGGTTTTGCTCAAAGCTCCTGCCCCTTGGAATGGACACCTGAGCCTTTCATTCAAAGTCCTTCTAACGTTGATTTCTCCAGTGGTTTTGGGGTGAGCTTAGCTAACTGTTTAAGCCTCGTTGCAACATTCATTCGGGTGCTTACAAGTTTCTTGGTCACATTGATATAAGGAATTTTCCAAATTGTCTTCTACTATAAATCTCATTTGTAACACCATCGATTCGATCTTTTTCATCCATGTCTTTGTTTGGTTATTTTGCTTACAGTTCGTCTTTTCTATCTCAGGATGATGTTAATAACAACGCAACACATGACCAGCTACTCAACTTTTCATTCGAAGACTTCGATCCAAGCATTAACACTGCTACTGACTTCCATGACCAAAAGCTTAGCGAACTGGATATAACTTCTCAGTTGGATTACCATCTCTCAGAAGTGCGCCAGGAATTGAGCAACAGCCCTTCCGTTAAGCTTGATGTTCCTGGGGAGTCTGAAACTTATGCTGAGTTTACTACTCCACCAAGTGTCCGTGTGCTTCCTTCTGCGTTTTTGGGACCAAAGTGTGCACTATGGGACTGCACAAGGCCTGCTCACGGCTCTGACTGGTTCCAGGACTACTGCCATGAGCACCATGCGAATCTAGCTCTTAATGAAGGTTCCCCTGGCGCAGCGCCTGTTTTAAGACCTGGGGGCATTAGTTTGAAAGATAATCTGTTGATTGATGCTCTTCGTGCAAAGACTCTGGGTAAGAATGTTGGCATCCCAGCGTGTGAAGGAGCTGTTAACACAAAATGCCCGTGGAACGCAGCAGGTGAGAACATATACACACATTTGGCCCTCTAGAGCAGCTTTTTTAGATTATCCACATTTTGATTGTCTCTTTGAAAAGAGAAACCAAATGTGAGTTTCTGAGTTACCCTTTTGTTAACTGTTTATGCTTGCAGAGCTATTTCATCTTGAGCTGCTTGAAGGCGAAACGATTAGAGAATGGCTCTTCTTCGACAAACCTAGAAGAGCGTATGACAGCGGAAACCGAAAGCAAAGATCACTTCCAGATTACAGTGGACGAGGCTGGCATGAATCAAGAAAACAGCTGATGAAAGAACAAGAAGGCCAGAAGAGATCCTACTATATGGACCCACAACCTCCTGGTCCCTTCGAGTGGCATCTGTTTGAATACCAGATCAATGAGTCTGATGGGTGTGCGTTATATCGACTTGAGCTCAAAGTAACGAACGGAAAGAAGAGTCCGAAGGGAAAGGTTGCAAAAGATCCTCTAGCTGATCTGCAGAAGAAGATGGAGAAGATGGGACAGTTGACACCTGACTTGGCTTCAGACAAGGCCTCTCCTCCAACCAAAGGTCGTACAAAGGCTTCCAAAGGAACCACTGACTTGTAATTTTATTTGGTGGAGAGAGAAAAACCAAACATTCGGCTAAGGGCATCATCTTATGTAAACAAATTAATTTAGGTTTATTTTGGAAACGGTAGATGGCGTGATGCTTGGGAGTTGATAGTCATGTAATGCATTAGAGCATCTCATAACTGATTTGCATGGATTCAAGTTTTGACATTTTTCAAAATCGTTTCATTTCTATAGTTTTTATATGTACGGAGTGAGCAGCTCTGTTCTTTTGGTCAGAGCTAAACCAACGTTGGAGCAGCTTCAGGTGTAATTGGGCTCTTCATGTTTGTTTAGGCCCATTTCTTCTTCTTCTGTCCTTCTCACAGATTCAACGGGCTTGTTTTCTTCACTTGGAGCCCACTTCGTTTTGCTTCATTAAACTCTGCGTTTTTTACTTTGGCATCCAAACATGTTTGACTTTTCTGATACGGTCAACTAAATATTTTTTTTGTGAACATTCAACGAAACTGGGGCAAAAAAGAAAAAAACAGCAAACATGTCTATAAACGAGATTAGGCTATTGCACTGCGTGTCGTCTTTATTATTCGCCGTCGCCGTCGCCGCCGTCAGTTCGACCCCTCCCCTCGTCGGTGTTCATCCATTAGGTTTTACTTCGATTTTTTCAATCGACAATTTTGGATTTTTTTTTTTTTATTCTTAATTCATAATTTCTACTTTCTTGTGAGAGGCAGATGAAAAGTATTTCGACTCAGAGATTATCAGATGCAAAGATGGCTCCAAATCATTCCCTAGAGACCGTCTGAACGACAACTTTTGCGATTGTCTCGACGGCACCGATGAACCTGGTACTCACTTTTTTCTTCAATAGAGCTGAAGATTAGACACTTGAAGTTTTCATCCCAGATTAGATTTTGGGATAAAATTGATCAGATCATAATCGGTTTCACAACTTCAATTCTGACAAATTGTGGTTGGATGCAACATGATTAGTGATTCCATATCTGGGAATTTCCTTGTTGAATTGATTGATTGATTGCATCAATATGGTTTTTACTTCAGGAACTTCGGCTTGTCCAAATGGAAGATTTTACTGCAGGAACATAGGAAGTTCTCCAAAGTTTGTTTATTCTTCTCGTGTAAACGATCGAATCTGTGGTTAGTAACAACTGTTTATTCTTCTAAATCATACTTCATTGTTCTTGTTTAAGCTCTCTCTCTCTCTCTCTCTCTCTCTCTCTCTCTCTCTCTCTCTCTGTGTGTGTGTTCATGTTTGATTAACATTTTACCAAAAAAAAAATGTTTGATTGAATAACAATAGTTTGCGGAATCTACATGTGTGTTCCTCAGATTGCTGCGATGGAAGTGATGAGTACGAGAGTAGCATTCGTTGTCCAAACACATGTATAATGGGTGGTAACGTTAACTACATCTACAAACCCAGAACCGACCGTAAATCTATTGATAGGCAGCTCGGTTCAACAACCGATCCCAAGGAATTGGAAACTGTAGTGAGTCTTCAGGACATGGTCAAGAATCTTCAAGGTTTAGCGAATCTTTATGCCGAAAGCTAAATTTGTTTTCTTCATTTGTCGAGCAAACGGAAACAAACAAAATTTGTTGTTGTTGTCTCCAGGTTTGAAGCTTTTCTACGCCCTTCAGCTGGTTTTGATTGGTTTCTTGGTGATCTTATGGTTTCTTAGGCGTCGTGCTCGGTCTAAGAGGAGAGGCTATGTTCTGAAGAATGTACATCCCAATATGTCAGCTAGCTAAACTCTTAGGAACTCTTTGATTTTAGTTTCTTGAAGCTTTTACTTAGAAACTGATTGTTAAAATCATCTGTGTCGTGTGTTATGAGTAGCTTAAAAGTGTATCAATATTATCTTTTGCACAATGTCTCCTTAACGTGTATTGTAATTAGTGTTTAGATACATAGTATTATAAGGTCGATTGAAAGATAACCTTAAATTTGAGGAGAAACTGTAATATGCAATGCCACATCTCTGTGATAACCAGTGGATAAATTTTGGGGTAATGTGTTCTCTCCTCATCTAAAATCTTGAGATTCTCTCTGGGGTTAGGTTTTAGTTGATATTTGAGTGTCAAACCATCCGAAGATCACATATATGTGTGTCTTAAGCGCATCAGAATCTGGTGGATAAGCTAATATAGAACTTCACGGGAGGTTCTGCCATCTGAAGGAAAGCCGGCTTAGTGATCATTCGCTTTTGGAAGCTCAAATATCTTAAGTTGTACGTGAGTGGCAAGCTTCACTCAATGCTCGTACACCACTACCAAATAAACTTGGAACACTCGCTCGTTATGTTTTAGTCCTTATCATAACTTGATAGTAATTATGATACTCTTTAAGCATAAACATGTATATGTCGTGTTAATGTCTATTGTCTAGATCCTCCTTAAAAAGACCAAAGGCCCATCAAAACAAACGGCTCATTTAAAAGAAATTCAAATACTACAAAAAATCAGGAAAAAAAAACATTTGGTTGAGTTTGTTTACTCCCGCCAAGAAAAATATTGACAAAGAGAGAAGAGATAAAAGCGAAGATAGGAACATCTTTGCAAAACTTCTCCTGCTCGATCTCCATCAACCGGAAAGTTTGAATTTCTCGATAAGTTTGATGCAATACTTTTCTTTCTTCTATTCCTCACCCATTTCTTTCGATAGTTGGTGATGTAAATCGCTTTTGAATTCACAATGTGACCAGCTTGAATCATTTGTGTTCCTTGAATTATCTTGTTCCCATCAATTTATGTGTTGGTATGCCATAGCATGAGTATGACACTGTTATTTTTCCTTTTTTTAAATGTTTTCAAATAAATGAAAACCATTAAGTGGTATCAATTTCTCTCTGGTTGGATGTCATTGGTTATCCATATTGAACCCAAGCTTATTTATTATGAGGGCTACATGCATATATAATTATATATATATATAATATATATTGTTATACTTGATGGTTTCCGATAAAGAATTTATAGATGTGTTATAATTTCAAAATAAAGGATTTGATGATTATCATTTTCTCACCCGCGATATCAAATGAATAGGGGCACGAGTTTGAAAGGTGACAATATCCAGAAAATAGCAAAGCTCTGTGAAGCAGAACAGCTCCGAAACAGTTTGCTATACTGTGATACAACTGAAATAAAGTTATTATCCACCATTCCATGAGATTCTTTTGGGACCACTTAAAAGAAAAGAAAAAAGACTTATAACTGCAAAACCATTTAGAGGAAGGCTTAAGAGCATCAATACACACACAACTGCTTATTTAAAGCGTGTCTCCTTCGTGTGCAAACACACACAAGCGGCTATTTTAAAACTCTTTCTTCTACCATTTTTCTTATATCTTTCAAACACACACGAAATACCAAAAGTGTCTCACTAAGATAAGAACTTCAGAAAAACTACCAACATCTTTACCTAAGTTTGTTTAATTCCATCTCCAATTTAATTTGCATATGTGAGAATACTATTACTTATTTTTTATTCAAACTGAGTCATAAATACTCGTACAAACATTGCACAATGAATTTTAGAACATACCATGCATGCAAATCTCAATCCATATACATGGTGATACTAACCTTAACAAATCACAAAACAATTGAAGATCGGAAAAAACTATAAATTTAAATTTTGCTGGATGTAGATTTATATCGTAGATTTAAGAAATTTTTTGAAAAACAGAGTTATATAGAGAGAGCTAAAATTTAAAATTGTAGAAGAAGAAAATATAAGAAGTCAATTATCTAAATCAAATTCTATCATTTTCAGAATTTCAACAAAAAATTTCCTATTTTTATTGTCTGACAAAATTTGAAATTTGGCAACAAACATTTATGAATTGGATTTGGATACTATATCATCCTACTGTAATCCTAATTTCACCAAATTATATTCACCGTCTGATTATTCAGAATAAATAAATCAATTATATAAATGACTATACTGAATTCTGAATTGCTTATCAAAAGTAAAAATCAGAGAAAGCAAAAAAATAGGGAAAAAGATAGCGCTAGATCTTAGATTTAAGAAACTTTGAAAAAAGAAAACAAAGCAGAGAGCTATAATTTGAATTGCATGAAAAAATTACAGAGATAATGCAACAAGATGATATTTATATATATAAATCGTTAAGAAAAATTGGAAACAGCATAAGAGACACGTGTCCATTATAAAATTTGGCACAGATGTAAACCGATTAAACCGTTTTGGGCCTCTGATTCAGTCCTATGTTTTAACTTTCGAAATAAGAGACGATTTGTAAACAACTGTGGAGCAACTTCAGGTATAATTGGGCTCTTCATGTTTGTTTAGGCCCATTTCTTCTTCTTCTGTCCTTCTCACAGAATTAACGGGCTTGTTTTCTTCACTTGGAGCCCACTTCGTTTCGCTTCATTAAACTCTGCGTTTCTTACTTTGGCATCCAAACATGTTTTGACTTTGTTGACACGGTCAACTAATATTTTACTTTAGCGACGATAAACATTTGAACACAACGAAACTGGAGCAAAAATTGAAAAACAGCAAACATGACGATAAACGAGATTACGCTAATGCACTGCGTGTCGTCTTTATTATTCGCCGTCGCCGTCGCCGCCGTTAATTCAACCTCTCCCCTCGTCGGTGTTCACCCATTAGGTTTCAACTTCGATTTTTTAATCGACAATTTTGGGAATTTTGTTTTCTTTTTAAAACTTTAATTCTAAAATTCTACTTTCTTGTGAGTGGCAGATGAAGAGTATTTCGACAAAGATACTGTCAGATGCAAAGATGGGTAGTCTAATCTGACACGTTCCGAGAGAGAAGAAGTCTTCTCAGTGCTTGAGGATCTGCAGAAAGCATCCACCTGAGATTTGGTTCAGCATTGAGGCTAGAGTATAGAATTCAATGAATAATGGAGGCAAAACCTAATGGTCCCACCTGCATTTGCTTTGGTTTTGGCTGATGATGCTCGTCTTGTTTGGCTTTTCAGGTTCTACTACACATTCCTCAATGATTGAATCGTCTTTACGAAGATGTCTTATATAATTTATATTACTTGTGTCAGCAATTTTGATGAAGCCTAAGCTGCAGAAGAGTAAACTGAGCTCAGCTGGAGAATCCATGGAATACAGATCGAGCAACGGATGCAAAGAGAACGAGTTCTACGTCGGTATGTTCCACACATGATCTCAAGATTACATTCTAGAACCACGTGTGTTTCCGAAACGTTTAACTATCATATCCATTAGTCAAAAGATTGTCAATGAAAACACACAACGACCAACTTCTGTTGAAAACATCACTCTGTGAGTCATTGAACGTGGGTACTGGTCTGTGATCTTTGAGTTTACACGGAAGCTAACTTGTTGCAATGCTTTCTTGTTTTAGGTTGGGGCTAAGGATCACCAGTGATTCCAAGCATCATATGCTACCATTCTTGAAGGCCCACATGGCTGCTTTGAAGAAGAGGGAGAGGAAAAACCGGAAGAAACCCACCTTTCTCAAAGCAGTAGCGAGAGTGAAGTACGCTTTGATCTCTCAAGTTAGCCCTAATCTGACACGTTCCTGTTTCTTAGTTTCTTTTTCTTCTCTTGTTTGTGGATCGCTACAAGGATAAACACCCGAAAAAAAAACTCTTGCCTCGGATTATTGTGATTCTCTGATTCTTCCCCCTTTGTTACAGAGTTTAGTTTGGCTCTGTGTCTCTTGATTCTGACCCCTTGCTGTTGAAATGAGCTGGTTGTGGTTGCAATCACTCTGTTACTTGAGGGTCTTGATCGTGGTTTTCAAGTGGTGGATGACTCTGTTCCATGTGCTAGGGTTTGGGGTGAAGATTGGGCAGCTCTTCTGGAGGCTATGCTGCTGGTTCGTTGATGGTGGGATCGAGGACAAGTCTGGTCTCCCTGTTGGCTCTGTCGGTGATCCGGAGAGGACGAAGATGATTACGATGAAGAAGAATAAGATGTGGTTCTGGAACAAGATCTCCGGCAGCGGGCTCAAGATCCCGAGTTTCTCTCATCAGTTTTTTGGCTCCGTTAGGTTCGGCAAGACATGGTGGAGGAAGCTGGTGGTGGCTTGGGTTGTCTTCTGGGTTTAGGTCTCCTTCTGGATCTTTAGCTCTCAAGCTATGGAGAAGAGAACAGAGACGCTAGCTAGTATGTGTTGTGTATGCTGCAGAATCCATTCTCAATGGAATCTTCGAGAATAAAGATGCGTATAAAGTATAAACAAAACTCAAAAGAAAGACTATATTGAAGAACTCGATTCATGCTTTCAAAGAACCAAAGAAAAACATCAACCGTTATTATTGTGAATCGCTTGACTTCCAGTTCCTAACAAAGAAGGTGAACCTGAGTTTCCCATTCATGGGTTTCTTGACTAGTAGTAGTAGTAGCTGAAAAGAAACTACAACAACAGGACCCAACAAAGCTCCTGCATCAACATCATCTTCTTCTTCAAGATGATCTAACCTTATTTATATTGTCTTTGGTTGCTTCAGACTATAGACACAAACCCTCTGTTCTCTCTTACTTCTTTCCGTCTCATCTTCTTCCCTTCGTGTTAGCTCATAGCCTCAATAATTTTGTCGATGAGCTGACCATTTTGTGACGAAGACAAACGGTTGGTGTACCCATCGTAGCAATCAGAGCAGTGGCAGTGGAAACAGGTGGGATTTTCTCCAGGTGCATATAAGGCTTGTCTCCTTCTTTGGTTTCAGAATCTTTAGGTACGAAGAAGCAGAGTATCTCCTCGTCGACGCTTGAAAGAGTATTTACTAAATTCCTTGATGGCCCATGGAAAATGCGGATACGTTTCCCATGCAAACACACACAAGCGGCTATTTTAAAACTCTTCCTTCTATCATTTTACTTATATCTCTCAAACACACAAAATACCGTAACTGCCTCATTCAGATAAGAAATTCAGAAAAACTACCAACAAAATGAGTGATGTTGGAGGCAGATCTTTATCTAAGTTTGTTTAGTTTCATCTCCAATTTAATTTGCATATGTGAGAATATTATTACTTTTTTTTATTCAAACTGAGTCATAAATACTCGTACAAACAGTGTACAATGAATTCTAGAACATACCATGCATGCAAATCTCAATCCATGTACATGGTGATGCCAACCTTAACAAATCACAAAACAATCTTAAATTTCATCTCCAATTTAATTTGCACATGTTGTCATTCAATTGACATTTATTTTTCAGTTCCATCGCGTTAGAGGACAATTGGTCTCAAAAGTAATTGCAAACGGAAGTACCTTGCATCATATAATACATAGAGTAGTATTTAAGTTAAAACAGTGAATATAATGCTTTGTATATACAAGAACATATTAATGCAAAATGGATTTACTCTGCTAAAGCTGCTCAAGAGCAGCGTTTACTCCAGTGGACTCTAAAAACTCTGAGTCATGAGACGACAGCAGCTCAGGCCAAGTCTCCTCACCTAGTGCAAAAGGATTCAATACCCTATGTTGAAAAGACGGAAATGTAGCTGTAAAAAGATTCAATACCCCATGTTGAAAAGACGGAAATGTAGCAACAGTGTTGTTAATTTAGTCTAATGTTCGATTCAGCTTCGTAGATATATATTTTTTTGCTATTCCTCACTTATTTCTTTCAACATGGATAAGTAGCTCATGCTGGCAAATTTTTACCTACATTTGTGTAATCTCATCTCCAATTTAATTTGCATATGCGAGAATACTATTACTTTTTTTTTTAATTCAAACTGAGTCATAAATACTACTACAAATAGTTCACAACGAATGAAAAGAAATGTCACGATGACATGTGCTTGCTTTATTCCTCTCCCAAATATCTTACATTTTTCTTTTTACCCTTAACCGAATGTAAGATAACAAATCCTAGTGAATAAAATTTCAGTTTTTGGTGATAAAATTTTACATTAATACCAAAAAAGAAAGCAAACCAGAAAGGTTACAAGGACACACGTGCTTGCTTGATTCCTTCACGAAATCTCTCTTACATAGATTTCTAATTTTCTGTTAATCAAAGGGAAGAAAAACCTTAGTGGAGGAGACTTTCCAGTAACACAATCGAGACCTTAGCCTCTCCTCTCAAGACAGCTGTTTCATAGCTGTCCGATCTCAATCTCTCACCCCATGTGACCCTTAGACACTTTGATCACATCGAATTCATTGTGTTCTTTCCTCACAGTTTATATTTGTATATATATATATAAATATATATCATTCAGCATTTATCTATTTATCTCCTTTAATAATTGAACTCTCTTTTTTGTCTCTTTTATTTTTGTTGGCCTTCATTCTATTTATGTAACTACCTTTTGTTAAACATAGCCATTTTGGTTACTCTTTTTCCGTTTTCTCCTTTCTTCCTCTCCTTCCTTAATTTTTCTTTCTCTGTCTTCCTATGGTTTAATTAGGACGTTAATCTGATTCCACTTCTCATTTGCCTCAAATTTCGTTTGTTTCTTTCCTTTGATATCGTCTAGGTTTTTGGTTTTTCTGAATTGGGTTTACGTTAATTTCTCTTGTAATTAACTAAGGTTTCCTTTTTTCCCCTTCCAAAATCCTGTAAATTCAGATTTGTTTTCTTTGGTAAACTTTTGTGATTAAGATCGATCGATACATTGTTTCTCTCTTGCCTTTAGAGATATACAGAAAAAAATATCTTCAATGGCACAACTCCCTCCTAAAATCCCGAACATGACGCCACATTGGCCTGATTTCTCTCCCCAAAAGCTCCCTCATTTCTCCACCGCCACCGCTACAACCGCTTCAGCCGTTGCCGTACAAAACCCCTCATGGGTCGACGAATTCCTCGACTTCTCAGCGTCACGCCGCGGCAACCACCGTCGCTCAATCAGCGACTCCATCACTTTCCTCGAAGCTCCTGCCTTCACAGACCACGTCAGAATCGAAAGCCACCACTTCGATAAGTTCGACGACGAGCAATTCATGTCGATGTTCACCGACGACAACGACTTAAAGAATAATAATCTTTCCCATAGAAACAACAACAACAACAATGTGGGGCCCACCGGCTCTTCCTCGAATACATCGACGCCGTCCGATCATAACATCAAAGATAATAACAACAACAGTAACGACGAAGTCCAGAGCCAATGCAAGACGGAGCCAGAGGATGGTACGGCATCGAATGATAATTCCGGTGATAGCTCCGGCAACCGGATTCTCGATCCCAAAAGGGTTAAAAGGTAAAAAAAAAAAAGTATTCATCATCGTAGGACTATAGCAAACCCCAAGAATCATGCATGCACGTACAATTATTAACTGGTATTAGATTATGGGGCACAAAATAAATTTAAAATTCTTACTGAAATATAGCGTCGCATTTTATTTTATTTTTGATACAAAATTGAAATTAGCGTCACATCAATAATTATGTAAATTCGAATAAATTTTCTCAATGATTCTACAGAATATTAGCAAATCGGCAATCAGCACAGAGATCAAGGGTGAGGAAACTGCAATATATATCAGAGCTCGAACGTAGCGTCACTTCATTGCAGGTATTTACAGTTTCATAACCTTATGCAAATAATTAAATAATTTACTATGATATTTAATTACCTAAATTAAATCGTTTTGTGAAAAAAAAATTGAAACTAAAGGCGGAAGTGTCAGTGTTGTCGCCAAGAGTTGCGTTCTTGGATCACCAGCGCTTGCTTCTCAACGTTGACAACAGCGCTCTCAAGCAACGAATCGCTGCTTTAGCCCAAGACAAGATTTTTAAAGACGGTAAATTTTTCTCTTTTGCTTTTTACTTTCCAATCACCTACATGCACCTATTAACTTTAGCAACAAAAAAAATAAAAACATACATCTATTAATATTACCCTAAATTGATGAATCAAAAAACTATATAGACGACAACGCATTATAGAGTTTTTTAGAAACATTTTCTAGCCCAAAGACAAAATTTTGGAATTTTTAAAACTAAATACATTACTAGGAATTAATAACAAAAAAAAATTATTATTTCTCTGCCTATACATTGTGTGACTTTTGGATTAAATATTCAAGTAAATCTGTTACGGATTGTGTAGATATAGTATATTTGTATAAGCTTTCATCATACATGTTACATGCAATATATGCATTTTTTTCGTCGAGGTATTCAATTCTCACTGACAATATATAAGCACGCCCAATAATTTGTTTTCTTTAGAGATTTAAAGAATTGCTCACAAGAATTTTTTTAAAAAATAATAAATAATTTGCAGCACATCAAGAAGGCTTGAAGAGGGAAATAGAGAGACTTCGACAAGTGTATCAACAACAAAGCCTCAAGAAAACAGAGAATGCAAATCATTCATCGGTGACAGGAGCCGGAGCTACTTCGGCCGTCGACATCAATCCGTCTATTGAAAAAGAGCAGCTCCTCAATGTCTGATCACTCATCACAATCAGCAACGTATACTCTCACTTTTTCTTGGCAAAAGTTCTTTACAATAAAATCTCTTTCGGTCAAGCATTTTAGAAGATGACCTCTTTTTTATTCTTATCACATTTTGTTAAGTTGTGATTTATCTTTTTATTTAATTTTATGTCGTTTTTTTTTCTGTGATGTCAGCAATATTGTTGTTTGTACAAAGAACTAGTTGATTTGTTACTCTGTTTTTTTCACGGGGAGTGTATATAAAAGATCTGTATACAAATTAAGATTGTTCTAAAAGTTGATTAATACATTTCTTCTCGCAAACACCCATATTTTATTAGATAAGTTAAAGAGAAATGCCTGTCCAAGTCCAACAAACAAAAACGATGAACTTTTCGATGACTAATCCACCTTTTTCTGGCTCAATAGCTTTTACACTAATATAGGAATACGTCATTTAACGACATTTAACTATTTGTTGAGTGACAATAGAATATGTTGATGGCGTCATATAGAATCTAGTTGGTAAAATCATATGGCATATCCACTTGTGTAAGAAAAAGACAACTGAATGAAATTAACTGGTACGTACTGCTTTTTCCATATAAAGAGCATATATGATCGTACGTATAAGAAATAGACGCTGATCAGACCAAAATTTTTATAAAAGAAAGAATTTGCTGTCAACAAAAATTCAAGAAGTTCTTCTCCCAGCTTTATTTGTTTTGAAACCCCACAATTTATCAACACAATTTGCATAAAGAAATTCGAGCATTTGTACTTAATCTACGAATTGTACTCTTGTGTTTCAAAAGATGTAAAGGTTTTCTTATAAAAGTAAAAACACGAGCGTAGAATATGATTATAATTAAAGGAGGTTATTTGTTAAAGAGCATTGCAATGCACTGTAATGAAATATATTTCTCTTAGGCAACTTGAGTTATTGTTCTCCAATTCAAATATTAATCAAGAGGAGAATATAGATAGATGAACAATGAACAAAAGTTTTGCTATATACCAAAACTTCGGAAATTTTTTAATTACTTAAATTTGGTAACCTTCGCTAATCTAAATTGTTTGGAGTAGCGTTTTGCATGCTGTTTAGGAATTGGGGTCGAAATGTGTCAACAAAAAGGAAAAGTGGAACGCGTGTGGACACATCTGAAGGATATAAGCTGTGAGTTCACGTGATATGTTCCTTGACTGGACCACTACACGCTCTCGTAACATGATTGGTTTTGTTTTTTTCTTCATTTCCTCTCATTCTTTTTGGTATTTATTGCCAAGATTTGGGGTTAAGTTTCTTTAAGCTACTGGACCATTGGCCACAATGATATACTGACATTTAACTACATTTTTTTTTTTTGAAATTAAATGGTTAAAAACGATATGAGACGGTCACATCCGTTGTTATTAGCAATGTTTTCCAATTAATCAACCAAAAAGAATAGAAATAAAATGCGATGATATATATATGTCCTTAGAATTTAACAATGACTTTATCGCTAAAAGAATTTCGACAAAAGATACAGTATTATTTTATAGGAAAATTTGAAGTAAAGCATTTCAGCCCTATCCTGCAATTTGATATCTAAATGGGCCGTTCAATGACCCAATGAATGTTATGGTTTGTTAAAAAATTTGCACCAGCCGGGAATCGAACCCGGGTCTGTACCGTGGCAGGGTACTATTCTACCACTAGACCACTGGTGCTTCTTTGGAAATCTACTACTTTTACATTATTACGTTAGCTTATCACTGTACGACTGATTAGTACGTTCTCCATTTTCTTTGGTCGAAGTATGAACAAACTTTCTCATATTTATTTCCAGTATATGTTATTGTTAAGAATAGATTTATGTATTTCAGAGAACTAAAAAGTTGATTCCAGCATATGTCAAGGGTATGTGTCCACCAAGATGTCAAACACTCGCTTTATATGATCATCTTCGTAGCCATCTCCGTAGCCATGCTTCTCCGAAATCAATTTTACCGTCTCTTCCAAATCAAAAGACTTATTCAGACGTTTGATCTTGTCTTCAAGCTTGACTATGCAAAGTATGGTTTCCTCCGGGGTGTAAAATTTTCGCAAACAATCATTGTAACTAGCGACAATATGTGATACTTCTTCGGCCAACATACTCTCGTACCTGCATTGATTATGATCACGAAGTTGATTTTAAAATGATATTGGCTAATCTATTTCTAATAATCATCTTCAGAACAAACTCAAACATTGAAATGATTATCAAACAATATTGGCGAAAACTTGAGATGTTCTCTTTCTCTATAGCATTCAAAAGTTGTTCAAATTTTATTTTTCCATTTCTATCTTTTTCATCTCTTGCATAGCTAATAAGATTGGACTAAGTTTATATGTCCATTTTGCTCACCGGCCTGAGAGAACCACTTTAAGGATCATATCCAATTTCTCTTTTCATAATCTCATCAATTTATTTTGAACCGCTTTTGCAAAATAGGACATAATTGAATTCTAATTTTTTTGATTCAATAACAAAAATCGATTAGTTATGTAGATATAATCATATTGTAATCATATTTCCAAAATCTTATCAAATTATTTCATATTTTTTTAGTATTATCCATCAAACATTACGAGTATGAGAAACAAACAATTATAATTATGAGTACTCAACTCAAATTTCGGATTCTATAACAAAAAGTTTACCCTGAGAAACATTCCACTTTGCATTGGAAGACTTTGATCCAAGCATAAGCGCTGCTCCTGATTTTCATGACCAAAAAAGCTTAGCGACTTGGATTTGGATATAAGGTTCATTTACATGCTATTATAAGGTTTATATTATAACGTCAAATAATTTCTTCATATACATAGGTTTCTATAGCATCTTATATATGATGTATTATAAAGCAGAAAATCCGGTATGACTTATCCAAATTATTGGTTTCGCTTGTTAAGCAGCAGAAGCCGGTTTAATATGACCCAGGCTCTGACCAAATTAACCGGTTCAGACATAAATACACATCACTTATCCACTCAAGAGAGAAAATACATGTGTACATACATATCTAACTCTTGGATCCTGTACTATATTTGCTTTAAGATTCACAGGACAATACCTAGCACTGGTTGGATCCTGTAGTATGACAAGGTCATAAATGCATAATCAAGAGAAATCTGAAAAGTAAGAAATCGCTCAAGTAATCAAAACATATATTAATCACGCTCCTCTGTGTTTAAACAATCTTAGATGACTGCATGTGTTATCTTTAAACAAAAACACTTATCTTTAAGTAATCGAAACACTTCGCCGCAAACAAACAAACAAACAAAACGAAACAAGAAGTTCGTTATATGAATGCATGTCATGTGTTATCTTTACGTGTCCTTGAAGGTGAAGTTAAAAACAACTCACGCATGTTTGACATTTTCAGGTTTTAAGGGACCCCAAGGGCTCAGAAGGAAGTGTTAGTCTATGAGAAGCTTGGATTGGGTCAGAGGCTGAGCCACTGGATTTCGATGAACCATTGCCATCCTTCTTCTTCTTCTTGCAAGAATGATGCGTCAATTATCTCAGCAACAGAACAGAGTCCAACGACACGACGGCTCTTCATGGTTAATTCTCTGCCACTCTCTTCTTCAATATCATCTTGTAATGGATTCTGCTTGTTCTGCCCGTAGATTCAGACACAATCTCTTGTCCAAGATTCAGTTCGATCATATGTTCTGCCACACACATTTCTCTTCCTTCGTGTCACCGGCTCCATCATCCATTATTAGACTCACAGCGGCAATATCTTCATTTTCCTTCAACTCCACCTCATCGACCTCAACATCATCTTCTCCCGGGGACTTTGATCAACAAAGTCTCCACCTTTATATCATTATCCCCCAATTCAGCGTGTTCTCTAAACAAATCCGCTTTCAGCTCTTTCTCAACCATGATCCAGAACAATCCAGCCCAGACAAGCTTATCCAAATGCTGTTCCTTTAAACCTTTCCTACATTCCACCACTTCATCATCCACGCGTCGTCACAATGCAGAAGAATCCAGTTAGCAACAAGTTCTTCCATGATACTGATCGATTCATCTGACTCCAAAAGCTCCTTATTCTCATCCAGAGTGACTACACCCGATTTCTTATAAGGCAACTTCAGCGCTCGAGCCATGTCCGCACGGCTGAGATTGATCCTAAACCCGTTAATGTAGCTGCATCTACCCTCTGGATTGTAGTAGGCTATAAGCTGAGCCACAAGATCATTTTGGATACATCGATCGAATTCCAATGTACAAAATCCCACAGACCGAGAGTTTTAAGAGACTTTCATAACGAGAGATTTAAATCAAGGGTTTTGGATGGCTTGAAAGGGATGGGTTTTAAGGTTTCCACGAGTACCTTGAGCTTCTCCTTCGACTTCTCCTCCAGTTTCTGATTGTTCCCTTTCTTCACCGCGACGGTAAAAGAAAGAGCTCATTGCTTGCGAATTCGCCGCCGCAGACATGGTATCACTATCTTCCTCCCCAATCGATACCTCCGTTTCTGATCTCGACCATCGGCTTCCTCAGCCTCCTGAGATTTCCCCAAATCCTTCGACACTGATTATGTGATTCAGATTTTCTCGGCAACAGAATATGCCTCAGCGCTCGATTGCTGGATCAAGCTAAGGCTCCGCGGAGTAGTATCTTCATCTTGATCTCGAGAGTCAGTAAGATTCAACGGCGAATCCATGGCTGGTTTTGTTTTCCGGTCACCTCTTCCCCCTCAGGAGCCAAAAAAAAGCCGCGACTTTACGCCCATTTTAACTATGGGCCAGAGGATTTGAATACGGCCCAAATAGATTTAACCGGATATAATTGAGTTCAAGAACCGGTAGAACTGGAAATTACAATATCCAGCCGCATTTTTACATCGGTCACGGAAAAGTCCAAACATTTCTTCATTTTTCGAAATTCCCTTCTTCTTCTTCTTCTTCTTCTTCTTCGAGAGAGAGAGAAACTGTTAGATCTTCCGTTTTTTTCAATATATTGCTCTTTCCATAACGGATCACTCACTTCTAGTTCCAACTCCTTCGTTGCTTTGCTTTCTCCCTAAAGACGTAATCGATCTATCTCCCCGAAAATGATTGGGTATTAGCGACGGAGCTTTGGTGTGTGGCGAAGAACAACGCAGAAGATTCTGCGCTCAGATAATTTGATGGATCTGAGGTTCTTCTCGAGATTTAGAAAAATGATTACTTATTTGATTGATGGGTTTTAAGTGATATCTTTAGTAGCTCTTTTCATTACTTAGTTTTCCTCGAGAATTGCTTTTGATCTTGCCAAGCATATACTATTGCAGTTTCTACAGAACATAGAAGAAGTTGCAAAAAGCTATTAGAGCAAATCATCTGATATATGTGCTCATTCACTTGAAGTCTTGTGTGCAGTAAGAGAGTGAACAATGGCAATACCGTAAATGGCACCACTTCAACGCAGGGAAGAACCCGAGCAAGACGGATCTTTAGCAGCTGGTTCGTTGCCCTTCATCATTTTAGCCCACATTGTGACCAAGACACTGATGATTCATCATCTTTAGCAACCGCCTGGTTATTTAAAGGTAACCCTCTTTTTTTGTTTATCCCTTATACTCAGTTTTATGTAATTAAAATGGTTCTGCATCTTTAATGGAGCCCTGATACTGTCTCACAACTGCCAAGTGTGAACTTAGAAAGGCATCAACATAAGCTTTGTATCAATGTGTATAACATATTAATAGTGTTCCATTACATAAATATATCCAAAAAGAGAAGAACAAAACAGATATTTAGTACATAAAGAAAGGAGGGTATATAGTATATAATCAAAGATTATCGATGTTTGTATGATTTATATGCATGATGTCTATCTCTAACCCGACTCAATGTCTCTCAAGATCCGCTACACGATCTTGGTCAACACAGGAATGATTGATCCTGTTCGAAGATCTTTCCCTTGTCAAGATCCTCTTAAACGAATCTAACCGCGAAACTGACGACCCAACTGTTTTGTTACCCGACGAAGAAGACGGGCCCACTTCCGTCGACAAATCCAGCCTGGCTTCCTCCAACGACGGCGGCGCAGTCGGTGGTGCAGCACCGTCGCCTACTGGTCCTTCTCTTGGCTCAGGCTCAAGTCTCGGCCTTGGCTGAACTTCAGTCCGACAAACGGGGCAAGTGGAGCAAGTGGCGAGCCACGTGTCAACACAGTCCGCGTGGAAGACGTGTTTGCAATTCGGCAGCTCTCTCGCCGTGTCTTGCTCCTCCAAAACGCTTAGACACACCGCACATTCAGTAGCAGCAGCCACGTCACCACCGATGGCTCCAACGGTGAAAGTAGGCAGAGAGGCGATGACTGTTGGGTCGAGGCCACGTTTGGGCGTCTGAAAAGGGTGGCGGAATGAGACGGGGAGGCCACGGAAAGCTTCTCTACGGCGGCGGATAACGAATCTTGCGTAGAGATGAAGAGTGAAGACGATGAGGATAACTGCTGATAAAGAGACAACGGCGGCGAGCATGATCTTGCTGTTGAGATCATAAGTAGAAGGATTGGGCCAGAAGGAGTGGTGTTCGTTGAACCAGCGATGATCTCTGTCGTCGGAGCTCATTGTGAAAAGCTTTTTTTCTTCGGTGGATCGGGAAGGAAAGTGAACAGAAATCGGTTACTAGCTTTCTGATTCCTTATATTATATAAGGAACATGAGGCTTTTAAATCTTTATTTTCTTTTTTTGGTTTAAAGACTTTAGTTGGTGAGTGGAGAAAATTATGAAGTAGAGAGATAATAAGAAAGTTTGGGAGGTAGCTATACTTTCAAGGGGGTTTAGAAAATTCACCATTGTTGACTTTAACTTGGATTGTGGAAAGTAACACTAAAGTCTATGATTATGAAAGAACAAATAAAGTTTATTTACTTTTAGGTGTTTTGTTCAATTTTAGACTATAATTAATAAGGTTTGAAGTTTTAGAAATCGTGTATATAAGTTTGGAAGGTATCAAAGTCCTAGATAAATCTTGTAGACTGAATTGCCTATTATGATTGAAGTATATTGTTAGCTAGTACATATAGACTGAATTGTCTATCATCAATTTAGTGTATGAAGAGTTTGTGTTATATCGTTATTTTGTATGGTGCAAATTGGTTTACTCAAGAAGATAAATAAATTCATCCATTCTAAACATATACTCCAATTCAAAAGTAATATATATATAGTATAGGGACCAGTAAACACATTGTATATTATTTATTTGATCTCATGCATTGCAATTTCGTGCATTTAAATTCAACAAGATTGTAATCAATAAATTCAAAAGAATGACAAGATTATATATGTCAACAAAGATGATAATTCAGTTCTATCTGAAGAATATGACTAGAAATAATGTAAAATGTCCATGGTCAGGAAAATACGAAAATCAAAAGTTAAGACGTGTGAGGTTTGAAGTATACGCGTGGGAACCACATATATAGTTTGACTTGAAGAAGAGTCTTCGATGTAGACACACATTGAAACTATATAACAAAATTGTCTGAATCTTAGATTCAATTTACAAGTTCAACTCTTTTTTTGTTTCTTTTTCACACATTAATCAACAACGGCTTTGTACTAACTTGTATTATGTACAGTAACATACATAAAGTACTGTGCCAATATATTTACACATATAACATATTTTAGTAAAAAAAACACTTAAAGGAACAAGAGTACTATTGTACACGAATTAAAGATCAATTATCGTGGTATTCATTGTCTTTCTAGATCCATTACACGATCTTGGTCAACGCGAGAATGATCGTTCCTGTTCGAAGATCTTTCCCTTGTCAAAATCTTCCGAAACGAATCTAACCGCAAAACCGATGACCCGCCAGTTTTGTTATCCGACGAAGATGCCGCCACGAAATCCAACGGCGATGCACCGTCGCCAACTGGCCCTTCTCTTGGCTCAGGCTCAAGCCTTTGACTTGGCTCGACTTCAGTTCGACAAATGGGACAAGTGGAGTGTGTGGTGAGCCACGTGTCAACGCATGTCACGTGGAACACGTGCTTGCAGTTCGGTAACATCCTCGCCGCATCTTTCTCCTCCAACAAGCTTAGACACACCGCACATTCCGTAGCCACCACGTCACCGTTGACTCCAACGATAAACGTAGGGAGAGAAGCGATGGTTAGAGTGTCGAGGCCACGTTTGGGCGGCTGAGAAACGATGTTGAGGGAGATATCTTGGAAGGTGGATCTATGGCGGAGAACAAATCTTGCATAGAGATGATAAGCGAAGACGATGAGGATAATAATAGAGAATGAAACTATGGTGACGAGTAACATCTTGCTGCTGGCATCGTAAGAAGTCGTGTTTTGCCAGAACGAACGGTCGAAATCTTCTTTCTTGTCGGAGCTCATGATAAATGTTTCGGTGCAGCAAGAAACAGAAAGTGATTACTATAGGTTAATAATGGGTTAAATGGAGAGATTGAAGGGATCTTAGCTGTGTAATAACTAATAAATTTATATTTTTGTACGTAAAACCTCTTATTACTTTAATTTATTCATGAAAGCATTATAATATAATTGGTAAGTTGGGGGATATTGGCAGTACGACGATCGGAATTATGATATACTCATTATAAACTCAAGAGCCATTGTTGACTTTACTCGGAATTGTTATTAATTAACTAAAAAGTTCTAACTAAACAATTTATAAAATTCAGTTGGGTTAGCGCTGCAATATTTTCCCTTTTTTTTTACCATTAAGTACATAACATGTCGACAGCATATGAATATTCTAGAAAAATGCTAAGTCGACGATACTATTTTCCCCCAATAATATGAGTACTGGACTTATGTTAATTGAGCATATAGTCAAGAAAATACGAAATTTTTAAAAGTTATAACGTGAGGTTTGGACTGAGGGTGCGTGTGGGAACCATATAGTATTTTTACTTGGACAAACATGTTACTATATTACAACTTGCGAATATATTACAAATTCAACTCTTTTTTGTTTTCTCTTCACACACGTTAGCTTCTTTTTTTATTCTTTGTATGAAAAAGTCATTAGAGTTTATCTTCAAAAAAAAAAAAAAAAAGTCATTAGAGTTTATCTTCAAAATATTTAGATATTTCTCCATGTAATTATGTAAAGACAAGACTGAAAATACTTATAGTATAACTTTTTCGTATAATTTATACTATATATCCTTTGAAGTTTCTAAGAAAATGCTGTGGAAAATGGTCAACAAAGGAGGCAAGACTTTTTGATTACACTATATATCCTTGCTCCTGAAATGCTTCAGAACTCTTAAGTAAAGAGGTAGTTTTCACTGAACAATCCTCATACTCTCGCTGAAGCTAAGCCATAAACTTGTAAAAGATTGATTTTTCCTTTCAGCCCTGAGGGATCAACTACTTCATCTTGAGAATTGAGATGGGTTGGTGGAGAAGGAAGAAAGACAAAGAAAAGCAGAGGTTTGCCCAAGAGAACGGCGAGGTGTTGCTAGAAACGCTCATCGAATATTGCGACGGAAAATCCAATCCAATCAAACACTTTTCTGCTTCTCAGTTACTTACAGCCACAGAGAGCTTCAGCCATAATAATTCCCATGATGGACAAGGTTATAGTAACTACAGATGTTACAGAGGTATGCTTGAAGGCCGCCTCGTGCTTGTCAAGAAATGGGTACTAGAGCCAAGGCAGTATAGTTACTGGAGGGAAAATATTTGTAGTGACATAGCAATATCATCAATGGTTAGTGGTCAAAAGAATTTCCTCAAACTGTTAGGATGTTCTCTCGAGTTTCCTTATCCAGTTCTAGTCTACGAATACGCCGAGCGTATAATGTGCAGAGCAAACCCAAAACATCTGTTTGATGTGAGTTTGCCATGGAATGTGAGATTGAAGATTGCAAAGGAGGTTGCAGAAGCTTTAACATACCTTCACACTGCATTCTCAAAGCGTATCATCCTCAAAAATATGGTACCATGTAAAATATTCTTGGACGAGAAAGGGGCAGCAAAGCTTTGTGAGTTCGATAGCTCTGTTTTGATTCCTGAAGGAGAAGAGTTTGTTGAAGATATTCGTGTAGAAGGAGTTCTAGGGTACCTTGATCTCGCGTATGCGCTTGCCGGAAGAGTGTCGGAGAACACTGATGTCTATGGCTTTGGAGCACTCATGCTTACTCTTTTGACCGCATCGGACCCGAGTCGTCTTTACCGACTATACGAGTATTCTCCTATCGAGCTGGTTGCAGATGGCAGATTTGTTGAGATCGTTGATCCAAACGTGTTGGAAAGCTGCAAGGAAGAAGAGAAATGGCAATTGGAAACTTTCTTCATGCTCTCACTGCGATGCATTGGCTGTGTAGGAGACGTTCCGAGTATGATTGAAGTTGCCAAACAACTTAAAAAGATGCTTGTTTAGGCCAAAAAAACGAGCCCGTCTTTGCTCAAGAAAGCTTCTATTTTGTGTATCAAAAACAAGAATATTTATGTATAACAATGTCATATTTCACATAGATTCACCTTGGATCTCCCCAAACCATTCTTAAAAATTTACCCAAAGCTTATACAATGAGTCTCTTCTTCATAGAGATTTAACTTTACGCTAAGTAAGCTTTCTTCTTTCCTTTTCTTTGCAGCTTGTCTTTATATTCTGTTGATGCAACATCTAGCGATTGCTCTATCAGCTTAATCTCTTTCGCCACTTCCATCATCTTTGGTCTCTCTTCTTTCCTCGTCTCGCAGCATCTCAACGCCAGCTCAAGATATGTATACATAGATTTGCCACCAAACACATCTCTGAGTTCAAACAACTCCCCTTTCACCTGTAGACCTTTCACATAATCATGAATATTATCAGGAGATCCAGCAAACAGAGCAGGTCTCCCACTCAGAAGAACCAACAAAAGGATTCCAAAGCTGAACACATCAGTGTATACAGTGACAATACTCGTAGAAAGATAAGACGGATCAATGTATCCAAGTGTTCCCATCACTTTATCTTCAATCCATGACTTACCTTCAGGGAGAGATATAGAGAAGGAGAAATCAGACAGCTTGGCTGTCCAGTTCTTGTCCAAGAACACATTCATCGGCTTGATTTCTCTGTGTATAATGATCCTCGGAAACGCCGTGTGAAGATAAGTCACAGCATTAGCGACTTCCTTTGTAATCTTCAATCTAACATTCCAAGGCAGTAGTTTCTTGTCACTACCAACACCTCCTCGCTCGTCCATAGCACCATTCTCTGCGTATTCGAACACAAGAACCGGAAGTGGAAACTCGAGACAACAACCTAATAGCTTGAGGAAGTTATTGTGGTTGCTGACTCGAGCAGATATCACAACATCATTGTAGACCACAGATTCGTAGTCACCTAATAAATACTCCTCTTTGAATCTCTTGATCAGGTAACACCTATCTTGGATACTTCCCTTGTGCCAGGCAAAGAATCGATGACGAGATATATAACTACACGGATCAAAGTCGTGCGTGGCCCTGAGGATTTGATCAGAAGAGAAGATGCAAATAGGATTCGATGTACCGTTACAGTCAGCGATAAGTTCCTTGAGAAATTTGCTTCCGTTCTTCATAAACCACTCGACCCGTTTATCTTTTTCCTTCCTTGTCCGAAACTTCATCATCTCTGCCAAATGGGGAAAAAAAAGGCTCTTCATTACAGAAAAGGAAAGAAAATTCAGAGAAACTGATACCATTAATTAAGTTAGGTGAGGTGGGAGATAGTTGGCCAATGGGGAATCAACAAGTATCATTATTATTTTATTAGAGTGAAGTCAAACAATAATACTTGTAAAATATTTACCATATTTCCCGCTAAACGGCATCGTATTTGTCGAAGAAAATATATAACGACGTTTGCTTCTTCGTTCCTCTGTTTTCTTCAATTTTTTCCTTTTTTAGATTCAAGTGTTTGACAAAAAAAAAAAGATTCATCTAAGTTTTCTCCCTTTCCAAGTTTTAATTTTTCGATTGATAAACCTAAGTGGGTCTACAGAAACCTAATTCCGTGGCTTGATCATGGGTACCGAGATTTTATCCGACGGGCGGAAGGAGAAGCGAAAACAGAATAAGGAGGACGCTACTTATGGAATTTTCGTCGGAGATGACTATTCGAACCGTGATGATTCCGGCGGCTATCGAATGAAGAGGCGTAAAACCACCAAACCTGTCAGTTTTCTTTCTGCAGGTACAAGGCAGATAATTGATCGGGGGCTCAAGGAGAATGGGGGAATCAAAATCGAAATCGACGAGGAGGAAGATACTGTTTTATCACCTGGTGAATTGGGTAAGAAGCGAAAAGTGAGAGAGAAGAAGGACGAGAAGGAAAACTTTGAAAAGTTCAACGGAGGGATTGGTATGAAATTGCTTGCAAAAATGGGATACAAAGGAGGTGGGCTTGGGAAGAACGAGCAGGGGATCGTGGCTCCCATTAAAGCTCAAGTTAGGCCGAAGAATATGGGTATGGGGTACAATAATTTCGATGAGAACACTGCACAGTTTCCTGGTTTAAACAAGGTCGAGGAGAAGAAGACTGTTACGGTCACTGTTACTGAAAGGAGAAACCTTTGGAAAAAGAAGAAGCCGAGGAAGGAAGTCTACATCACTGCAGAGGAGTTATTGGAGAAGAAGCAGGAAGTGGGTTTTGGTTGTGGGGAGACCATTGTTGATATGCGAGGAGTACAATCACGGGTTGTGAAAAATTTCGAAGATTTAGACCTAGGGGAGAAAGCAAGAGGTGCAGATGTTCCAATGCCAGAGCTACAACAGAACTTGCGGCTTATCGTTGATTTAGCAGAGCATGAGATTCAGAAGATTGGTAGGGGTTTGAGGAACGAGGAAGAGTCAGCCTTGAGCTTGCAGCAAGAGAAGGAGAAGCTTAAGGTGGAGGGAAAGAAACAGAAACTGCAGCTAGACAAGATTGTGTATATTGCAGAAGAAATCGATCGAATTGACGTGGAGAATGCGTCTGGGGGCTTAACACTGGTTTCACTTGCCAATCGTTTCAAGGACCTGCTTTCAAGCTATCCTGATGACTATAAGCTTTGTAACTTGTCATCCGTTGCTTGCTCACTGGCCTTGCCTCTCTTTATTAGGATGTTTCAGAATTGGGACCCTCTTAGTGATGCAGCGCATGGTATCGAAGCTATATCTTCCTGGAGAATGCTGCTGGATGTTGAGGGCAATCAAAATATCTCGACGGCTTATAGCCAGCTTGTCTCAGAGGTCATCTTACCTGCTGTGAGAACGTCAGTCATCAATACTTGGGAACCTAGAGACCCTGAGCCAATGCTGAGATTTGTAATGACATGGGAAAAATTAATGCCTTCGCATATTCTCGAGACGGTTTTGGTCACAGTGGTGCTGCCAAAACTGTCAACCGCTATCGAATCTTGGGACCTGCGTTTGGAAACAGTTCCCATCCACGTTTGGGTGCATCCGTGGCTGCCACTGCTTGATGAGAAGTTGGAAGGTTCGTATCAGATCATTCGGATGAAACTGAGTGGCTTTCTCAACGCTTGGCATCCTAGTGATGTGTCTGTCCACACTATTCTTTCACCTTGGAAGACTGTTTTTGAAGCTGCAAGCTGGGAGCAGCTTATGCGTCGTTACATAGTTCCCAAACTACAGTTGGCTTTGGAAGAGTTGCAGATAAACCCAGCGAACCAGAATCTAGACCAGTTCGATTGGGTTATGGGGTGGGCATCTTCAGTACCCATACATCTAATGACTGAGTTGTTGGAGAGATTCTTTTTCCCCAAGTGGCTGGATGTTTTATATCAATGGTTGTGTTCTGAGCCAAAGTTTGATGAGATAATAAACTGGTTTTTGGGTTGGAAAGGATTATTCCCACAGGAGCTTTCAGCAAACAGGAGGATCGAAATCCAGTTCAAGCGAGGTCTAGATATGGCGAAGGAAGCGGTTGAAAAGGTGGAACTGTCTCAGCCAGGGGAAAAAGAGGACACAAGTTACCACAAGGCACAAGAGCAGAAACACTTCGAGGGTCGTGCTAAGGGTCATGCTCAGATGAATGACCCCGAGGAGATAAGTTTTAAAGAAGCAGTGGAACTATTTGCGGAGGAGAATGAGCTGCTGTTGAAACCCAAGCCGCATAGAATGCACAACGGTCTTCAGATCTATAGGTTCGGGAACGTGAGTGTGTTGATAGACTCGGCGAACTCTAAGTTGTTTGCTCATGAAGCAGGAGGTTGGTTTCCTGTTGATTTTGACGGCTTGCTGAAGATGCACCACAGTGCTGTTGCTGGAAAACAATGAAACATATCCCCTAGGAAAGAGGTATATATACATTGCTTACGATTTCTCTATTATTCCTCTGTATTTTGCTTTTGTAGAAACCCTCAAAGTAGAAAGTGTACTTTTTTGGTGAGCATTCTCTAGGAATCTAATCATTTGTATGATAAATTTAATGGTCAAGTAGAGAATATATTTCTGTTTCGTGCATTGTTCTGTCGCATAATTAGTATTATGATTTCAGGAACATCGTATAGGATTAGGAACGTTAGCTGAAGAAGCTGTGTTTTGGGACATCATGAAGGTTTGGAAATTTGAACACTTACTGAGTATAAGCAGGAGAATGTATGGGCGTGGACTGTTTTGAACATATTTGCTATTCTTTTTATTGACAGTTAAAAGCTTTTCACCTTTTGTGGTCGTAGGCATCGGAGTTTTAAGTGTATCTTGGCTGACCAGTCACTTGTGCATTGATTTACAGTATTGATGAATTCGTTTTCTTTGTTAGACAATGCATATTCAGTGTTTTTCAGGCGACAGAACACAGATCACTGATGGAGGTTAAAAAGGTTTATCCTTTGGATGATGTGTTTTGACAATCCTGAAGATGCGACTGGCGATTTAAGGATAGAGTTTATAGCTTTCTCACCACGGAGAAGTGTTGACATCTAAATAAACTTATCATTTTCCCATTACGTGATTATATTTTGAACTTTGCAAAAGCTGGAGAAAGTGCGTGATTATTGCGGCTCTGTGAATCTGATATGTGTGTTTTCTGTTGCTTATTTCAGGCACTGTGAAGGAATGTTTTGGAAGCATCACATTGTGGAGATATTGAGTTTTAGTTGATGAATAACAACCTTGTGGGTATACATTGAGTTTTAGTCTTTTGTGCCAATTATGGACCAGGCATGTAACAATACCTCTTTTTATCCCTCGTTTCATTCAAGATTTCATCTTCCAAGACATATATATAGTTTATAAAGTTCGAATATAAAGTCATTAATGATTTTTTGCTGGCGTTTTCTGGTTGATATGGCTAGTAAAAATCGAATATGGTTCCAACAGTCAAAATCTGATTAAAAATCGTGATATTCAATATTTAGATAATGAGATTGGAGCCCAAAAGATAGCTTCTGTATGATACCTAAAACAGAGTATCTATGTAACAGAAGCATTCCACATTATCGTTGCTATAGCCATAAGTACACACTCTACTTACAGTTTTTTACTTGGTTCCACTCATCACTCAACTAAACCCACAGTTCTCGAAGAAGCCTGTACCTTGCATTGGAAGTCGCTGAACCAGTAAAGTCACTCGATTTGTCGACGATGGATGTAAGAGGAGAGTCCAGCTCCTCAAGCTCCTCGTCGCTCGTGTACCCTTTTCTCTGTATCATCGACACATTCCTTGACAATTTTCCGTCAGCCTCTGCAACTTTTACTGCTACGTCCATGGTCGATGGAGGCATGTAAGAAACAGAGGATGCTGCATAAGGGAAGCTTTCTTCTGCATCACCATTACTCTGGATATATACCAAACAAACAAAAAAAGTGTGTTCCAATTTTACTTTCTGGTGATTATGAGAAGAAAGAGAGTCTAGACTTTTGAAGTATTTGTACCTCAGCAGAATTAAGCTCTTCTAGGACAGCTCCTGGTACATGATCCGGACAGAACTCATCAGGAGTGAAGTTGCAGAGTATTCTTTTGATGAGTGAAAGACTGATCGATGGGCATATCTGAAATCAAGGACAAAACTAGATGTGGCTTAACCAAGAAACAAAGAGTGACTGAGAATTTTTAATCAAACAAACCTCTTCTCTAATGGAACTTTCCATAAGCATGTCTTTTGGGAGCATAAGAAGATCACTAAGCTCATTTAGCAAAGCAAAGGCTTTACGATCACTGCCTTCACTTTCTACGTGATCATCTCCGCTGTTTCTTTTCTCTTTCGCTAAAGAATCGTCCGAGTTCATGCCGAACATCTCAGTGAGGCTTCTAGACCAATTCCCAATCTGCAAAGGGAGAATATGGATTAGTCAACAGTTACTCACTCTCTAACGGCTATGAGAATTTGAGCTCTGTTTCGTGTTTTTCGGTTATTACCGCGTTTTTGAGTTGTGCCCCTGAACCAAAGCTTAAGTCACCAGCAGGAATAGGCAGAACTTTGGAATCAAGGATAGGATCAGACACAGGATCCGTTGGGATCTGATGTTCTGACTCTCTCAGAATAGCATTGAACATGGCTACATCGAATCTACCCATACACTTCTCCATCACCTGTTTAAAAACCAATAAGAATATATGATTCTGATTCTTATGTCTTGGCTTTGAACTGAAACAAATGGAGACTCTGATTACCATTCTAGCCAATACAGGCAAGCAACCACATTCGTGTCCCGCGCCTCGCATAGGGCAAAGCCGTTGAAGAGCATCTCTGAAAGCATTTCCCCATAGGCTAATCGAAAAGGTTCCTTGCTTCTCATCACCCAAGGACGGTCCCATCAGTTTCTCATTCGATCTTTTACTGCCTGATGATGAGTCGTCTTCAGGGGATTGCATATGAGGAGTAAATACCTAAAAGATAAGAGAAGAAGAACAAGAACAAGAGTGAGAGATGCTTCATAGACTAACTTAGATGCTCATTTGTGTTTATACCTGCCACCAAACAGACTCGACGATTCTAGAGAATATCCAGAACTCGATTTTCTCGAGTGCAGCAGTAAACGTTTCAGTTTCTTGCCAATCCTCCATAAGCTGTTGGAAACCATTCTTCCACCTAAGGTTTGTTTTCTTCCCTCCTGAATCACCGTTTGATTCAGAGGTCTGTGTGATGCGAGACTTACCAAACGCTTGCGAAATGATCTCCCTTAGAGCAATGATGTTTGATAACCAGAAGGTCAACCTAAGAATTTGGCAACCAAGATAAAGCAACAAAATCTGTTTAGGTCCTGGAATTTTCACTCACATGTCAAATATCAAGTCTACATACCTCGAAACATCATTCCCACAGGATCTGGCGACCAAAACAAGACCAGAAACAGAGTTTCTTGCGATTGTAGCACGCTTTCCCCGAGTGAAATGCTTACAGGCATGGATGTAGATTCTAGAGATACGCCGAGCAGGCGTGTGAAGCTTGTGTGCGGAGCTTGAATGGTCCGGCACAACAGAGTAGAGCGAGATCTCTAGTGCAGCAACTTCTCTAAGCTCCTCTTCGAGATTCTCGATCCTCATCTCCAGATGCTCAATCTTCTCCCTCCAAGAAGATCCATCCTCCAAGTTCCCTCCACTTTCCTCCGTTACATCAGCCGCCTCGTTCTCACTTCCAGCACTAAGAGCACCATTCGAAGCATCTTCCCATACATCGGCATTGATTTCTTTATCGATGTTGACATCTTTGTATTCATGTTCGTCAACATTTCTCTCCAAAACGGATCCATTCACATAATGCTGCTTCTCTGTTTTCTCCGCAGCTCTGCGAGAATCAGATTCTTGATTAGCATCTGCAGACGCATCATCACCATCCAAGTAACGAACATCTACAGTCTCGTAAGCCTCAGATGGATCTGATTGCGTGGTTGAATCACTAGCTACTGTAGAGAGATTGTGAGACTCTTCCTTAGCATCCAAGTCTTTGTGTTTCTCTTGTTCTAACAATCTTTTCTGGCTATTCGTCTTCTGTAGCTTTTGATCTTTTCTTCCGCTCTTGGTAGATCGCTTCGACTGGACATTGTTAGTTGTTCTTGCCTTCATCATGAAACTCTTTAAATGCAGCCAAAGCAACAGTTACTTTCAACTTCCAAGTGAGAAAAACCAATCAAAACAAAGATTTGTGTAACCCTACAGAGAAAGAAAGAAAGAAAGCGAAAAGGAATCTGTGAGAAGTCTCAAAAAGTAATGATATTTAGATTGAGCAAGATGAGCAAAAGGATAAAAAAATAACAGCTGGATAAATCCATGTTCCTGAAAACGACAGCACATAATGGAGGGAGAAAAAGACATAATCGGACTTGCTATGTTTTGTCTGAATCTACTACAGTAGCATTTGAGGCCCCAGCAAGTTGTTCATATTTGCTATTGCTAAGATAGAAAATGTCACTTAATCTCAAGGATTTTCAAGAATGATTAAGTTAAGCAGATTTGATAAAAACCCAGAAAAAATGGGAAACTTTTTTTACTGCCAGTTTCAGAGAGAGAGAGAAACAGAGCATGAAACAACCATAAAGACTAGATAACTCAACAAGTAAAAAAGAATGTTACCCTTGACTGAAAATCTGTAGAAGAAACAGAAGTGCAAAAGGAGCAGACTTTTGAGAAAATTATGATTCACATCCAAATTATGACGAAGCCCATTTGGTTGTCTTCCTCTTCAAGATGGTTACTTTAATCTACTCAGAGTGAAGTCTACTCTCAGATTTGCGTCACTGAGATTAGCTGTCTTTTATCTGTAATCCATAATAAATCCTACTCTATCTCTCTCTCTCTCTATCTGTCTCTCTCTCTCACACACACTATGGGAGATCCAAGTGCGGGAAGTTATAGTGCATTTAAAAAAAAAAACATGGATCGTGTATGGTACGGACTGTGACCGTGGTCGTGTGATCCATGGAAGGTTGTGTCGGTGGGTCGAGTGTTTACCGGAAATAGCCGGTCACATTACCCGAAAAAGTAGCTTCTCTTTTAAATGACCGTAGTGTCCTTTTCTCTTTCGTCCAATACATCCGAGTATCTGACTGACTACACCGACACCGACATCAAATTACGTACGATTACGAGTGTTCATTTTTTTTCTTCCTGAATTGGAATTTACGAAAGAAAAAATTTGATGTACAGAAGAAAACGGATAAGAAGACAAAGGTTCTTCACATAATCACATGGCTTTACATTGGACTCTTCTTAGGTTTCCAGAGATAAATCATGTGAAGAGTGAAAGTGATCAGTCTTTTTACATTTAACAAGCCTAATCGTTTTCACACACATACACAAAATCTAAGGGATCACTACAATAGCCCTCTTGAGGTGATGCAATTTGAAGACACGAGATTGCTCAACCAAGGCAAACAAGAAATCAAGTTATACTTACTTACTCACTTGAAGAATGCCAGCAAGAGTTCAGAGGATGCGATGAACATTACAGCTCGCTAAAGAGTCTACTTAAAGAGAAGACTATCAAGCCACAGTAAAGGAAATTAATCAGAAGATTTGGGAACAACAAGCAATAGTACTCGAAATGGCAGTATTCAAATAGAAGGTCCATCGACTAGAACCTGCAGAGATAGAGAGGTGTCATGTTTTCTAAAACCTAATCTACCCAAAACTGAGTGAAGTTCTCTTCAACTCCAACTCGAGACTTAGTAAAACAATTAATCAAACTCCTTTCATATGCATATAACTTTTTCCAAATATCGAAACAACTTCTCATGCTATTCTTAACTCAATATTTGCAAAAAAAAAGATGCTCCGAATTCAATATCCACACAGCTAAAACAATATCGTAAGCCATTACTGAATTGTTCAAACCTCCAACACTGATGCAACCAAATACCACATATGAAGTTCTGAAATCTCTAGCAATGACTGACTGATGCCATGAGAAGTCTACTCCTACAATTATTGAATCATTCAAGCATCCATGCAATGAGCAGTAAAAGCCTAGTTAATAACGCAAATTTGAAAGATAGTGTGTTGCATCTAACAATGGCTGATGATCCACAAATGCGCACACACTGCACGAAGCTATAATCATATACCATAGCGAAAATCTATACTAATGCGCCTTCTTGAAGCATGACATGTCTACAAAGCAGAGGAACATTCCATCTCCTAGTTGAAGCTCTACACTTAGCCTCTGACTACAAACAACAAATGACAAATAGAAATATGGATCTAAAGAGATTCAGAGTCGATGAATATAAACTGGCTTCAAGTTTTCATCAGGATGCAAAACATAACGGAGTGCAATAAGCAAACCAAAATTCACAGATAACATAAACAAGCCACAACCTATTTCACGTTGTAATAATCTATATATCAGAAGAGCAATCAATAGGTGAATCAAAAGCATTTGAAGAAAAGACCAATTCGATTGCAGATGTTTTGATCAAAATGAGCAAATCAAAAGTGACCAAATTTGAGAAATGTAATGATAAGTAGAGAGAGTGAGGGCAAGTGCGTCGAAGCAACAGTTAAAGAACACTTATTTTTATCATGAACATCATTATCCACAAAACAAAGAGATTGAAACCAAGTTCTTCAGGGGCGAAACGAAACCCTAAGTCTCCAGTCTTAGTGATCGTCATAACACGGAGAAAAAAGCCTCTTCAAATCCCCGGAACAGAAGACATACCAGATCAAGCATCAGGCCATATCAACCAACCGGAGATCCAACGGTGAAGCTCAATCGGACGAATCTCCGACGGACGCGAGCTTCTCCATTTCGAGGCGCTCTAGAGCTTTCTGATGAGCCCAAGTCTCGATGGAAAGATCAGGTTTGGCATTGAGTCCGACGCCGAGGATTACAATCGTGAGGAAGCTCGTGATGTAACAAGGAAGCTCCCAATCTTCCCATTTGCGCGACTGTCCCGGTGCCGGAGGAGTACGGTTCATAAAGTAACCCTTGGGCCGCTCCTCGTGACCCGGCGTCGCCCACCGACTCGGGCCGGCGGATGTAGATCCGGACCTTGAGAAGATCCGATTTCGTAGCGTCTTCGCTGCGACGGTCAAGGACTGCGTCGACGGCATCGCTGTGGCTCCGATTTCTTCTGTTAGCAAAGAGGCGAAATGGAAAATCCACAGATTTGTTTAGTGTTCGACTTTATACGACCACTACCTACGAAAGGTTATTCTCAACTCAAACCGGACCGGGAAATCGAGTTTGGTTTATTAATATCGTCGGTTTAATTAGAAATTTGCCGTCGGTATCTTGGTTTCATTTAATAGATTTACAAACCAACTTGTAACCGTATTCTGTATTCCGCATGTACAGTAATATACTAATATGTATGATTGATTACATTTTCTGGTTTTAAAGATTTACAAACCAAATTAAAACCGTATTCTATATTATTCCGTATCATTTTGCTTACGGTCTGTGTTAAAATTTTGTAGTTCAAAATCGGTTCTGTCAGTTCGATTAATATTTGGTTCAACCGAACCAAATCGGTCACCTTAGTAGGTTAACCAGTTTCGGGTTAGATCCATGTACGGCGCCGTTTTTGCACAGTAACAATACCAAAGCTACATACACTACTCTTACTGGACACACTTGAGTTGAGACATTCTGAATTCTACATAGAGAGGCCATGGACAAGAGAGCCGAAACAATAATAACCATTTTCTACCTCTAATGCAACAATCGAAACCTTATGAGATATATAACTTTTATCTTATATACACAAACATGTCAAACAGTTTTGAAACTTATAGCTCCATTTTCACCTGATTTGGGTTCAAATTAGCTGAACCCATCAAGACATTTGCTTGATGATGATGATCTTCTTCTCTTTCCCATTCCGGCTGGTGATAGCCATCAAAAGACCACTGTTGCAGCTGATGATAAGCATCTCCGTTGATGCTACCATCGATAAAAGAACCATTCTGCATAAAGAGATTTGGACCTCATCATTAACTCAATTCGTTTCAAATCGACAAAATATATCAACTTCCATTAGAGATCGCTCATTTAACATCCTAGATTCTCTATCTAGTCAACAACCCAGCTCTCTTTTACTGCTTTTAAGGAGTGGGACCTGGTTCTTAAATGGTGTACAAGCTGTAAAAGAAAGGGGTCATTTAATAACAAGTTATTTGCAGAGAAACAAAAGATGATTGTTAGATTGGATAGGTGAAACTTGAAGCAACAAGAACTTAAGACTGAGACCCACAGAAAAATAATTGTGGAAGGATAAAAATAAAAATAAAAGACATCATCAAAGACCACAGAACAGAGGTGGTCCGTGTTTCTGACCCATTTTTTTCACTCTGTGTGTGATATAATTGAGAGAGAGGACTCATTAGTCCTTTCAAAAGATCTTTTCTCTGAGTCCTTACGTAACAGAAGGCTCTGTGTGTGTGTACTGCGTTTTTTGTAAGGATGTGTATTTATTTCCCCCACGTTGATCTTCTTCTTTAAGCCTAGTCTAAAATAGAGTCGATTAATGTTGGATCAATAAATACCCAAAAGATTCTCTTTCTGTGATACAACTAAAAAGGTTACTCAAAGAAATAGAATCCTATGGTTACTTAAACGAGCAACATGGTCAATGGGAGGTTCTTTCTTCTAAATCTTAAATTTACTGGTTTTGTTGTAGAAGAAGATCACATGGAACTTAAGTCGTGTATGTGATTAGATACTTACTTCTGAATCTAATATGCTGTCGAGATTGAAGTCGATTCTGGGGTTTACTGCAGCAAGTCTCATAGATAGCATCTGAAAATAAGAAGAACAGTTATGAGACATTGTGGCACCAGTGTTATTACACACTATGTAACTTATTGTTTTGATTTTAAGTTAATAACAAAAAGTCCCACCTCTACTTGACGCTGTAAAGTCTGCACATGGTTAATGATTTCATCCAGCACCAATGCAGTGCCCTGAATCTGCAGGTCAAAGCTTTCTGGTAAGTCAGACATAAGAAGAACAAGCCACAGCTTTAAGAAACAAAAGGGTTCCTACGAAGCTATTTTCTTCATTAGAGTATCCGTTATTTATGAAAGTAATATGCGAAAATCTATACGATTACAAAACTTCACAAGATTCAAAACTATGTGTTGTTAAAGAAGCAGCGAGAAAATGAGCCTTAATCCTAAAACGGCTTCTACAATCTTAACACCTAAACTCTTTTCAGTATGAAAATTGCCAGAAAAGCAAACCAGAGCAACATCCCTCATTTAATAAAACATGAATTCAAACTTCTCAAGATTTTATGAACAAACAATCAAGTCCGAGAACCCCACAAATTTTACAAACACTTAACGAGTTGTCACTTATCATCATCTCCTTCCACCAATAATGGCTGCTAGATTCCAAGATATGAATATCGATTAGTTAGCTGTCTGCAGGAGTGTCACATCATGCTTCCAACCAATTAGGTATTGTGGGACTCAAAGCATACATAACAATATTTAGTGACTATACCACACTCCTCACCCTCTTTCTACTTGATAGATACCAAACTTATTAGAGACGATACACTACACTGCTCAACCTCCATAGAAAGCCTGCAACTTTTTCTACTTAACATCAAAAGATGGACCCCAAAACACACTCTGATCTTGATCTATCCACCAAAACATGTCCCCTCTACTCTAAACCTCAAGGGAACAATCCAGCTAGCATTCCCACATCACAAAAGCCATTATCGTCATTTATGGAGTAAGCTTCAAGCTCAATGAATACACTTTGAGAAGTGGAAAAGTTGAACAATGTCACATCACTTCCGTATTTCTTACTACTTTACCAAAATGGTTATATGACCTGTGAGATATTCCTTCCCCACATTAAAAGAAAGTTAAAATCTTCACGGCGGTGAAATTACAAAACTAGTAGTTTAGGTCTTTGGAACCCCAGAAAGCTTTCTTTTCATATAAAAGGAATTCAGCATTCCACTTTTTTTATCATATAAAAAGAAAGTGAGAAGGATTAAGACTCTTCTCAAATTAAAGGAAAAAAACTAACTTTTTGGGGTTTGGTCTAATAAAGAAAGATTCTGTCCTTGAGCACAAATGAAGATCTAATTATAGATTAGCTTTTTGATTAGAGGTCGATAATCTAGGGACAAACCTTATCACAGCCTGGGACCAGTTCCTGTAGCAGCTTCATTCGTGCGTTTATTTTCTCCCTTCTTGCCTATAATCAAGAGTTAATGATGAATTAGCATAACCACCACTAATTAAAATATTAACCCGACCACGTTTGTTGAGATGTGTGAATTACTCGCTCTGCTAAGCTGTGGTTATCAGTAGCTTGACCACGACGAGCTCTAACGTGAACATACGGCAGCTTCTCTGCTTCTTCAGAGCTCTTGGTCTTCTTCATCGAGCTTTTGGCCTAGAAAATTAATGGAAAAGAGAATTAAGCACTAATCTATGTGGTTTAATGAACGAAAAATCTATTGGAGCCAAGAGTTTGATTGTGAACAATTGGTATCACCTTCTTCTCTCGTTCTTTCCTCTTGCCAGAAGAGTTGTCCTGATTCTGGGTCGAATTCTGATTCTCCACCATTCGATAAGAAACCAACCGCTGAGATGAATCGGTGTCATCAGGCTCGGACTTGACTCTGTCCAGATTCGCGCTGGATTCGCTTTCGCCGGAGATATTTCCGTTTTGCTCTGTAGCAACCACCGAGTAACGAGAGGCGCGGTCCAAGAGAAGCAAGTTAGAAGGAAAAGTCAATGTCCCGAAAGGGTGAAGAGTGGGAGGAGCGATATATCCGGCGGCTCTTGTAACGGTCGCCTGAGAACACGAGGTCTCTGGGAAATGGAGAAGCTCCATGGCCTGAGTCGCCGGCATCTCGAGCAAAGCCGTGAAGGAGGAGCCGGTATTCTCCGGAGGCATCGTCACCAATTGCCGAATTTCGTCGCTGAAATTGAGAGATTCAAGTCCGGTCACCGCCTCTCGGCACGGCCCACCGCCGGATCTAGCTCCAAGTCCTTGGGTCAGATCCATATGAGGACAAACTCACGCTTAAACCGGAATTAACCAACTTGAAATTCAGAGAAGTAACCAGAAACCGACCGACTTGATCAACTCCCTCGAGTAAAACCCGCTTAGAGCTCTCTATCTCGAGAGAAAATGAAATTTAGTTTTGTCAATTGGTAGAGAAAAACAAAATTAACACGAAGGAGGATGCATCAATGGCGCGATCAAAGTAGTTGAAGTATTTCTCTCTCTCTCAATCTCTCGCTTTCTCGGAGCTTCCTCGAGAAAGTTCTTCTTCTTCGTAAGAGTCTATCTCTCTGTGTTCTCAGAGCAAAAGATTATAACTTGAGAGCCATTTGGAGTGGAGAGAAAGCAACGTTAGCTTTGGAGTGCGTCTGTTAATAAAGCCGAATTTTAGAGGGGGAAAGTATCCATTATGGGGTTGAGGATGAGAGAGAGTGTTGGGCCTTTGGGCTTGTTACGGTAGCGTTTCTTCGCTTTGTTAACAAATATTGTAATGGTCACATTTTTGTTTGCTTTGTATTATATAGACTAGGTAATAAAGTTGTGCGTTTTGACTTGTCTATAACTTATAATTTAATCATGAGTTCATGACATAAGCCATAATATCAGTGACAAACGCACAGATTAAAACGAGAGAGAAAAGAGTGAGCTTCACTATTGTGTGACACAAACATGACTTGTGACTTGTGGTGGTGAATCAAGTCACGAACGCCGAAAACGACGGGGCTTGCCGTCCCCACCGATGATTCAAGTTGCACGAATCTTAAAAAAAGAACAAAAGGCCGTCTTAGCAATTTATTGGGTCTATTTAGACCGTTAAAAAATGAGTCTGCCAGAATTGGGCCATCTCATTCACTGCTGTGTAGTCCTTGTGTCTGTACCAAAAACGGCAAGATGTTCGCGGTACACCGCACTGCAGTGCTCGCTGCTTCTTGCTTTTGAATAATTATGAAGGGAATAACAACAAATGGAATAAACAATAAGTGGATTGGGATCAAATGATCAGTTGTTCATGGAAAAATGATTGCACATGATGATCAGAGCCGTGCTTAGCCTTTTGGTATCGTCGGCCCAAGCCCAAAACCTGATTCTAGCTATTTACGGAAGTACCCTTAGGAGTGGCATCTTTCAAATGCATGTTTGTTTGGTGACTTTTGTCGGTTGGGTTAAAAATTTCTCTGACACACATCCATCACCTATAGTCTCTTCCTTGCTTTAATTTGAATAAAATCAAATATCACTGTCCTCTATTGAATTCAAAATTCAGCGCTTCAAATCCTCACATATAAATATTTATACGTCGACCTTCTTGATAAGATCATCGGTAGGAGTTCGACTAATTACAATTTTTTATTAACCATGTGTTTAAGCTTTTTAATTACGGATACATAATATAGGTTCAGTATGACTGTACTGATTTTTCATGGCTCAAGGTATCCTCCTATATAGTACCAGTTAAGATTCTAAGCATTTAAGATACGAGAGAACTAATGCCAAAAATTTTTTTTTAATACTTTCTCCAGTCATATGATTGCTTATTGTACTATTGTCTATTGATAGTTTGATAATAGCTGTATTATGATGTGTCCTTGTCTACTTAAATACTTCTGTACGAATATATTTCAAATCATTTTCTTTGATAGAGAAAATGCTTATCTGTTACTATTCTTTTTTTACATTTCAGAAAAACATCTTCATTACTGAGTAAGCACATCTTCATAATCCGGTATATATTTTCCGGATTTCCAAATTTTAAGACTCGAAATTTGTATCTATAGCATTTTGCTTCTCTAGTTATCCTATAAATCCAATGATCCTAGTTATTATCAACGCAGACAAAACTTAAGACATGTAACAAGATCCCACCTGCTGCCTGCAACAGTCAAATAACTAAACTTCAAAATTAACAATAAATAAATCATAAAGAAACAAAAAAAATGAAGAAGCAAATCCCAATACTATATTATATTATTATAATTTCAAACTAGAAGCACAAGAAGAAATTCAAATTTTTGTGATCATGACTTCATTACTCCACGTTGCTACAATGCATCCATAAAAGAATCTAATCTCGGGTCAAATCTCTCTAATTCCTGTTCTTCGCTGCTGATCATTTTACGCTGCAACTTCTCGTTGCATCACTTATATGACTGATCTATAGCTCTTTTTCTTCTTACTTGCATAGAACGAGAAAAAAAAACAGTTTCAAGAAAATGAAGTCGCTTTGGAATATTCTTTCACTTGTTGTTTCTTCCATCTTCCTCTGCATGAGCTTTTGCTCCTCTCTTAATTCCGACGGTTTGTCTCTTCTTGCTCTCAAATCCGCCGTCGATAACGACCCGACCCGAGTGATGAACCACTGGTCTGAATCCGACCCGACTCCATGCCACTGGTCCGGGATCGTCTGTACAAGCGGCCGAGTCACCTCGATTGTACTCTTCGGAAAAGGTCTCTCCGGTTACATTCCGTCGGAGATCGGCTTACTCGACTCGCTTATCCGGCTCGATCTAGCTCACAACAATTTCTCCAAACCGGTACCGGCTCGTCTATTCGAAGCAACCAAGCTCCGGTACATCGATCTCTCTCACAACTCACTCTCCGGCCCAATCCCGGCCCAAATCAAGTCCATGAAATCTCTCAACCACCTCGATTTCTCCTCCAATCATCTCAACGGGTCACTCCCCGAGTCACTCACTGAGCTCGGAAGCCTCGTCGGAACCTTAAATCTGTCTTGTAACCGATTCACCGGCGAGATTCCATCGTCGTACGGTCGATTCCCTGTTTATGTCAGCTTAGATCTCGGCCACAACAATCTGACCGGAAAAGTACCACAGGTGGGTTCTCTGTTGAATCAAGGACCCATCGCATTCGCTGGAAACTCTCATCTCTGTGGGTTTCCATTGCAAACGCCATGCGAAGAAATCAAAATCCCAAATTTCGTCACTGCAAAGCCGGAAGGCACGCAAGAACTCCAGAAACCAAACCCTAGTGTAATCAGCGAGGACGAAGGAAAAGAGAAGCAGATCACCGGATCAGTGACGGTTTCACTGATATCGGGAGTCTCGGTTGTCATCGGAGCGGTTTCTGTATCGGTATGGCTGATCAGGAGAAAACTGAGCTCCTCCGACGGGTACAAAACGGAGACGAAGACGACGACGGCGGTGGTCTCGGAGTTCGACGAAGAAGGTCAAGACGGTAAATTTGTGGCCTTTGACGAAGGATTCGAGCTCGAGCTTGAGGATTTACTCAGAGCATCGGCATACGTGATAGGCAAGAGCAGGAGCGGGATTGTGTACAGAGTAGTGGCGGCGGAATCCTCCTCCTCCGCCGTTGTCGCCGTTAGAAGGCTCAGCGACGGTAACGCCACGTGGCGGTTTAAGGATTTCGAGAACGAAGTGGAGATCATCCGTAGGATCAACCACCCCAACATCGTACGGCTAAGAGCTTACTACTATGCAGAAGACGAGAAGCTTCTCATCACTGATTTCATTGGCAATGGCAGCTTGTACTCTGCCTTACATGGTAAAAAACTAATCTTTCTTGATTTTTCCAAGTTTTTTTATACTAAATTTGCTTTTGTTCATCTGCTTAATTATAAGGTTTATCTACACATGATTGTTGAAACTATATTTTGGGAGTCAATGCTCTTGGTCTGAAAGTGCAGAGCTTTTTGTCCTTTGTGTGATAGTGGTATAGTGACTAACTTGTTGGCTTCTTTCTCCTTGTTGTTTTATTGTTCAAAGCATTTCTGTGTTAACATGTGTTGAAACTTGAAATAGTAGAGATTGAGGACAAACATGGGGATCTCTCTACCTACCAGAAAAAACAAATAAACAGATTTTGTTCTCTATCACTATGAGATTAAACAATGTAGTGTGTGTGGTCCTGTTTTCTTCATGGGAAAACATTAGAGAGTGTTTAATGTGACATATAAGGAAGATTTCTTCTTGGTACTTAGGCAGAGATTAGATTAAGAAGATGGTGTAGCTGCGATGGTACGCTTGTATGCATGATATGTTTGATTCTGTGGTTTAAGGTGTATTAGATTAGGACACAAAGTTGATATTTTTTTCAATTTTCTGTAGGTGGAACTTCGAGTACTCGGCCTCCGCTCTCTTGGGCTGAGAGGTTACATATAGCACAAGGGACTGCTCGTGGGTTGATGTATATACATGAACACAGTTCGAGAAAGTATGTACACGGCAACCTAAAATCAAGCAAAGTCCTGTTAGACGATGAGCTACATCCTCACATCTCAGGTTTTGGTCTCACACGTCTTGTTTCGGGTTATCCCAAGCTCGCTGATCATTCACTATCCATCAAAATGCAAAGCGTAGACCAAACATTTGCGACAAAACTCTCAGATCCTCAAGCTGCTTACCTTGCACCAGAAGCACGAGCGTCTTCTAGCTGCAAATCTTCTCAGAAATGCGATGTTTATTCATTTGGGGTGATTCTGTTGGAATTGTTGACTGGTCGTTTACCTAATGATTCTATTGGAGAAGAACTCGTTAGTATTCTGAGGAAGTGGCACAAGGAAGAGAGATTGTTGGCCGAGATCTTGGACCCGAGGCTTCTGGAACAGGGTTTTGCAGATAAGCAAGTTATTGCAACGATTCGTGTCGCTTTGAACTGCACGGAACTGGATCCAGAGATGCGTCCTAGGATGAGATCTGTGTCTGAGAGTTTAGGCCGTATCAAGTCGGAATAAAACTTTACTTTTGAATGAGCCCGGAAAGTATTAAATGTGTGTATTGCTAATCTCAGGCAAAGTGATGTTTTGTAGTTTCTATAGCTAGCTTAGATGAAGGGCTTAGGGTTTAAGTTCCAGGTCAAGTGTCTATCTCTGTAACTCTGTTTATCATCGATCACATGTTCCTTGTGTCTTAAGGAATAAAGTTTGGCTTCTATAAAGAATGTTTTTAAAAAATCACACTTAAGTTAAAATACGTATTATGTTGACTCTCATTGCCTAAACCTTGCATGATATATATCCTCTCTTCCCAAAAAATAAAGATTTATATATAATATAACCAAGTGGGATTGTTTCAAATGTTTGTTTTCAGTGGTCGAGATTCGATTTTGATTAGATGCAGCATGATTAACGAACAAAAAACCGATGCTTTTTAGTGGGATTGTACTAATCTATACTATGACATTTCTCTTTGTAACGAAAAATAGTTAGTAGTAAAAGGAAAAAAACAACTCAGTTGCATGATTGCATCATTGCATCTCTTGCGCATGGAGGTGCATATATATTATATACATAACATACATACATACAACGGAAATGAATTCTGAGCCGATCTTTTAGCATTTACGCAGGATATGAGAAGAAAAGGCGAAATCTAATCTATTTCGATTATAGTTTTTGTCAGAACATCAAACAGGATCATATCCCACCATTGGTCCTCTGTTCAAATTCACAACAAAAAGTATTACTTTGTTATATTTTAAAAAGAGAAATCTTCATGGCAAAACATATCTCCCCCCAGCACGATTGATTACTTCCAAATATAGCAGCCCACTCGAGAAATTTAAATATAAAATAAGAGAGAAACACTTGCTTAATTTAGAAGTTCCTTTTAAAGAAAATACAATCGAGAGGCTCCTTTTTTAACTTGTTGACATTATAAAAGCCAAAGCTGGACCACGATTCCTATATATTTAAAAATAAATTGACGGGGAATCGTTTCATTTTTTAATTACTAAATTCAAAATATGAGACGGTAAGAAAAATAAAATCTAGACAACATAGAGAAGCTAATGTGGGTCTCATCACGTGTCCATGTTCCCATCCACGGACGAGCTTTGCTTAATAATTTCCTCTTCTTCTTTTTGTTGGCTAAACTTTTAAATTGCACCCTTTTTTGTTTTTGTTTTGTTTTTTTGAACTAAACGTTTAAATTGCACTAATTAAGTTATATATTTTGCTTCTTTACCATTTCCTTTTAGTTATTTCCCCCGTCGTAGTATCAATTATATCTAGAAGAGAAATATTAACACCGCTGAATTTTTCAAAATAATTTCAAATAATGAAGAGTTTGTCTGTTTGTATTAGAGACGTCTTTACTAAAAATGGTGAGGACCAAATTTTTCGAGCCAAAAGAGAATGACGCTGAAAACATTTTGTTGTTTTGATTTAGAAAAGAGCTGTTAGATTACAATTCATGTAATGAGTATAGCTTCTGTTGAGGAAGATAGTCGTTAGATTTTAAATAAGCAAATTTGCTGCATATAATTTGATATATTTCTTTTGCACTAGAACATAAAATTTTGATTTATGTTGATTTAGTTTTTGAGTTACGTTTCACATTTTATATGCAACCACGATGAATAGTTTTCATAGACGAGACTCTTATGGTATTATTTTGACAACAAGACATATTGCTAGACAATTCTATCGATAGCATTTGAAATGTCTATCTGATGTGCTTTACATTAAAATTTTGCAAAATAAAACTTATAAATTTACATCATTTACAAATCAAACTCATATATAAAGTGTAAAAACATTTAATCTGAGAGTTTACACAGATATATATTCTTTACTTCCACACATCAGTGTTTTATCAATTTCATTAAAATATCACAGACATTTCTCCCCACTAGAAGTGTTAATTCTCATAAACTATAGTTACTATACTGTATGTTAATAACTTAATATAATTAGTTATGCTTAAATAATTAAAAAGCAATATATATACGTGCATGTGCTTGCGCATACAATTTTGTCTTCTTGTTGATTAACTAAGAAACAGCTCGAATTTTTAAAATTTTGTAGCTACTCCAACTCATCGATCTATATATCTCTACAGTCTACACCATTATATAGAGCCTGTAGACACATAAATCATAGTTCCCAAATAAAAAGAATGAAATAATTAACAACTCCCATAGACAATAAATTTCAAACTAAAGGCTATGTGATTATTAGTTAATACACACATACTAAAATGTCCAATCCACTACAATTACTAATTCTCTTCGTAAAGTTTTGTTTCTTTTTTCAATTATCATTGATACGAATATGTTGTCGAAATTCACCAATGTACAAAGGACTAATAAAATAATCAATTTCGAATGAAGGGCTGAACTGAAATTTGTCAAGAGAAAAGGGTCGCTTTTTTAGATTTAGATTTTAGAAAGACGGCGCTCGTGAATTATTAAAGTTAATTAAGATAAGATTTATAGAGAGATAGGAAAAAAAAAGTGTTGAAACGAAGGTGCGAGGGAAGAATCTGGTGGTGCATCGTTCACACAGAGTGACGTCACTATGTATTATCGTCGACCAATGAGATTTTAGAGTTTTGGTTTCCATTATCCTTTTTCTCATGGTTCATGCAAGTGTACCGTATGTCACAACACACATTAATACTCCACTAATCCTCGCCAGTCGCCAGATGCCAACTTGCGTTCCCAATGCGTTAACGGCGTCGACATCCTCCGTCACGATCTTGTCGAAGCTGTTAGGTTCCGTGAACCCTAAATCGGATATGGAAAGCTACATACATACATTTGTTAAAAAGTACTTTGCAGTTTTGACTGTACTTCCGACAATTATCTTTCTATTTTTAGATGTTTTTGTGTTTAACCATATCTTGAGATATTTCTGACTTTTTTTTTCAATATTCTGATGGGACAAAATAATAAATCATAAACAATCTTAATTATTTTATTCGGATGTGTTTTTAGTATGTTAGATTTGTCTGCACAATTGCTGACTATGAAATCTATGACTATTGGTTTCTGATTAACGACTACGCATATACTTATCTTCTTGTTTATAAACTTATAATCTTATGCTACTACTTTGAACAAAAAATAATAATAATCTTATGCTACTACCAAACTTACAAGTTTGTTCGTAACATGCCAAATATTTGTTCGTATAAAAATTCGCGTAGATACCTAACAATTTATCAATAATTAATGGCAGTAATTTATGAACATTACTTTTGTTGTAACAATGGTGTATATAGGACAAAGAAAAAAACAAATAACAGTATGAAAATGATATTATAGATATTTTTTGTAGGGTAACAATAAGAGACGGAAATAATTTGTCACGGGTCCATCAGTAACTCGCAAAAAATTGATTAGGTAGGTATTTACTTCACATGCTCTTCCTGTATTTCGAGTATTAAAAGTATGTATTTTCATCTTAAATCTACCCTCTCTTCTAGTTTCTAAATACATTTTATATTTATTTCAATATTATTCCTATAAATAATATAAATCCCCCCCCCAAAAAGTATTCAAAAATATACATTTTAAAAAGAAATGTAAAGGCATTTCCGTGACTCAGCCTCACAGGCGGCTCAAAACGACGTCTTCCTCTGTACTTTTCTTTTTATTTTCCTTTTGATTTTTGTTATGCTTTTCGATCCGCCGCTATCTTCAGCAATTAAAGTTGGACGCAGAAACTCAGAAGGAAAAGACGATAAATATTCATAATTTCTCTCTCTCTCTTCTCTGTTCCACCGTTCTTCCTTGCTTACATACAATCTCTCTCTCTCTCTCTTTCTTCTTCAGACGAAACCTCCTTTGCTTCTTCTTTAAGTTCTTATCTCTTTCAAATTCTTCACCTGCTTACATCTCAAGCTGAAACCAAAATTTCCCGGGAAAGTGATACAACGGGAACATGAGAGGAGAGACAAAAGCTTAAATTTGTGTAAATCCAGAGAATCCGAAAATCCATAGCACGTTGAAGATGCTGTTTGCCCAAATTTGTTCTTCTTGAACGTCATTGTAACAGAGCACCTATAGTTAAAGGATAGACAAGGAAAAAAATTCGTCGCATTTTTTTTTTGGATTTGATTCATGGATTCAAATACTCACAATCATCTCTACGACCCGAATCACATATCTTCTTCCGGGTCGGGTCTTCTTCGTTTCCGATCAGCGCCGAGCTCGGTTCTCGCCGCTTTCGTTGACGACGAGAAGAGTGGGTTCGACTCCGATAGGTTGCTTTCCAGATTCGTGAGCTCTAATGGCGGAAACGACCATCTGGGTTCGCCGAATCCGAGTGAATTCGAGGAAAAGTCTCCCGTTTCGTTGACGAACGCCTCTGTATCATACGCCGCCACTCTTCCGCCGCCGCCGCAGCAGCCTGAGCCGTCGAGCTTTCTTGGTTTGCCGCCGCATTACCCGAGACAGAGTAAGGGGATGATGAATACTATTGGTTTGGATCAGTATCTGAGTATGAATAATCACCACTCGAAACCAGTTGAATCTAATCTTCTCCGGCAAAGCAGCTCGCCGGCCGGAATGTTCACTAACCTCTCAGATCAAAACGGTACCGTTTGCTCTCTCATCAAAAGTTTCCCTTTTTGGTATCTCTGTAACACTAAATCCAAACTTTTGAAAGACAAGATCTCTAGTCTATTTTGCTTTTATAGATTTTTACTGGAAAGTGAAAGCCTTTCTCAACTGTGTTAGGCGCAGAAACCATAAAGTTAACTGTTGGTGGTTTCTGCAATACTTACAATCGCAGGTTATGGCTTGATGAATTACGGTGGTGAGGAAGAAGATGAAGAGAGTCCACCTAATCCCAACGGTTTAAGACGCCATTGCAGCCTCTCTTCAAGGCCACCACCTTCTTCTTCTATGGGAATGCTCTCTCAGATACCGGAAATCGTCTCTGAAAGCATCGCCACTAATTTTCAATATAGCCATTGGAGCGATCCGTCAAGCTTCATTGATAACTTATCCTCCCTTAAAAGAGAAACAGAGGACGACGGAAAGTCGTTTCACGGAGCTCAGGTAACTCGGTTTTCTACCTGGTTTAGTGATACCAAACCGGCCTTGGTCAGTTTAATGTCTTGTATAAGCTGAAAGTGTTGGAGTTGGTTTCTTGAATAAAGTTTTTTTGATGGGTTTGTACAGAACGGAGAGTCTGGAAATGGAATGCAGTTACTGTCGCACCACTTGAGTTTACCCAAGTCATCATCTACAGCCTCTGACATGGCTTCACTGGATAAGTACATGCAGTTACAAGATTCTGTTCCGTGTAAAATTAGAGCTAAACGTGGTTGTGCCACACATCCTCGAAGCATTGCTGAACGGGTAATTTCAATTACTTAAAAACCGTAATTCATATCTAAAAAAGTTTTGAACTTTCTTAACAAATTTCTTTTATCACTAATCAGGTAAGAAGAACACGAATAAGCGAACGAATGAGGAAATTGCAAGATCTTGTTCCTAACATGGACAAGGTAACAGTTTCTTGTAGAGTGTGTTTTGACTCAAAGAATCGTTTTCTCTTTGCATTGGTTCGGTTTAATGTTTTCTTTTTTTGTGTGGTAATATTTATGTTTTAAACAGCAAACAAACACTTCGGATATGTTGGATTTAGCCGTGGATTACATCAAAGATTTACAAAGACAGTATAAGGTAAAAAGTTAGTGTGATCATCATTGTGAAAAAAAAACCAAAGGACCAATGTAAATGTAAACCGATTGTATTGATTAGGCTTGGCTGTTGGTTTACACAGGTTTTAAGCAAGAACAGAGCTAACTGCAAGTGTATGAACAAGGAGAAGAAGTCAATATAGGGCGCATAACAAAGAGTATACATAGGACTAAAAGAAAGCAGAGACAAGGACAAGAACGAATCAATTGTCTGCATATTTTTTTAGCTGAAACGGTCAAAGAAAAGGAAAAAACATATGCTTCCAACAAATCCTAAGCAATAAAATAAGGCTTAAATCTATCTTTTTTTCTTATGTTTCACACCAAAGTCAACATGACATATGGAGTTTGATCTAAACACTAAACATGATTAAAAGCCAAGTTTCACCTGCGGTTTTGCTCCCAACTCAAGTAGAAAGAACAATATGCGAAGCCAACAACCTATGTACTTTGTTGATAAGAACGACATAAGAAGCTATTTGTGTGTACTTTTGATGGAACTGAGCACCCTTGCATCTACCTTGTGAAGAGAGATGTGTTTAGGAAGATTTTCAATAGATTATGTGTTGGTTCATCCTTGGCCTTGTTTTTCACTTTTCTATAAGTTATATCCCTAGTTTTATCTCCATATAGTCCTTGCAGAACAAGGGAATACAAGTTTAAGTTTGGTTTTGTTATGTTTTGGCTTAGTTTTTTTTTCTTTAAGAGAACAATAGATTCTAAGGGATGAAACATATTGAGAAATGCATGTGGCTAATTAACCACGAAGAGGAAAATTTAAAGCTGGCGAAACAACATGTCATACAATTCACAACATGTTTTTGAAAGCTTTGGAAAGTGTGTGGAAGAATTCTACACTCTAAATACTTGTTCATTGTTGTTTCTCTCGGATTTTGGTTCTAATCATGGCTTCATGTGTCGAAACTTTGCTCGGCTTTCTTGGATTATATTCTTATTCCATTCATTCTTTTTTCAATAAAAGAATGATTTAAGTAAGTTGTTGAAAAAAAAGAACGATTAAAAAAAATATTTTGAACAAACTGTGAACAAATTCAGTTATTTTCAACATAATATATGCAATTGTTTATAGTAAATGGTAACATTTCAGGGACAATTCTATCAAATTTTATTCTTCTTCCAATGCATAATTTAAATCAAATAATCACTGGCTGATAATAATGAATGTTTGTTTCTAATAATCAGTTTAATGTCTTGTATAAGCTGAAAGTGTTGGAGTTGGTTTCTTGAATAATTTTTTTTGATGTGTTTGTACAGAACGGATTGGAAATCAAATGCAGTTACTGTCACACCACTTGAGTTTACCCAAGTCATCATCTACAACCTCGGACATGGTTTCAGTGGATAAGTACATGCAGTTACAAGATTCTGTTACCTGTAAAATTAGAGCTAAATGTGGTGGTGCCACATATCCTAGAAGCATTGCTGAACGGATAATTTTAACTACTTAAAATCACCGCCATTCATATCTTAGAAAAGTCTAATACTTGAAAAGTTTCGAACTTTCCTAACAAATTTCTTTCTGTCACTAATCAATTGTCTGCACATTTTTTAATAGCTGAAAAGTCTTAGAAAGAAAACCAAAAACATCTGTTTCCAACAACTCCTAAGCAATAAAAAAAGAGTTTAAATCTGTCCTTTTCTTTATTCTGTTTTCACACCAAAGTCAACATGACAGATGAGTTATCTAAACACGATGCAGAATATTGAAAGCCAAGTTTCGATTTTCGGTTAGTTTGTTACCAACACAATAGATAACCACAAGGAACAAAATGGACAACAAAGTGATAGTTGATAAAGCTCACACGAAAGTAGTACATGAATTTGGGTTGGCGTCACTCTAGGTTAGCTAACAAATTGGCTTCTCCAATTCTGGCTGGTAGAGTGTTGTGGTTTTGGCCTTTCCCTAATGATATTTAGGGCTCGGCTTGACTTGAGTTGCTTTACATCGTTAACAGTAAGATCCTCTACATGGTCCATAAAGGTGTAGAATCTGCTATCAGTCTCCATACCTTGGATTTCAACACGCTGGAGAGTTTTCCTTTCCGGACTGAAGTAGAAAACAAAAAACCGTTGATATGAGTGGTAATCCGACAAAACAATTTCACCAGTAGGGGTCACTCCAACAACTGAAACATAGCGGGGATCAACAATTCTTTTATACTCGATCAGATTGTAAACACATTTCGACCATTCATGTTTCTCAACATCCTCTAGAACCCACAAATGTAAGTCAATGGCCTCAGGGTCATCATACATCCATCCAGCCAAACCTAATTTACCCTTGTAGTTTATCAAATGAGTATCAAGTACATGACAAAAACATTTTGCGTCACTAAACTTGAATTCCTCAGACCTAACATCAAAGCAAACTATCGTCACTTCAGGCCATACAACAGTATTCATGTAATACACAACCCCATTGATGCATACCCCTTGTCCGTAAGGAACATGGTCTAAGGGACACTCGATCTTCCTCCACCTCATTATTCCATTACCTAATGTCAGAATTTTATGGTCATGATAAGCTATGGACAATAGCTTGAACTGCTTATCAACTGGATCAAACCCTAAAAATTCATACGATGAAGATTCATACGATGAAGATTCATACGATGAAGATTCATACGATGAATCTAGTTTAGGCAACAAGGCATATTGCCTCGTCCTAGGGTTAAAAATCACAGGCCCTGTATCTTCACTCTTTGTCGAGAGCTGCATACTAGAGAAAAAGATCAAACCATTGGTAAGGCCATAAAAGTCTTGTGCCCTCATGACTTTAGGGAACTTCATATAAAAACCAGCGGTTATCGACGACTTATCATATGGATCTTGAGGCTGAGGTGAAAAGTAGAAGCTCCACACATCGTCTCGGTCAACAGCGAATAAGAGACGTGGACAAGCCCATGACTTGGTCAAGAACAACTCCGTGAAACATGGACGGCGAAGCATGGACCCCCATCTCTTCGACAGGCAACGACACCTCGCGATTGTCTTCGCCGGCAATCTCGAGAATATCTCGACAATGAGATCATCCGGGATGGAGTCTAACTCTTGTCCTCCATTCATGATTGATTCTTGTGCTTTCTGATCCATAATAGGTTTAGCCGATCTTACACAAGGACTGTGTATCCGTCACGGCGTCACCTTTTATAATCTTAAGTTTGTAGAAAATTAAATAAAAATTAAAAAGGTTTAGTAGACGTCTAGGGTTTAACTTTAAGGTTAGGGAACTAAAAAAATCTTGCCACGGATTTCATCAAAAGATCTTGGCCGTTGATTCAAATGTAAATGTCACATGTAAAAAGTCCAAAGAACAGCGACCTGTGGGTTGACAGAACATGATATTAAACAAACATTGAAAACAAAACAAATTGAAAGACTGTAAACGTCGCCCTTCAAGATCGTGCCCGGTGAAACCATGCTTCATTCTGTTCCATCATCATCATCATCATCATCATCATCATCATCATCATCATCATCATCATCATCATCATCATCATCATCATCAGTCTCTTCTTCATCATCAGACACATCATCATCAGTCTCTTCTTCATCATCAGACACATCATCCCCTGCCAGTAACAAAACTTGGTAAATAGAAAGCAAAAACATAGTACTTCAAAAAAAAAAAACTACAACAAGTTTGTACCTTCAAGCCTGTCATTAATAATGCGAAGGATTGCCATTGCGTTGTCTACATAAGCTTTGAGTTTCGCCTTTCGACCTGAGGGTGAGGGAAGAGACATATGCTTGCCCTTCAGACCTGAGGGTGAGAGAAGAGACACATGCTTGCCCTTTCGAGCAGAGTTTGAAGGAAGAGACACATGCTTTCCCTTTCGACTGATGTTGAGGGAAGAGATGCATGCTTACCCTTTCGACCTGAGGGTGAGGGAAGAGACACGTGCTTGCCTCTGCTTAGTCGTATATGGTTACATATTGGCTTAGCAAGATGGTTCAAAGCTTCACCTTTGCGTAAGTGAACAGCTCGCTGATGTTTCAGAACCTGATAGATCAGGGCAGGAAGCACAACTTTGAAACTGGTGTCCACCCTCTGACCCGATCGCATAATCTCATCGTAGGCCAGTTTTCCAAAATTGAAGGGTGTTTAAGCTTGGTTCAGATTGTGTCTTGATCTCAGGAGTGCACAGCCTCCAAATGGAGCTGTTTTTGTTGACCGTTGCCTTCATCCACCTTGTGGACAAGGTGTGTTGTTCAAGAGCGAGTAAAGCTAAGGACAGAGGATTGGTTAACGAAGCAGCAAAGAAGAAGCTGAGTCTGCGAAACTGTCATGGTGGTTCTCTTGTGGGGTTCATGAAGAGAGACGAAGCTAGATGTGATATGATTGTGGCGAAAACAACAAATTTTAGCTTGATCCTTGTTCTTAGATACTTGGGGAAAAGCTGTTTGGTTCTTATCATAAGGATTGAAGATGCTCTCATAGAAGCTAAGATTGTCAAGCTCATAGTAGAGTCTTCTGAGAATCGTTTGGCTTCAGTCTTCACATATGAACGGTCTCATTCTCCAAGACCACCAGAGCTGTCGTTTGGTGAAGATAGTCAGTCTCCAAGCTGTCCAGGTTCCAGTGTTGTTCAGAAAAGGAGGCGAATGGGAGTGGGAGTGTTGCTTAAGTATGGAGAACTAGTTTGTGAAATGTGATATCGAAAAGATGGAGTTGAAGAGTGTTACAGTATATGCATTGAAGGCTTTTCAAAGGGTGAGACAAATCACAGGAAGTTATGGTGGTTCTTCAACTCTCTGCAACATGAATCATTACAGTGGAAAGGTGACAGAGACACTGAATGACACACAGAGATCAAAGGAGGGACGTCAGAAGAATCAGGTTTTCCAATGCTGCTCTGATTATTTTGAGAATCACTTTGCTGAGTTTTTCACCTATGAGATTCTCCATTCGCCAAGACCACCTGAGTTCTATATCATGTTGTGAAAGCCTTTTAGCTATATGATGGAAGAGACAAGATAAAGAGCTGGTCGAGTGCAGATTTCTTTATTGTAAGTCTATTATCTTTAGTAAACTTTAGCTTGAAGTCGTCTTTGTACACAAGGCACCAAACATTTTATCAATCAAAACATCTCTTTCTAAACTCTCTATCTTCTTCCTCATCTCATCTCTATTTCTTCTCCTCATCTTTACTTGTCATTATTGATCTTGATAGACACAGGTCTATCAAAGACCTCCGGGTGAAGAAGTGCAGCAATGAAGCTTCCACTCTCTCAAGCTCGCCGCCAAGGTGTTATTAAACCCTTTTCGTCTCCATTTCCACAAAATCCGAGGCTCTTCTTTTCCTCTCCTCCATCATCTGATTCGAACCCGCCGCTGAATGAAATCCCGCCAAAAGGCAAATTTTTATTTATTTTTCTTAAATTAAATTCGGTTCACTATAGCCGGCAGCAGTGGTCACTTGAATAATGTGCGCCGATGCGAGTGGTAGATATTTTTGACTTCAGCAAGCATTTCTGTCTGACGGGCGGTAAATATTGAAGTGACGTGGCGCGATCAAATTAAACCGTGCCCGAAAGGAAAAACAAAAATTCTGTTACGGATTCCAAATTCAAATAATTTCTTTTTGAGTTCCGGTATAAAACACTGAATCTCTCTTCTCCTTCAAGCAAATCCCTCTCGTTTCAACTTTCAGGCGCTCTCTCTCTCTCTCGTTTCTACTTTCAGGCTCTCTCTCTGTCGTTTCAACCGCGAGAATTAATTGCTGCTCAGGTATTGATCGCTCCCTACTGTGTTTTTTTCCTGATTTCTTCGCTTCGTTTAGCATCATCTTCAAGTTTATGTGTATCTGAGATTCTGCATCTCTTCCCGTTTGTTCTTTCTTACTTCTCTTTCCCCACGATGATCTGAAGAAGCCAGCTGGACAACCGATAGAGCGATTGGCAAATGTAAGTCTGGAACCAATTTTCGTTTTCCAGTTTTCCGGCGTAATCACTCTTTCTAGGAGCTTCGATAGGTGTTACGAGTCGGATCTAGATCTAGGTTACACGGAATGAGTTCTATATATATCTGGCATAAACATCATTGTGCCGAGACGAAAGGTTTATCGAGACGTTGATGATTTGGCGTGTCTGTCTGTTTTTGCGATTTTTTCAAGCCATGGTGTTTCATTTTGAGTTTCAGTTCTGATAATCTAAATCTTTGCTTCTTTTGATGGATAATGTCTTATGATGATGAAAGTGAAAGTATGAAATCGCTAGATGAGGCTCTGGCAAGAGATTTGGCGTGTCTGTCTGTTTTTGTGATTCTTGCTGCCATGGTGTTTCATTTTCAGTTCTGATAATCCTAAATCTTTGCTTGTTTTGATAGATGGTGTCTTCTGATGAAAGTGGAAGTATGACAATAGAAGAGGCTCTGGCAAATAGTTTTTTGCCATCTAGTGATGAAAGTGATTCTGAGAACCTTCTTCCAATCCTCTTAAGTATGCAAGAGAAGATAACGGAATCACAAAAGGAGATGCAAAAACAATTGGCTTTACACGCTCAAGAAGTTCAAGAGGGAATTAAGCAGATGCATATATCTATGCAGCAACAACACAATATCAAAGTTGGAAACCTGGAGAACAAAGTGAAAGAAGCTCTTGGTGGGATCAAAGAACAGCTCTTAACTCTGGAAACTCTAGCCACAAGACTTGAACAGCAAACTCTGAAGACTTCTGAAAAGACTTACAATCCGGACAAGCAGATTGAGAAGCAAATGTCGAAAGCTTTAAATGTTCAAGCTCGAAATCTTGAAAAGAGTTTGAAAGCATCAATTACGGAGAGGGAGAGTTCGAGCAATGAGAAGAAAACTCAAGAACAGCTTATGAAATCCATGGAGAAACAACTCACAAGACTTGAAGAACTAGTTTTGAAGAGTTCTGCAGACAAGGAGATTGAGAAGAGTTTGAAAGCATCAATTAAGGAGAGCGAGAGTTCCAGCAAACAACTTTTGAATGCCATGAAGAACCTTCAGCAAGCTCTTGATCAAAGCTATCAAACTTCAAAGGTATGAATTCTTGCAGCCATTTTTTTTATGTCTTAGATAAAACCATTAATTCATGTTGTTTCAGGTTGAAGGAATATTAAATGGTTCTCTCAAACCAGAAGTTTTTTATCAAATCAATTCGTCTCTCTCAGAGGATGACAAGTACATTCTTGCCGAGTTACTCACAAGAAACCCTTTGCGTCGCTGATCATACCCTCGGTGAGCTTTTCATTACTATCATCAAACTTTTTAGAAACCATATGACGACGCTGATCCATTGCTGTTTCCTTCCTCGAATAGACAAAAGTAAAGGGAGTTGCATGCAAGAAGAGCAACAGCCAAAGAAAGAAAGGAGAACCGTGCACAGAAGAAAATCAACTAGTTTCGATTTGTATTGCTTTGGATTTTTCTATCTCTTGAACCAAACCCTTTTTTTTTTCCTGCAACTCAAGTTCTTCAAGTGATTCACAAACTACAACATTAAACCAGTAAATTCAAGTTCTTCAAGTGATTCATAGACTGGAACATCAACGCTAAACTTCACATTAATCACAATTCGTGTGCATTGACCAGTAAACCTTTCGTCGTCTTTAGCCATTCAACAAGATTTCACCTCCCAATACACAAAATCCATTCAAGATTTCAAGAAAATCAACATATTTCATAACTTTTTCCAATGCAAAATCTCGTATTCCAAGTTAAGATCAAGTACAGTATATAAACTCAAAAATTATGACCAGAAACCACAGGCTAAAATACAACCAGGAAACAAAAATCATTCCACCATGTGATCTGCGACGCCAGAATCTTTGACATCATCAACAGAGAAAGTGTACTGCTGGTCAGAACCCAAGTAAGAATCGCACATGAAGTAGAGAGTATATGATTGCTCTCCTGGTTCAGTTGGTACTGCAAACGCCAGCTTCACCTTCGCACTCCGTTGCAGAGAGATTCGCTTGATGGCAAGCAACTGGTTCGTCTTAGTTTCTCCAACGACTAGCCACCACCCTTCTTCTTTGGCCTTGGGATATCTTGGTGCGTCCACGGGTCCCACCTCGCTCCTCCCCTCCATGTCTCTCTCTAGCATTACCTGCAATGTGATTTCCTTTCCAGGGGTTACCTCGTTGCCGCCTACAACCTCGTACGTGACGTCAATGTTGGGGAAGCTGTTGCAGAATCTGGCAATGTCAAAAAGCTGAGCGTCTGTCATTTGGAGAAGCTCTTGGCGTCTGTCATCTTCCATTTCCACAAGATCGAATACGGATTTGATGTTATTCCCCGGATTCTCTTGGCACCTTTTGGCCAAGTCCCTTGTGAAGTGAGGAAGCTGCAGAAGAGGGGAGTCTCGATTCCACATGCCTTGAGTCACCATCTGGCTTACTTCCATCGCTAATAGAGCAAGATTCAGACAGCCGCTGCTGGATATCACATCGACCATCGCCTGAAGAAGTCTTGTTGCAGATAAGAGGACCTCACGCTGATCCATTGCCAGGTCCCCGCTGATTTTTTGCCTTGAGAAATGCGCCTGAAGAAGCGCGTTTGCCTTCACATAAGGGTCTGTGCATTTCGGGTTTTCAAAAGAGAACCTCTGGTGATTGATGAGTCTCCGAACTGTGTCCTCTTCACCAGGACGTATGGGAATCAAGTCATACTCCGAAGCAGAACTCAAGATCTCAAGAAGACCCTTCATCTTGGGTTTGGAAGCCAAGAGAGAACTGAAGCGCTCAATGGTGGTGTAAGTAACGTAATAATATGAAGCAATCATACCATGATTAAGAGGAGAGAGATCCAACTCATTCTCTATCTCAATGCATTTACTCACTTGAAGATCAGACAGATTGTTCTCGACGAGCTCTGAGAGGTGCTCAAATAAATGCCTGTGGCTCACTCCTTTGAGATCGTAGTAGTTAGGGTTCTGAGGAAGCCTCCTGTACATGAAGCTCCACGTAAGATAATCCACCGCATCTTGCTTGTTCATTATAACCCCTGCAGCCACTTCCGCATTGAAATTATCATGCAAAAAATGTTGAAGATGACTCTCCACAGGAAAGGCTTCATGCAGAAACTTCTTGTAATGCTCTTTACGTGGTGCATGACAGAAGATCACACACTTCCCAGCGTCGTCAAGCAGAGGTCGGCTACTACGCCCTATCATCTGGAGCAGATCAGAGATGGGGTAATCCGAATGAGAATTCTCCCGCCCGTCATAGAACTGTGTCCCCATTACAACAACCAAATGCGCTTTCAATGGAGTACCCCAACACATTGAGCTAGTCATTACGCATACCTGAATCCGTCCAGCCTCGAAAAGATGAGTCACAATCTCCTGATCCACACTGCTTAAACCCTCATGCAAGTAGCCAATGCCATGGCGCAAAGTCTTCTTCAGAGTATCCTCGCAAATTTGGCTAACAAAAGGGTCTAGTTCTTCCGGATTCCCAGACAGGAAATCAGGGCTCTGGGTGTTGTCCATGTGTGAGTACGCTAACAGATCCACAGCAGTCAAGCGGACATGTCTACGGGTAGGGACAAAAACGATAGCCGGTTTCTTGTTCTTGGCATGCTCGACTATGGCAGTGTATGTTGGCTTAGTCATTGCCTGCATCCTCGCTTCAAAACTCAATATATCCACCTCTTGAATGTGGATCTCCAGTGGGACAGGACGAACATTAGGTGGGAAGTTAAAAAGGCCACGGGAACTAGCCCCAATCCACTCTCCAAGATCTTTGGCATTTGAAAGGGAAGTCGATAATGCAACAATCCTGGTCTTATTCCCGACCTGAGTTGAAATATATCTCATTCTAGAGACAATTACCTCCATTACCTGACCACCCTCACCCCCAATTAAGTGAAGCTCATCGATGATAAACAAACTAACCTGCTGAATATATTTTCTCTGTTTCCACCTACGAGACAGAGCGTCCCATTTCTCAGGAGTACTTATGATTATCTGACCTTTCTCAAGCAGCTTAAGATCCAATGCTGTCTCCCCAGTTAACTCAACAACTCGTAAACCAAGCCTCTTTCCAAACTTTTCCTCCCAATCACGAAACTGCGCCTTGGCAATAGCCTCACGGGGTGCGATATAGACAACACGCATTGTAGAATCAGGTGCTTCATGATGATTCCTCAATATAGCAAACTCCGCACATATAGTCTTCCCACTCCCTGTGGCAGCGGCAACCAATACATTGTCACTTGTGTTATACAAAACAGTAAATACCTGAGTCTGCACTGGATTGAAATGCTTGAAATCCTGATACAGAGCTTCGTAAGACGGATTCCTTAGCGCTGTCACCGGGAGGGGCTGCAAGTCCAGTAGTTCCGTAGGTGGTGGATACTTTTGTGGAAGAATAAGATACCTGAAAGATACAGGCAACACAGTCGGTGAGTCAAGCCATTTATCTGAAACCACTCGAATGAAATACTGTGGTGGCAGTGGCTCAGAGATAGGCACAGTGAAGTCCAAATAGTGATCCTCATCAACATACTGCTTTTTCAAAAGAAAGTACTCGTGATGAAGGATCTTTTCACCATCACTGTCTTCCACAATTATCCAAAACGGTTCCACATATTTATACCTTGTCATCCCACTGGAAATCAGGAGTAACAGTGAGCTCCACCCGCAGAACAGAACGGGAAATCGGCTTAACATGTGCCAAAAGATTCAGTTTTGGGATGTGGTGGATGCTTTTGTGAAGTGCTCTGCCCATAATAGGATTTCGAATAAGCTCTCCTAGCTCCTGCGAAGATAGATCATAGTACCTCTCCCACACCATATGCTTCCTCTCCAACCTCATCAGAACCTCATTTGGAAATCCATGAAACTGCCGAAGGGGTGTCTGAACACTCCACATCCTCTTCCCTACCATTTTAGACAAATTCAGAGCCTTCTCAGCCACTTGAGCCCATCCCCTCTTCATTACAATCTCAAAAAGAGCTCGTAGAAGACGTCCAGCATTCTGCTTAATATAAACCATGTCAGATGTCAAAGAAAGACCCTCAAGCTTCAGCTTTGAAATATATGCTTGCAGCAAAACATTAATCTTTGCACTAGGCTCTTCCAGTGTTTCCTTGACCGGAATCGGGACGCGATCCAAAAGTTTAGCCATTTCCATCTTCTCATCTTGTCGTACAGTGATATACTTGAACTCTTCACTCAGTGAGAATAGACGACAAAGCTCTACATGACTCATTGTTGGCTTCAAAGTCTCATTGTATGTAGCTATTGTCCCATGGGTTATGTAGTAATAGCTAGCAATGCGTCCCAAATCAGTAACTTGGAAGAATCCACTTTTCCTGTCATACTTAATCAGATTGTTCTTGTCCAAGATAGTAGCAGCAGAGTGTATCAGGTCAGCTCTTCTCTCCTTCAATACTGTGTCATTACCAAGAGCATCAGGCGGCAAGCCATACAGTGTCGGATTACGATCCATACGGATACTTAAATATGTATAGCCAAGCCAGTGACAAGCCTCTCTAGCATTCTGCACGGTTCCAAGCACAATTTCAGCATTAAGCTGATCAGCAAGTTTGGAAATAAACTGGCTTTCAATAGGTAGTTGCTCATTCATCAAACGGAGATAATGCTGCAGCTCGTTGTAGCCAGTGATTATTATCCCCTCCCCCTGTTGGTCATATTGAGGTCTTCCGGCACGACCAATCATCTGCATAACATCAAGAGGACTCAGCTCCACCCACGCCCCTCTCTCAGGATCATAGACTTGTGTTCCTTTGATAATGACTGTATGTGCAGGCAAATTCACACCCCAGGCAAGAGTTGCCGTGGAAATCAAGACCTGCACATGCCCCAAACGAAATTGATCCTCGACTATCTGACGATCACTCCTTGACAACCCAGCATGATGAATTGCAAAACCATAAGGCAGAAGATTTTTCAGGTCACTACTCTTGACAAGATCAATCTGACTCTGGAGAATCTCAAAACTTTCACTATCTTCCTTCAAGAATCTGCTGAGTGTATCGTTCGCCAATGCGGTGTCCCGTATTGCTCTTGCAGTTTTTGCTGTTTCCTTCCTCGAATGGACAAAAATAAGGACCTGGTGTTTTCCCGCACCAGCCAATACTTTCTGATAACATATATCATTCATCAATTGGAACCTCCGCAATGGTTTTTTCACATTAATTCCAATATACTGCTGAGAGAGAGGCACGGGTCTGTAGCTGCGGTCAAATGTAAACAACCCAGCCTTTAGATCCACCCGCAAAAATTCAGCCACATCTTCGTAATTTGGCAGTGTCGCCGATAAACCCACCAGACGAATATGCTCCTCCGTGGTTTCAATCTGCCTAAGAGTCCTAGCGACAATACTTTCAAGCACCGGCCCTCGATTATCATTAAGAAGATGAATCTCGTCAATTATAAGAAGCTTCACAAGCTGAGTATAAGTGCGATCTCCAGATTTCCTGGTGACGATGTCCCATTTCTCCGGCGTTGTAACAATGATCTGAGCCTCTTCGATTTCTTGCCGAGTCAGGGACTGATCCCCACTGAGTTCCTTCACAGTGACTCCATAGTCCTCCAAGCGTTTAGATAGAGTATCCACGACCTCAACAACCAGGGCTTTCATGGGTGCAACATACACAATTTTGCAGTTCCCATGATTATATGTTCCGTCCAAGTTCTTACTTGCTTCAAGTTCCTTCAGTATGGTGAGCACAGCAACATTGGTCTTCCCCGCACCAGTTGGAGCACAAAGAAGAATGTTGTCTGGCTTAAACAGAGCAGTCTCATACACTTTGCTCTGAACCCTGTTCAACTGCTGCATTCCCTTAAAAGCCGGTTGGGCCCAATCTGGCATATCGGTGATTTTCACAAGCTTTTCATTACTATCAAACTTTTTAGAAACCCATGGCACATGAACCTCATCAAACTCCTTGCCACGAATTCTGTACGAAAGAGGGGGAAGCTCACACTTCTTATTCTCCCTCAGGAAACCACCTTGGTCAAAAGCCAGGCTCTCCAGGTCCAGCATCTGACGCTGACCCGTCGAGCAACCATTACCTACGTCTCTCCTGCCTCTGTCTCCACCTCCATCAGAATCATCCTTAAGACCCCGAGCTTCTTCTCTGATTTTCTTTTCCTGGTTCTCCTCCCTTTCTTTGGCTGTTGCTCTTTTGGCATGCAACTCCTCCACAATTGCTGCAGCCTCTGGCCCCAACCCCATCATCTCCTCCTCGATTTTACTCCTCTCTTCCTGGTCTCTTGCCCTAGCCAAACGGGTGCACCACACAACTTTAAGGCGGTTCTGCATCAGAAACTTAACAAGGCTGAACTTTTCAAACTGAAGGTGCTCAAGCAGCTTGTTCTCAACATCCCTATCGCTCCCCTCAGCAAGTATCTTAAGCAGCTCTTCTGCGAGTACCTGGCACTCCTGTGGATCAATCTGCTGTTCATATCCTTGGAATATCCTTCTCTGGAGCCAATAAGCATCAATTTCCTGAACATTAAGACTCGAGCCTGCGTGCCCTGCATCTTCACCATGAATCGTCACACCCACCTGCACTCCTCCGGTTCTGTGAGGTTCAGAAGCTTCTTCATCCTCTTCATCTTTTTCCTCCTGGACCATATCAAAATCACTCTCCTCATCATCTTCTTCACGCTCCTCAAATTCAAGAGCCACACCCATATCATAATCAAGCCCTGCATCCTCAATAGCTTTACCGCTTCCAGAATCACCACCATCTTGATAGTCCGTGATCAATTTACCAATCGAAACAAGCTGATCAAATATCTTGTCAGGGACAAAGTTCAACACTTTCTCGATATCCACCTTCTTCTCATAACTATTCACGGATTCCTTCTTGAGAAGCGCCAAAATCTCATCAGCCGCACCACAAGCAATACTTAGAGGCTGCCCACCCAGTTGCTGCTGAATAAGACTAAGCATGGCCTCATAAGCAGCCCTCGTCTCCTTAGTCTTGGGCTGATAGACGCCATCATCCGTATCAGTGAGCACGCTCTCCTCCCAAAGACGACGTCTTTTGCTCTCGCGAGCAAACACCGCATCCGTAACATCTGCAGACTCACGCTCCTGCTTCTTCTTCGACTTCTTCAACCTCTCGTCTAACTCATGAGGCCTCCCCTTAACAACCCTATCTCCAAAAGATTTAGGATTAATCTTCCCCCTGAGAGTCTCCGGTTCTCCAGTAGGTTCATGCGTGTTACGTCGACGCTCTTCATTGTTAAGCACCAGATTCGAATTGGCTTGGTACCCATACTGCTTCAACCTGGCCTGTTCCTCCGCGCCACCACCCAAATTCGCCATCACCGAATCGAAAACAGAAACACCAAAATCAAAAATCGAAAATCAAATCAGTGAAGAGAAGAAGAAATTGTTACAATCCTCTTTTCTCTGCAACTACGAAATCGATCGTATTACCTCTATTGCTCTTCCGCCTCTTCGTTTATTCGCCCTCGACAATTAGACTCTCGAATTCGTTAATGAATGGTTAATCAATGATGGCTCTCACGATATTTATAGTTAGTAAAAAAATTCGAAACCGACAATACATGTCGGTGAAAGTGAAAAAGGAAAAGTTCAAAAAGGAAAGATTTAACCGCGAGCGAATTTATCGACCAATATTGCTAAACCGTAACTGCTGTAGATATAAATTCGACACTACAGGTCGGTGAAAGTAAAAAAGGAAGACATAACTTTCCGGTTCGACCGGTCTAGCTAGATAATTGGAAAAAATCAAGCGACCAATATTGTGAACGGTGACGATTCGATCGAGAAAGCAAAGGTGTACGTAAACTTGGGTGGTTTGTAACGCACATGATACTACTCTCTTACGCAATAACCGCAGTAGGTATAATTGGGCCAAAGCCCAGTAACAAATTAAGTCTCGCTTTTGGAAGGGTAAAATCGTAAACTAACAAGGTATTGACGAAAGTTTGTAATTTGAGAATGAATTTTTGACGAAAATGTGTTATCCCGCCTCTGGTGAAAATTCAAAACATTTCACACAGGTGTTACCTCTCTCACACGTGCGAGCTTGAAAATTTTCATTTCCAATTATAAAACCCGCCCAGATGATGGCCTCAAAAAAAATTGCCAGATCGTCTCTCTCTCTCTCACACTCAGAAAAGCGATTCTCTCTTTTTCCCTTTGTCCCCTCGCTTTACTGTTCTCGAAGGCGTTTGGAGCTGTCACGAAGGAATCCAAATTGGAGATTCAAAGGTAAATCCAATTGAAGATTTTTCTTTTGTTGCAAGAGTATGTAGATGCTTGGGGGAATTTATGATGTTCTTGATGAAACCATTGAAGTAGGATGCAAATTAGGTTTGTGTTGGATTGTGTTGTAATCGTTCCCCTTTTCGATTTCCAGTAGATAATCACAATGCCAGAATCAAGAGACAGAATAGTGAGGCCAGTTGATTACCCAGCGGCATTTCTCAGCAGGCGGTCTAACGGAATCTTCGCTGACGAACCGGCGAGACAGTTCGATTTGTTCGGGTCTCCGGTTCAGAGACTCCCATCGGAATCTGCAGGAGTTGGGTCTATTGGTCAAAGATCTATGATGATGGGAAGAGGTGGGCTCGTTAGGGGTAATTTTGGTATTAGGCGGACCGGTGGTGGTGGTGGTAGGAGAGGCCAAACCCGGTTTAGGTCCCCACAGGGACGAGAGAACACGAGCTTGGGTGTTGCAAGGCGTGGAAGGGTTCGTGCTGCAACTTCTGTGTTGCCTTCTTGGTATCCAAGAACACCCCTCCGTGATATTTCTGCCGTCGTTAGGGTTAGTTTACCCAAACACTCCTCTGCTTTAGATATATCAAAAGCCTGGCTTTTTATTCTATCTACATATATATTTATGGATGCAGGCTATTGAGAGAAGGAGAGCTCGTATGGGAGAAGGCGTTGGCCGAGATGTTGAGACCCCAACTCCACAACAGCTTGGGGTACCATTGTCAGGTGCTTTCGACTACTCCATGGTCACTCCTGGTCCGTCTGTTGGGTTCAAGCGTCCCTGGCCACCTTCAGCTGCTAAGGTCCATCAGATGCTGCTCGACATCACAAGAGAAAACACCGGGGAAGAAGAAGCCCTCACTCCACAGAAGAAGCTCCTCAACTCTATCGACAAAGTGGAGAAGGTAGTGATGGAAGAGATTCAGAAAATGAAAAGCACTCCTAGTGCAAGGAGAGCAGAAAGGGAGAAGAGGGTTCGAACGTTGATGTCAATGCGATGAAGGAGACCATAGGAATCAGGGAGTAAAGGTGTGCCTGCACAGTGAGTACATCATCTTCTGATGATATCATAGAGGGAGAAGTGGATCATCTACATGAGTGTGTAGATTTGTTTAGAGTTTTTTTGGGTATCACTAGTCTCTGATGATATTACTAGGAAGGGGTCGATCATCTCTTTGATGATACATTACATAGTAGGAAGGTTCTATCATGTTTCTGATGATAAAGCATAGTAAGAGATTCATCTTCTGATGATAACTGGTAGATAGTTTCAGCTTTAAATAGCTCACGGATTTTATGTTGGGAACCTTTTCTTTAGGATTTGTATTTGATATCTTCTGCTTCAGGATACTGCAGTCAAACAGATTGTACAGAAGTTCTAAACTCTGGTTTTGTTGATGGAAATTGCAAATGTCATTTTCCGACTGAGATTTCTCGTGTGTATCTGTAATTGTCACAATCTGCGAAATGTCATATATGAAAAAAAAACGTATAGCTATAATGGATCTTTTTTTAGAATTTAACATTGAATTACGCCATACATATATCATAATATAATAATAAGAGGTCACATCGGTTGTTTGTATCCTTTACAATGGGAATCTAACAAACAAGATTCGTCTGTGTTCTGGGACATAATAAAAACAATACAAGTATTCTTCAAAAATTGTTATCAATAAACCTGCAAGCAATGGATCTAGAACTAAACACTAACCTTATCCTCATCACATCCTTCGTTTTTGCTTTTATGCTTAATGCTTTCTTCAAATGGTTCTCAAAGGAGCATGGTTCATCGGCTGCTACGAAGTTGCCACAGAGCCCTTCAGCTTTACCATTCATTGGTCATCTTCATTTGATAGGCAAAGTGTTGCCTGTATCATTCCAGAGCCTAGCTCGCAAGCATGGCCCACTCATGGAGATCCGTCTTGGTGCTTCCAAGTGCGTTGTGGTCTCAAGCTCTCTGGTGGCGAGAGAGATCTTCAAGGAACAAGAGCTTAATTTCTCCTCAAGACCTGAGTTTGGTTCTGCAGAGTACTTCAAGTACAGAGGGTCCAGGTTTGTCCTTGCGCAGTATGGAGATTATTGGAGGTTCATGAAGAAGCTGTGCATGACCAAGCTTCTTGCTGTTCCGCAGCTTGAGAAATTCGCTGACATCCGCGAGGAAGAGAAACTGAAGCTGGTCGAGTCTGTGGCTAAGTGTTGCAGAGAAGGGTTGCCTTGTGACTTGAGTAGCCAATTCGTGAGTTACACCAACAATGTCATCTGCAGGATGGCGATGAGCACGAGGTGTTCGGGTATTCATAACGAAGCGGAAGAGATTAGGGAGCTGGTCAAGACCTGCCTGGAGCTTGCAGGGAAGGTCAGTGTAGGAGATGTGTTGGGACCACTGAAAGTACTGGATTTTTCTGGGAACGGGAAGAAACTAGTGGCTGTAATGGAGAAATATGATCTGCTTGTAGAGAAGATCATGAAGGAGCGTGAGGCAAATACGGTGAAGAAAGGAGGTACGAGAAAGGACATTTTGGATATATTGTTGGACACTTACAGAGATCCCACTGCTGAAATCAAGCTCACGAGGAACGACATGAAGTCTTTCCTGTTGGTATGTTTCTTCTCACCTGCAATAAGAATCCATAATCAAAAACTGATATTTCTGACATGATAAAAACTCTGTGTTGTGTGAAACTTCTGCAGGATGTTTTCATGGCGGGAACAGATACATCAGCAGCAGCAATGCAGTGGGCAATGGGGCAACTAATAAACCATCCACAAGCGTTCAACAAATTAAGAGAAGAGATCGATGCCGTTGTCGGTAGAAAAAGACTGGTCAAAGAATCAGACGTTCCTAACCTCCCTTACCTCCGAGCTGTACTAAGGGAAACTCTGAGGCTTCATCCTTCAGCTCCTCTGATCATAAGAGAATGCGCAGAAGACTGCCAGGTGAACGGGTGCCTTGTCAAGTCAAAAACCCGTGTGCTTGTTAATGTCTATGCAATCATGCGAGATCCAGAACTGTGGAAGGATGCAGACAAATTCATACCCGAGAGGTTTCTAGAGAGCTCTGAAGAGAAGATAGGTGAACATCAGATGGAGTTCAAGGGCCAGAATTTCCGTTACCTTCCGTTTGGGAGTGGAAGAAGAGGATGTCCAGGAGCATCTCTTGCCATGAGTGTGATGCACGTAGCTGTGGGTTCATTGGTGCAGCGATTCAACTGGAATAGCGTTGATGGAGAGAAAGTCGATCTTAGCCAAGGTTCTGGCTTTGCTGCTGAGATGGCTCGGCCACTTGTGTGCAACCCTGTTGATCACTTCAAAACCTTCTAAATGCTTTTGTAAGGCTCTCTGTTACCTGTTTGTATAAGACTTCCCAGAAAGTATATGTATAAGGGAAGTAGGGAACCATGGTTCTGTATCATTTCTAGGCAATTTGCTCTCCAATATGGTTTATATTAAATCATCTGATACAGTGATAAGTAATACATCTGAGTACTGTAACTATACATGCATATAGCAAAAGTTCAGTATCTATGCTGTTTTGGCATGACATTCTACTTTACTTCACTAATCAAAGCTTAGTCAAAATTTAACATTAATTAATCTTCTTACGCATCCCCATCCGTGACCTCGCATATCTGATATTGCTTGTTAAGTTTAGCAGTAAAGTCCCACAAGAAAAGAAACAAAGGAAAAACATAGGTATAGTAGTGAAGGATACTGCAGCCTCAAACCCTCACCAGTGAGGGATGAGTAAAGCACTGTGCCTTGAAGAGTACGTAGTGCTTCACTCGAGCAGCTCACGTCCTGCAAAAGCCACAAATCAAATAGTTATGCTGACGAAGTAAAGATGCCAAAAGTCAATTCACTCTTCATACAAAATTGACTCTCTCTCGATCTCTTTCAGAAAAAAAGATATTGAGCGAGCTGTACCTGGAAATCCACAAATGCAACAGGAGTCCCATATGTGCCCTGAATTTTCAGCTTCAAGAATCCACGGCATCTAAACAGGAAAGAGAGAGAGAGAGAGTGAAAACTAATAAATCTCTAGTGGTTTTGCAGTTTTGGGCAGGACAGTGTATTCTTACCTCGAGAAAACTTGAATTAGCTCAGATTCGGTGCAATTTGGTCCCATGTTAGCTATGAAAAGTGTTGGACAAGGTTCTGCAGCCTTGTTCTGTCAAAAGAACGAAGATTGTAATGTCCACTGGTAATGGAAGGTTTTAAAACAATACTCATATGAAAGTATAAAGGCAGAAGCTTACAGATTTTCCAGTATTCGTTGCCCTCCCCGCAACATTAGCGATTCCTTGACTGAATGAGCAAAACAGAATATAATGAAACATTAGATTTCGTTAGCAAATAGCTAAGAAAGAACAAGCTCTCTCAGACCAGTTAAGCCAAGCCTTAAGTAGGTTAGGTATGGGGACATAGATACAAGAAACGTGTGTGCAACAAAGAAACATAATCTAAGCTATTCCCAAATAACCAGAAAATGTGCTCAAGTTATGCAGATGACCTTTGTGCAGGTGAATAACCAAATGTGTTGTAAGCAGAACTACTCATTCCAGGAGTGTGAAAGCTGCCAAAACCTGCTAATGCCCAAACGTGCAAGAATGTGCAGTGTGAGCTTTCAGAAACGTGAAACCAAGTTGACGAACTTATAGCCCAAGTGTTGAAATATTAAACCAAAGAGCTAACATGCATGAGCGTGTGGTGGATAATTGGATTGTGAAGATTGGAACGACTAATACTATACAAATATTAAGATACATGAAACAGAAAACATATAAAGATCACAAGAAGCCCCAAGATAAAGACTCACGCCAATGATCTTACCAGATTCAGGAGTGGCGCTCCATGACTTCGTCTTTTTCAAATTTTCCCAACCATCATCTATTACAGAGCAAAGTGAAATTAACATAGAAGCAAAGAACTAACTTTTATATAAGCTACTGAACAGAAAGAACATGAACACTTGCCTGTTCTTGAACGCTTAGATTTGGGGTTTGATTTGGCAAGATTAACGTAAAGAGTAGAATGCTTTTCAAGGTCAAATACCATTCCCTGAAACGTAAAAAAAAAAAAAAAAAAAAAATCAAATAAAGATAGAACTAAACGTAAAAAAAAAAAAATCAACTATCTATTTTCGAAAATGGAACTAAATGAAAAGGAAAATAACCAAAATTTTCATTATTTCCGGCAAAATGTAGCTTCGGAGACTTGTCTGAAGAAATTTAACTCACATTGAGAGCGTGCATCACCGCTAAAGCTGATTGGAGATCCGAGAACACAGCAAATGCGAAGGGCTACAAAACAAACACAGTAAGATTCTCTCTGTCTATTCACCGGGAATCATCCCTACCCAAATTACATAACTTCCGAGAGTTAGAAAATGATTACCTTAGCTCCATCGGAGGCCCGGAGATGCGAAGTCTCATATCCTGGGAACTCGCGAAAGAGATTATAGATCTCCCGGGGCTTGACGTCTTCGGGAAGTCCGGCGACGAAAAGCGTACGAACCTCATCACGACCACCGATTGAGGCTTGCGTAGGCAAGTAGACGGAGTGGATTGAAATCGGAGCCACTCCTGGCGGCGGAGGAGTAACGATCGACGGGGGATTAGAGTGAAAATAGTATGCTGACAAATCATCCATTATTGACGACGGCTTATCACGTCGCCGCCGGTAGAAAAAATCTGAGACGTTGGTTAAGTTTCGCCTTTGTTCAGTCGGAAGAAAAATATCATCAGGGAGTGTTGCATATATGGGCCGGAAAAGGCCCATTTAAATATCCGCGCCTTTTTTTTTTTTAATCTTTTACCATTCTTCTTCATTTCTCAGTAAATCCAACGATAGAAGAAACGAGGCTTACGCTAATGGCATGTGATTGCACGCACGGTAACATATCTATATCTCTCTCCTCTCTTCCTTCTCTTTGGCAAATTTTTTTTTTTTTGTTCAACGATCTGCAACTTAACAACTGCTCTCTCTCTCTTTTCTCTCTCTCTAGATTGAGGCATTATGACGGAAGAACACATCGACCAATCACCACCACCTGACCCAGACCCGATTCAAAGCCCGAATTCGAATTCAGTAATCCACCCGAGGCGGGTACCTTTCGAGCACGGTCTCCTCCCGATCCAGAAGCTTAATTTTGCCGACCCGATCCAAACCTTAGCTCCGATCAACCAAAAGCTAGCGTCTTCGGCGACGAACAATCGCGTAGGATCTGCCGCCATTTCCGACGCCCTCCTGATCTCCGGTGACCATGCGCGCCTCGTTCTCGAAACTCTCGGTTCGGTGCTCCATTCCGAGACTGATCCACTGGTCCTTGCCAAACCGGAGGAAGTTGATTCGATTGGAGCTGATTTGAGGGATCTGATCTTGTTCCTCTACATTCAATCGTATAAGAAGTTGCTCCCTAGGACGCACAAGGACTCCGCCGCTGTGGCCGATGTCTGGCCGTCGACTTCCGCTTTCGATGGATACTTGTCGGCGTTATCGCCAATTCAGGTAAGCTCTTTACTTTCCGCCTAATCATGTAATGTGGCTCGAAATGTTTTCATGTGATCTTAGTGCGTATGATCTAATTGGTAGGGAAGTGAGAAAATTCATTATTTTCCATGTTTGCTTTGCATTCTGCTATAATTTTGAAATGCAAGTTTAGAAATTTGACGACCCTTGATTCACCTGAAAATGTTGTAGATTTTCCATCGAGTGATGGGTTTATTTTGTTGTTAAATGTATTCAAGCGGAGAAGATCCTCGTTGGGTATTGCTTTGTAATGTAACTGAGCTTATTGTTGAAATGTGATGAATCCTATGAGGAAGGTTGATGGTTTAAAGTTCGACTGCATAGGGACTGTGAGTATGAGAATCTTGTATTTAGCTCTTGGTCTATGGAACACACACACACAATATCACATATTTTAAGCAATATATAAGTATGTGCTTTGCAAAAATGAATTTTGACAACCTTTTGTTTGGGTACTTGTTCCTTTATCTCCTCTTGAAGTTTGGTTCCCTTTTTCTGATAACCCTGGAGCATTGTTAAGTTCACGGATTGAAGCCAAATAATTGTAATTTTGCTGTGTTGTGTGTGGGTTTGTTCCTTAGTTTGGTTGGTCCTTCCATGTTTCCACTTGGTGATAATGTGGGGTGTGTTCTGGTAGCTTTGGTTTTAGTCTCTAGTTGGGTGACTGTTTATGACAAGGCTCTTCTGAGCTTTGAAATATTTTAACGATAATTGTTCGCACTACTGTTTCCATCATATGGGGTCTAGACAACCTTGTTGCTGTTGAAGTTTACGTAAGATTTCTTTTTCCATCATCTTGCAGCTTGTTCGTAGCAACAGCCGTCGATTTATGCCATCACCAGCAGATGAAGAAGCTCATCAGTTATCGTATCTGCAAAAGCACATGTCAAATATTATTTCTCTCCTTGCAGAGCCTGTGGAGGGAGAAGGAGATGAATCTTTGGTATGTGCAAACCTTTCTTTATGTCATTCGGGAAGGAGTTACTGTTTCTTTTTTGATAGATATATAGAACCCAATGTCGCAATAAAAATATTGGGATATGAAACAAAACGCGTATCTCATTCAAGATGGTTATTTCATCACGGCTTAAATGGTGTTATTTACTTTTTAACTGTCCAAATCTCCTCCTCAGGTCCTATCTATGGAGAGCTTTGAGCACATTGGTTTTCTTCTTCATTTTGGTGATAAGGGATCTGATGTACTTTCTTTGAGCCAAGCTACTCCTTTCTTTGCTAATTCTGATCCTGATATGCCCGCTGTTCCCGTTCCTGCTTCCCAAGTGCATGATTGGCTTCTGAAAAACATAGCTTCCGCCTTGGAAAGCATTTCTGACAGAATTTCTGGGAAAGAAAATGGACCATCAAATGCCTCTGATCAAGATGCTGCAACCGCAGATGCCTCTGCAGCTCTTAGTAAAGCTTCATCTAACGATAGAGGTCCTTGTATTATCGAGGGAGTCTCCAAGACTTCACTTTTCAAGCAGGCTTCCGATCTTAAGGGTAGATCTGTGAAGGTCCGTATTGGACAACTACTTTGCATTTATAGAATTCCGCGTTCCTGTTTTGTTCGCTCATGCATGCACTTCAAATGCATGTTTTGTGTATTCTGCAGGTTGCCAATTGCCATGATTCTGTCATTTATCTTTTAGCGCCATTAAGATATGCAACTGTGTATGGATGTTCTGATTCTACTATCGTTCTGGGAGCTGCTGGCAAGGTACGACTGATACACTCCTTCCTGCTTTAGTCTTTGTTTGCAAGGTTCGGATGCACTAAGAGTCATTTATGCTTTCTGCAGGCAGTAAGAGTTGAGCATTGCGAGAGAGTTCATGTGATTGCAGCCACTAAACGAATCTGCATCGCCAATTGCCGTGAATGTGTGTTCTTTTTGGGAGTCAATCAGCGACCTCTTATTGTCGGTGATAACAACAAACTACAGGTAAAGCGTCTCTCTAAGATTGAGGTTTTCTGCATACACAAAACTCTTCTTCCCCGCCCTTATATTCAGCTGAGATTTAGTAATGAGACCACAGAGTTTTTCTGTGTTGAAAGCCTGTTTACTCATAATCATGTCAATGCTTCATGTTGTTTGGATAATTATACATGCTGTTAGAGTCACTTCTTCATTCGAGTTTTGTGCAAACATCTTCTGATGTGTTTGTTGTCTATAATTGCTGGCATCGATTTGACTTAGATCTGTTTCAGGTTGCTCCATATAATACGTTTTACTCACACTTGGAGGAGCACATGACCGAGGTTGGGATTGTGCCAACTGTCAACAAATGGAATGAATCCTTGGCGCTGGGAGCAGTTGATCCGCATGACTCACTGTCACATCCCACCGGTGCCTCTGAAAAACAATCTGACTCAGCTTCTTGTGTGGACCCTGACCAGTTCACTAACTTTTTGGTAAGATCCCCTGTTTCTTAGTTTACTTTTCCTGTAATAACTGGTGATGTTTGGTTACCAAGATTGTGATCACGTGGTTAATGTCTCACATCAATGTCTCTGGCTCAGATCCCAAACTGGTTTGCGGGGGAGGCCCTTGGTTCCACGAAAGACAATCCATTCCCATTACCAGATGCCTATATGGCAGTGCAGCAGACAAACGTATGTTTAACTTTTGGCTTTCTAGAACAGAAGTGCTCTGTTTTTTTTTTCCTTCCACATCGGAACAGCATCATCTAATATATTCGTTTAAACAGCTAAAGAAGTTGGAAGAAACAAGACAATCCTTAAGAGAAACACCTCTTGAAGAAATCCGAAAACGAGAATTTGCTACCGCGTTTCACATGCATTTCAAAGACTGGCTCTACGGTAATCAAATCAAATCAAGTCCCCTTTCTAGTTCATTCACTCCTTTGGTCATTGGATAATTTATCTTCTCCTTTTTTTTTCCGGTGGTGACAGCAACGGGAAATATCAGACAACTTTACTGCCTACAAGGTGATTAATTCACCCACCAGTGGCGATGGAAGATGTCTCAGTCACTGCAGAGTTTTCTTGATCCGTTCCTCTTCAGAGATTGCTAGAAAGTATGACATCAGGACTTTAACTGCACAGCACGCTGCCTAACTCCTAAAGCCCTCTCTTATTTTTTTGTGTGTAGGTTTTTATTCTCTGCTTTGATCATATTTATTATTAGTTTCAAATGTCTTGGCAAGCCCACGTTTTTGTCTTTTTCCTTTTTGAAAAACATTATGCAATATTGGCTTTTTAAGTGTTGATTTCTTCCAATTGTTATAAGCAGATAAGAACTTTGCTCAATACCATATATATATATATTTAGGAACTCCTTGAATTCTAAGGTTTCTTTTTTAATTTCTTTTCACTTAACCATCTAACACATTCAAACAGGCTGAACAGCTATGAAAACTTCTCTTGATCAACTATTGTTGTTCTCTTGTCTTCTAGCTTGGAGGAAGTAGCTTCTCTGCTTGGTCCGGGAAGAACGTTATGAACAACAAAGCACCTGCAAATTCAACAAAGTCTTATTCATAACCAAAACAAAAGACCAAACAAACAATTTCTACATTTAAACTCTATGGTAACTTTTCACTTACAGACGAGCACTGTTCCTAAGACTGCTGAGATCTTGCCTTGAACTGTGATAAGCCCTGCTTTGCCTGCATTCTGCAACTCGGTTGAACCGACCGATTCAAATGTCCCTAAAGACGCAGCAAACAAGTAAATCATTATCATCATCTTTCCTCTTAGCCAAACTATCTCTCCCAAGAAAATGATCTTAGATGAAGCCAAATGGGAAATCAAACCTGGTTTTACAGATTGTAGCCCTGACGTAACACAAGCAATGTTTTCGAAACCAGCTTCCTCCAATCTACTAGCTGCAGCTGCAGATCTTTTCAAAGATCGACAAAAGAAACTTAGAATCATCTTCGTACTACATTCGGTGATACATGTCTCAGTGAATCCAGAGTTTGTTCTACTAACCTGAGACCTTCTTGGCAAACAATTAAAAGCTTGCTGTCTGGTGAAAACTCGTTTCTAACGGATCCGAGGAACTCCGGATTCATTTTCGTAAAGGGTAAACCGAAGAAGAGCCCTGAGAAGTTGTTGTGCACTGTCCTCTTTATTATCGTGCCTGCAAATTTCTCAGAGACAATATATATATTTGTATTACTTAGAATCTCCGGTCTACTGTTTTGTTCAAGTTAGAGGATTGATATTCTTACCAAGATCGTTGTCTTCGTTGAAAATGAAGAGAGGGATGTGGTGGCAAGATTTTATATGAGCTCTCTCGAACTGGGTCTTGTCTCTTACATCCACCACCGAGTAACCTTCCATTGCTACTAACTGCTTCGCTTCTTCTGCATTCACAAATCTCACCTCCGCAGCAATTCTCAGGTTTCTCCGGCGGATTCCGTTCCCGGAGATGCTTTTTCCCGCCCAGCTCACTGATTTTAACCGCCTTGTGCCGACATTACTGCATCAGAAATTCGAAAGACTTTAACTTAAGCTGATTGACTCTGTTTTCGGATGAGAACACTCCAAGATTACAGAATTTGGCGAATTTTCTATAAGAATCAACTTAAAGATGAGTAAACTCGTTTTACCTGGTGAAATAAAGAGCCGTAGGGCTAGGGCTTATGATCCCCGCCATTGATGCAGAGGTTTCTCGAGGAAACAAAACTCTGTCACTGCGATGATGCGATAGTCACTTGGACAAGAACCAGTAGATTAGCCATAGCACAAGGGAATTTAAGAGAGCCAATGAGATATTGCCACGTGTTCAACTCAGCTTTTACATGTAGATCACCAAAATCTACTTCGTTTGATTGTGATTCATGCTTTATGTTTGTTTCCTAGTGCTTATCCTGTTAAAAACAATTATAGATTCAGATAAAGTAACTAAACTCGCGATAAACAGAAGCAAGCACATCTCTAATCACTTAAAGCTGTAACATTTCTTACAATTGCATACAAAGTTGAATTTTTTTTATTATAGGAAACATTCAGACAAAAGATGAAAGTCACTCTCCCGAAAAATCATGAGGAAACAAGAGCAAAAGAGTTTTACATCTCCAGATACAGTAAACAAAAAACAAGAGTGTGCAGGGAAGAAGAGATTGTCTCGAGAGCAAGGGATCAGCGAATGCACAGCTTATTAGTCTCAGTCACCAAAAGAGAAATCAGGCATCAGCTTCAGCTCTTTTCTCGACGGTGTAAGGATAATACTCTCTGCCATTGTCTACTCTCGTGGTCTGACCTCCAGAGTCAATCAAAGCAGAGGTAACAGCAAGAGTTGCACCTGCAGCTATCGCTGTCGGGATGCTCCTTGCTGTGAAAAAAGCACAACAATATAAATTAGGTTACAATGGAGTTTCGCACAAAAAGAATGCAGGAATCTACAGCCTCTAGTCACTCAAAGCTCACTTTCGATCTTTACATACATAATATTTAAGAGGGTTTCCTCTACATACTCCATATCAAAGTCTTGGAACTTAAAATCTCATATAGAATTGCTACACCAGTTACCAAACATTAACTTGAGGTAAGGAACAATTGAATTAGAATCTCACAATTCTTCTAGTTACTCCCAAATCGAAGTTGTTGTTTATGTATCCACCAATAACTACTAAGCTCCTAAAACCCATGAACTCCATACTGCTAAATTTCGGCAACTTGAAATGGTCTTCCAAAACGCATACAGTAACGAACCATGAGTGAAGAAGAAGAAGAATGAGAAACCATTACCTCTATAGCCAAGCACAGAAGCTCCAGCCACGAAACCACCAATAGCACCATTGTAAAAGTCTCTCTTGGATCTATAGCTCTGAACCAGCTGTTCAACACCGATGTAAACGCCTCCGATGGCGGCGAAAGTCAGCCCGTGGGTTCCCATCATCTTCAGAGTTCTGATGAGTCCAGGAAGGGCCACGTTTCTCTCCACTCTCGGAACGTCTTTCCATGTCGCCAAAATGGTCCCGTAGATAGTCCCAGCACCGAAACCAGTGACACTGCCTTTGATTGTCTTCATCATCGGGCCATCCTCTTCTTCCAAGTATCTCATTTCAGCTGGATCCATGATGATTCCTTCTACTGGTTTCTAGCGAATGCACACGAGCTAAAATATTCACCAGAGAACAAGATCAAGCAAAAACAACGATTAAAGATGTGAAATTTGAATTGCGGAATGTATTGAAAGACGCGGATTTGAAGGAATTTTCATCAAATCGAAAGTTTTTGAAGTCGCCGTCTTTACAGATTAATGAACCCATTCATATAGATCGTCAATATCATTAAGTAAGAATGAAAATTCATCATCGGGTTTAAAGACGCAGAATTCAGGTAGAGAGATATTGGGGATTAATGTAAAAGAAGAACCCTAGTTCAGTAAGCTCATCAGAGTCATCAATACATGGAAAATTTTGAATCAGTCACTGACGAACAGAAGAAATGTTACATAACAGAACGAAGAGAAATCATAGAAGGATTGAGAATGGTCTGACCTTTGGAATTGGAAGAAGCAAAGAGACGAACAAAGCGATGAGCAATTCAGCGGAGGAGCTCAAGGAAAAAATGTTTCGATGTTCTTCGGACGGAGACGAGAGAGACGGTAGAGCCAGAAAGAGTTAGATATTTGGACCTACCAACTAACGAAAATTAGTGTGGCCCATTTAGGCCCATTATGAATCCCTTGCGGGAAATTAGTTTGGCCCATTTAGGCCCATTTTGAAGCCCAATAGCATTATCTTCCTCAACTCTCGAGTCTCAGTTTAGCAGGGGAGAAGAAAGAGAGTATCGAGTGATTCGAGTCTGAGCAAAGCTGATGAACAACGAGTCTGGACCATTGAACCATCTTCTCTATGCATAAAGCTATATTCATCTAAACAAAAAGGTAATGTTAGCTCCTGATTTGATTCACTAGGGTATAGATCACTACATATGGTAAAATGTATTTGAAAATTGTGATGCTCAGTCTCATCATCTCTCAAGTTGGGAGGATCATGAAGAGAAAACAATAATAAGCATAAAAAAACCAAAAAGCCATTCTCTGGCAACAATTGTCAGGTTTATTAGTAGCAAGCAGGTAACAGAAGAAGACACACAAAAAAAGCGAGCAAAAGATAAAGATGTTGCAGAATCGTTTGATAGTAACAACAATGCAAAGAGAAGAGTCTACTTTAAAAGGCAAAGAGACTCAGAGAGACCAGTTGTTATGGTGAGAGGAAGAGTCATAAGGCCTTGTACTCTGAGCTTCCATGTACTGCCTCCTGCTTTGATGATGGTGATCAGATAACTCGAACTCACCCATCGTCGTGCCACCGCTTATCTGGCAATTATCTGGCTCGGTGAATCGACCCAAATTCAAAACAGGAGACATTTCATTCGGACAGCTGTTGTCTTCGTCCTTGAACACCCAAGGCGGGTTCATATACTGATGATGCTGGCTTGGTGCAGGTGGTGGCTGAGCCATTGTAACCGTCATGGGGCCAAAACCTGAAGAAGTTCGCCATGTGTTGTTGTTGTTGTTGTTGTTGTTGTCCTGTGGCTGGTGATGCGGATTTGACAGAAGAGAGAGAGCACAGTTCGAGTCGCCAATTCCCTTGTAGCTCTCTAGTTTTGTGTCCATGGTCTCCGGAGACGAGAAGCTTGTCCCTCCTCCACCGACCGATCCTTGACTAAAGACATTCATCGGATTGATCTGCCACGACGGTGCTGACACAGGCCGTCTCATCACTCTTGTATCCAACGTTCTTGCGCTTGTCCATCCCATCTCTTGGTTCCCAAGAAAGCTCCCGTTCATTCCACTATCAGCATTTCCTGTCCCATTATTAACATTGTGTTAGTTTAGTAAAACGAGTCGGTCTTTGTTATGTATAAGGCTAAAAAGGATCGAACCGTAGAGCGAAGGTGCGATCCTCCCGTAACGAGAAGACAACACGGAGAGCGACGCAGGCTGTGGCTTCCTCCGTCGCTCATTATGGCCAGCGAGTCTCCTGCGGCAACTCCTTTTCTCTAGGTCAAATTCCGGAAGCTGGTGAAACCTATGTGAGATTTGATTATAATAGAGTTAACTTCAATGAAAAGCAACAACATTCCAAACACAAGATCTCTACAAATCCTTAAAAAAACGGTTAAATCATCTCATCTAATTAATGCAGCACTCTATATAAGTCAAAAGGTTTCATCATCAGTTTTGATTCCGAATCTAAAAACCACACACTGTAACAGAGTTTCTTGAATGATCACGTCATTGATGCTATGGTACCAGTTTTGTCCCCCTCAATAATGATATGACCTAAAGAGGCAAACATAAGGGCTATGCGTTTCTTATTGTCCATTCATTTCATATCCCTTCGGATTGGATATTTTAGAAAGACAAATTCACAAAAAAATAAAATTAAAATTAAAATAAAAAAGAGAAGCATATAGAAGTACACGTAAACATATTCCCCAAAATAAGCCCAACGAGTCTAACAAACACAAGACCAGGTTACAAAACACTAAGCTGTAAAGTTAAAAGAGAAACCCTCCAAAGACGTTAAAGCCAAAAAAGCATATGACACTGACAATCTACAAAAAAAAAAAAAAGCTAAAGCCTTTGTGGATTTGATTCGCAAGAGTGAAAACACGGTGAGTCTTGGCCGGACTCTTAACTCCGGCAATGGCAAAAACATGTAAATAAACGAGAGAAGTAAAGGGTAGAATTGGGAAACAAAAGAAAAGAACCTGCTGCACTGTTGACAAAACCTCTGTTCGAGACCAGCGACAATGACTCTGGGTGTTTTAGAGTGCATTCCACAAACTCTGTGCCTCGAGTAATAACCTTTTGCATTGGTTAGATCCGTTCCACAACCTTCCACTTGGCACCTTGGTATCTGACCCGACTGACCCGACCCGCCTCCACGAACCCGTCTGTTTGACCCGCCGGAGGAAGAAGAGCCGGATCCACCTCCACCGTCCTCGAAGTAGATTCTCTGGCCAAACATGAGCCCTCCGCTCAAAGAGGATGACTCAGTCGAGGAACCACCAGACTCTGTCTGACCCGGACCATGACCCGGACCCGAGTTGGAACCCATCTCCAATTTTGGTTTCCTCTTACTCAGACAGAAAGGGAGTTACTCATTTTTCTCTCTCTCTCCTAAACCTAACTGTCTCGGTTTAAAGAAAGGACGAAAGGAGAAGAAAGCAAAGAAAATTTTGGCTTCTCTGATTTTGACTGTTTTGCGTTTAGAGGAAGAAGAGAGAGAAACACAACAGAAGCAAAAAAGAGACGAGAGTGGTAATAGACAAAGACAGTGAGATAGTAAGTAAAACGGTACGGACAAAAAAACTATTGTCTGTTAATTACCACATAGCAAAAACGAGACAGAGAGAGAGAGAGAGAGATGTAGCAGTTTCTAATCTTGGAGTTGGAGAAGAAACTTGAGCAAATGAACATTGGAGAGGTCTTTCATGTACACATCTTTTTATTTTTTTACTTTATACTGTTCATGTTTTCAACCTTTTTATAGATTTTTTCCTTGCAATTATTTGACAAGTTACGCATTTTTTTATGTCAAAAGAATAAATAATGCATGTTTTTTTTTTCTTTTGGTCCACCATTGGCATTATGAGGTTGGCAATAAATGGAGATGATATTTTGTGTTTCTCCATAGCAAATCTACCATATATTTGACTTGGTTTTGATTTGATCAGTGAATGCGAAACCAAAATGTTTTCAAACAAAATTAAACTGAACAAAGTTTTACTCAAAAGCATAATTTCCAATAATGAAAACCTAAAACTTCCACACGAACCAAACCAAGTTTGGTAAAACTTAAAAGTATATTTAGATCAAATTTACAGGATAACATTCACAACTCTATTATTGTATGCAATGAAAGCTTGGTAGTTTTTGATTCGATTAAATAGGTCAACAAGTTTTTTACACGTTGAATATGCATGTTTGAAAGAAAACAACTTAGAAATACACTCATTTAAACCAGGTGAGAGATCGTACTATATCTCCAAATACTAGGAATTTATTTTCAAGTTAAAATTTGTGAAACGTTAAAGATCATTTTGTAAGTTGCATCTGTTATTTATAGCTGGATAAAATGATCATTTTTTGTCTCTAGCTGAATATAAATACATTGAGTTCATGTGAAAATAGGGTTTGCCTATGTCAATTTAATAGCTGAATAGCGGAATAAGTGAATAATAATCTGACGTAATCAATAGGATGGGTAAACTGAAAAAACTAATTTTATTAAATTAATAGATTTTTCTTAAAACTAGTTATAAATTTAAAACGTGCAGAATGAATTGAAAAATAGCATGTTAATTTTCATTTTTTATCATTCAGTGCTTAATATTATGAATGATATGCATTTAGTGAAATCAAGTTTTCAAAACGCAAAAATGTGAAAAAACTATTTACCATTTAACCCCTATGTTTTCTCAAACTTTATTCTACTTACGATTATTATAATTAAGTAAACTCGGGGATTGGCATCCACGTAGACGTATTTGAGCGGTCAGTCACGAATTATAGTAAAAAGGGTTTGAAATTAATTTCAAGTTTTAAAACTGCTTAACACCCTAATTTTTTAGCTGTGAGTAGGTAAAATGATCAATACTAAATATATGGTATTTGGTGTAGAAAAATGTATAACTTATTAAGATGCTAAAAAATAGGGTAAAGTTGCATAGAAACTTGGAAAAGTATTGACTTCACGTAATGAGCTAATTAAAACACACATATGAACGTGAAACCTAATTAGTTACGATCTGCTAATTACGATGTGTAAACAATCAAACTTCTTTTCAACAACACACCACGCACTGCGACAAAATACTCATCCTATTATCCGCTTGGCCCATGCTTCTTTAGACCCATATTTTCTTTCGTTGGTGACACTTATGCACATTTCTCTTTCCGAAAAATGTGCAATATCATTCACTCATATGTTTTTCATTTCTCAAAGTTTATTAGGTTCAGTGCTATCTACCTTATCTGGCTTACACAAAAATTTCCCTTCGCGGTCGCATCCATAAAATGCTAATTACCAACGAAAACACACTATTTGGTCCCTTGTATTTCTGTTGCATCTTAGTTGCAGTTTGAAACTTACAAAATTTTACAGGGATGTTTTGTAATAACTACAATGTATAAAGTTCAAGAAGCGATGTATGTAATAATTAAGAGTTCTAGTTCGATGGTTCTCCTTTATGTTGGATATCCATAATTAAATGTGATGGTGATGGGTCATGTGTGATGTAAGTTTTTTTGGGTCATAGGTGATGTAAGTTTAATTAAAAGTAGTATTGAATTTTTGAGAGCATCTATCTGAGACCAGGGAGCAATCTTCAGACTTGCATATAGAACATCCAACTTTACAAATCTTGATAATCTGAATTTTTTTGTACTTAGAATAATAACTTTTTAGTCTTTCATATATTATTATCCTTCGTAGATTCTATACTCAGCATTGGGAACCTAAAGGAAAGTGCGGAGGAGTTCAGAGTTCTATAAATAGAGGGTTTCTTACTTTCTTTTACAAATATAACGATAACTGTAGTAGTTAAAAGAGTAACGAATATGGTAAAAAAATTACAGTCATTTAAAATGTTAAAATAGTACTACTATTAAAGACTGAAATATGAGCAGTAAAGTTATTGGAACACAACAAAAGACGTGACACTTCAAGGGAACTAGTTGGTGTCGGCAGATGTGCAAGCAACACTATAAAATATTTTTTAGTACTCTATTTTTATTTGTTAAGCCTCTTTCTCTTGTTCATAAGTGAATTATATATAATATAATGTTTTTTTTAATAAATATGGCTTTCGATTTGTTTGTTTGTTTTATTGCAAATTAAAGCCACAGTTTTTCCTCATTTGTTTTGTTATGGAATTTTATTTTGATAAATTTTAGTCACAATATCCAAAGAAAGATCTTTCTTGATTTTTGTAACAATATAAAAGTATGAAAAGTTAAATCATAGTCATATACATCCATCAGAGTCTGTGTAAACTATAATACTTTATATTATAGGTTTATGTTCGATTTGTTCTTTTTGCTTAGCTTTATTTAGTGAAAGTGCTTTCCATTTGTTTGGCTGCATTGGTTAAACCCTGAAACTAAAGACCTGATCTGCTGATACTGGTTTTACAAATATGTCACAAAAACAACTAGGTTCTGCTTAGCTAGACATTAACAAAATATTATTTATGCCGTCATTATTATAGTCATATATGATGATGATGCTTGGAAATTTTCTTTATTTATTATTTTTTTTTTTTGGTTTTAAGTAAAGGGTGGCCAATTTGGGCTGTGGAATAGATTTGAGTCTCCCTTTCGTCACCATATCCATTTGGTCTTTCACTCTTTAGTAAGATACATTTTTTCTTTAGTAAGATGCATGAATTTTAGGTTTTAAGTTATTACCATTGGAGTTAATCATTACTTCATTAGCTACTAAGAGGAACAAAAAAATATTATAGAATATTCGTATATGCTTAGTTGTTTTCCATTTTATGTTTCACATGATAATCATATGTTTACAAGTTTTAAGAATTATTCTTAACAATTCAAGGCCTTTTTGTGTTAATCATATGAATTATTTATCCAAAATTGTGTAGACTAAAATCTCCAAGTCTCAAAGTCTTATCTCACTTCTCAGCTCTCTCTTCCCTCAATGGGTTTGCTGATACATTTTGCCTATATTGCACGATTTGCAATTATAACATCCCTTAGAATGATTAGAAACTTTTGGAGATGAGAAGATCTCTCACATATCTCTCAAAAGCGTCAAGCACTTTCTCTCTCAAATTCATTTTATGACGCTCAGAAGTCAGAAAGCAGAAACAAGAAAAGAGTATGCAGCTTGATGCTATTGATTCATGAATCATATAAACACCATAAGACAGACATATCCAAAGTTCTCAACTTTCAAAAAAAAAAAAAAAAAAAAAAAAGAAGAAGCCTCAGGTTAAATTGTCATCCTGATTCTTGAAGTTCTTCACCAGGAAGAGGGTTTCTCAAACTCCATTACATTCCACGACAGCTTCAGCAGCTCGTCTCGGCTTGCTTTTCCTCCGGCTCCCGTTCTGTCTAAACCCAGTAGATGTCGATTTCGTGGAATCATCCGTGCTTGACTTCGATCCAAACCCATTCTCTTCTTCATTTACATCAGTATTGCTTCCATTAAGTACCTTCCTCTTCCTCTCGTTCTCTTGTTTTTTACTTGTTATCGAACCATCGTTTGTATCATCAACATCTTCTTCTTCTTCTTCTTCTTCTTCTTCCTCCATCTTGTTGTCTACCATCTCTTCTTCTTCCTCCTCCTCTTCGAAATCATCTTTCATCGGCTTCTGTGGCCTTACTCTTCTTCTGTAAGCCGGAATCTTTTCTTCTTCGCCGCTTCCACGATCTTCCCGAGCAGATGCATTCTGCTTCTTCCCTTTCCCTCTACCCCTTCTCATACTCTATTTAACTCCCCCACTTTATACAAAAGCCCACGAGCTACTACACACTTTAGAAACCTGCAAGTTAAAAAAAAAACACATTTTCCACTTTAAGCAGCTCTCTAGAACACAATCAATCAAGTAACATTACTCTCTTCACATTGCAGATCTATGAGACAATCATAAGAACATGAAGGGCATTGACTACTCCTCTTTTAACATCTAACAATTGCATGTCTTATTTAAAACTGTTCCGATGGATTCCATTTCAGCTCTCCTATTCTACCACTTAAAGTCGATTCATGAATAATTTTGATAAGCTAAGCTACAAAAAGAATAAGATTAACTCCCATGAAAATCTAATTGCAATCAAAATGATAAAAAAGGGCTAACTTTACTTTTGTTTCCAAACTCATCGAGCTTATCCAGAGCAAGTAAACAAGTGCAATCAAAGTTAACCAACCAAAATGCAGAACTGGATAATACGCATGAAGTAGTAAAGCGACGAAACTCACCTAATTCATCAGATTCTCCTACACATGAACCAATTTACTCAGAAACAGACAGTAAAAATGGTTTCTTTCTCTATTTCTTAGGGGTATCAATCGAAAAATGGATTTTTTTTTCTTAGGATTTCACTCGATCTACTTTAGACAGTGTCTCTAACCTCAGAAAGAACAAAACTTCAGTGCGAAACAGAGGAAAGCTCAGATCAGAGAATCACTGAATTGAAGTGATCACAATCGAAGGAAACATATAAAAACTAGAGAGATCTAAGAAAGAGAAAGAGGAAAGACCAGAAGAAGAAGTTTGGTCTCAGTTACACACACTTAAGCAGTATCCTATAAACATACCATTGGCCGATGGATCTTCTTCAGCCCCATTGAAGATGGGATACGGATTTTTTTCACATTCTTGCTAATCGCACGCGCAGAAAAACGGCGCGTGATTCTCACTCCCACACCTGTTACTGTTAGTGGTGCTCTCGAACTGTCTGTGTGGATAAGAATAGTGACACCTCAGCCAGCAATCTCAAAGTCTTACGAGACTAGTCGTCATTCCACATATATTATATATCAAATGGGCCAAACTGAAAGCCCATAAATATTTTTCTTTCTTGAATATTTAGGTCACTTTATGAGATCAACTGTTTTGGTAATAATAATAAAACTGTAGATTGGCGAAAAAAATTATGCTCCGAAATTACAGAATGTAGAATAGTGAAATAATTACTTGAAATGATATGAATGAATAAATTATATGGATTGGCGTAATGGTGGAATTATAAAAAATATATAAAATTAATTTTTCATAATAATATATTTTATATATAATTTGATATAATAAAATTAAAATATTAATTATTATCAAAACATAATTTTAATATAACTAAAAAATATTAAAATTTTTATTGTAATTATCTATTTTTATTTTTATTTTTATTTTTATTTTTATTTATTATAAAATATATAAATATATTGCAAAATTTAATCTACAGATATAATCTGATCATTATATAAATATATGCAATAGAAATATATTTATTTAAATAATAAAATATTATTAATTATATAATTGAATGATATAAAATATTAATTCTGCAAATAAGTTATTTGAAACATATTTTTCCACTTAATTAATTTTTTTTTGTATTTTTTGTAAGTATTTCCGCCATTCCACAGAACTCGAGTTTTGACATTTTTTCGCAGGTTTTTTTGATTGGCAAATTTTTTACGGAATCACATTTTTCCGCCATTTCACGAAGTTTACCAATCAATATCCATAGGTTCATATATAGGAAGAATATGTGCATTTCCGTTTTTTAGTTTGTGTTATTTATGAATTTTTTTCTTAGATGAGAGTAATTTTATGTCAACTCTTTTTATCTGGTTTGATTCGATTCCATTCAATTTGTTAGAGGTCCGACTCGACTCCTGCAGATCAACACATTGATTGTGACAGTATGTAAAACTATATTTTCTGGAAATCCCCTTTTGAAGTAAAACTATATTTTCTGCAACCACCAAAAGTAAAACTACTTACATTTGCTCGCAAATATGTTTGGATCTCTGATAGAAAAAGTAAAAAATAAGCAATCGCACATGATAGTCAGTGACAGTTTGAGTTTTCGAAGTCCTCTAGCCTTCGTTTTGTGTTTCTATTAGTAAATACATTTTACCATATGAAAAAACTTCTATTATTGTTCTTAGAAGATGCAAAATATAAATAACAACTGTAGATATCATTTTTGTTCTGCTGCTACCGTCAAAAGTTTTTCTAATTAGAATATGGAACATTATATTAAGTATACAAGACATAATTAATGGTCCACTTATGGAATTTATACAATTGCCTAAATCAAAGACAAGCCAACACACCCACTATAAATTCGTTTTTTTGTTGTCTAAGCAAACTCTATTGATATAACAACGATTTGCATATATATATATGATGATTGATGACGATATTGAGCGTTTGGCAGATATGTTCATGGCAAGATGACATGAGAACTTCTTGCAGGAGAAGGTTGAATCTTACAGGAGATACCAAGAAATGTTGGCGAGGAGTTTGTGAGAATTGATAATGAGCGCGACGGCAAAGAAACTGCTTCTCCTGATTTTAGTTAATTATGGTTTGATGGACTTTGCTTTGCATTCATAAATCTCATGTCTCTCTATATCATCAAACAGCTGCATGTATTTAGTGATTGCATGAAAAGCTTTTAGGTTCATAAATCTCACGTCTTTGGGAGACAGCCGGGCACATATCTTTTCATCAATACAAATATAATCTCATACTCATTTTAATTAATCCCACCATAGTTTATCTAATGAATCTCAACAAGACACCAATCAGTTTTATTTGTCTTTATTAAATTTAACTATATATATAGATATTGGATCCTACGTTCTGCTACATATAAATTAGAGAGATGAGATGACAAAAAAAAAAAAAAACACTATAAATAATAAGAAAAGAGTATGAGTTTCTTTTTCTTTATCATTTCCTTCTCTCTTCCCCTATATATAACCTTATCATATTCCACTTATTACCATAAAAAATTACCAACTCTATCTTCTAATCACATAAAACCTAATTCGTTTCTACAAAACTATGGAAATTGAAGCTACTGTTCACAAAAGAAGAAGCTTATCAACCATAGCCATGCACAAACAATCAAGAACACTAACCAAATCGAAACCAAAGATACGGATCATCCATATATATGCACCGGAGATCATTAAGACCGAAGTCTCCAACTTCCAGGAACTCGTCCAGAAACTCACCGGAAAACCAGATCATCATCATCACGATATGCACCGCCAAAAGGGTCTCAAAAGAAACCATCGGTCTAGAGGAAGTCATGATCATCAACTCCATGACATGAACAAGAGCCAAAGATTCTGCATAAACTCAGAAGTAGAAGACGACGAAGAAGAAGAGATGGTGTCGATGACGTGGAATGGTAGTGGCGGAGAGAGCTCCGGTGGGTTCTTGAACGGCTTAGGAGATTTCGACGGTTTCATTCAGGAGCTAGGTGAAATTCCTTATTTGCCCTTGACCATTGATCCTTCCGTTGCTTCTGCTTCGTCTTCGCACTTACATGACGGAGTTTTCGCAGAATCGAGCCAGTTCGCCTAAATTTTCCGAAACGGCAGCATTTTTTCATTCTATAATCAAAATTAGGTTATAAGTTTTAAATAAATTTTATTTTTTTTCATTAGATACAAGAAGCTAGTTTTTTGGGTCATTTTTAGCATTAAATGGTTTGACTTTTGGAGAACTTTGTGGATCTTGTGGTTCATGATTATTAGGATTTCTGTTTCTTAATAATTTTCCACTAATTTGTCTTTCCCTAATAAATTCGTATTTCGCTATTAACTCATAAAAAGTGTATCGAATATTAAAAATCGTCACCACTCACTAAAATGCTGAATTTAAAATAGAATTTTGCAAACTTTGTAGTAAGAAATCCGTATCTTCTATAGTTTTCTGAACATTTTTAACAAGATATCATTGTACTTGCCTGCTAATATAATTAACAAACACTTGTTGAATGCACGTTTTGGAAGTTTTAGGACTAGATATTTTTCCTCGCTTATCCAAATGTACTGAAAAATAGACGTATTGATTGATTGATTGATACTTAACATAAGATAAGTACAAATAGGACCATATTTAATTCAAGATAACAAATATTATATATTAAAAATGCAAATATGAGCGGACAAGTAACCACAATTACATGCTTTTTATGGTGGTGATTCTGATGATGATGATGATGATGCATTGATATGTGATGATGGAACTACACATCAAATGATAAACTCTCATCACATATTTGATCACTTAGGCACTACAAATCAAGCAAGAGCATGTTAGACATGTGAGCCCTTAGACTATTTGTGAAGGTTGCAGAAAGAACACAAAAGAGGAATACTTTTAACATATAGAGATGACCACCTCAAGGTTAAAGTCCATTCACTTTAGACATTTACAGACACCAACTTGGTGGTCGGTTCTTGTAATAACACATAAAGAACACAGGAACAGTGGCTAGTACTACTATCTAACTATCGTATTCAAGAGTTTCTACAACGTTCGATGACGGTTTTTCCAACCTCGTTAGAACTTCAGGCACTCCTGAAGTATCTCTTACTATCTGCGTAAGAAACAAAAATAGAAGAAGCAGATAAACTAAGTTAGTGTCACGAATTAAACAGTCTTTAACGAAGGTCTTGCTTCCATGAACTTATTATACAAGCAAAATATTCAACAAACTCACGAGAATCTCCTCGTCCAGATAAGATATCATAAAGAATCTTTCGAAGGATCCACCTGAAGCAGATAACACTAGTTGGTTCAGTACACATATGAGGGGGCAAATGGTGATACACATATTTATAACAAACAGAGTAGCTTACTCAGGGGAATTCTCAGACCACTGGCTAAAGTATCCTTGATAACAGCAGGAAGCTGCTGCAACGTTGTGGTGGCTTGACCCAATGCGCCTTTGAGCTGTTCAGGAACTGCTTCTTCAATGACCGTTGGGGACTCGAACATGCCTTCTATATACTCTTCTTTCAGTCTCAGAGGTCCCTCAACGGTCAATTTGGACGACAGAACGATCTTGCTTTCTATCTGCAATTGTTTTGTTGTTGGTTAATGCGAGAAACAACTTCTGTGAGTGACTCAGTGTAATTACATAAAAAAACAATGAACAAAACTTTTGAAAAAGCATTTCAGTTATGCTACCGAGTTCAGCAATTTGATATTTGCGGTCGCCTTTGCGTTAGAATCCTTAATCAGTATCTCCATTCTTGATAGATTCGCCAACGTTGATGGAAACCTCCTGAGAAACAACACAAACAGATTGCAAAACACTTCAAAGTTTGAAGATAAACGGTGAGATTATAAGATAAGAAAATGAGAAGTAGCACTGACTCGAAAATAACCCGAGCAGCGAGTAAACCAGGGCTTCCAGACCCAAACCACTCGAAACTCCATCTGCCTTCGAAACAAGGAGACCTGAAAAAGCTACAGAACCAGTTACAAAAAGAAGAAGACAACAAATAAGCAAAAAATCGAAACCAAAAGGGTTAAAAGAGACGCCTACGTGGTTGGTCTTGGAGTAGGGTTAAGCCGCTCTAGACTCGTTATCCTCTCATTCACATCGATCCTCTGCATATTGGTTGTCTTCCCTGTAACTAAAGCCTCAAAGCCTCCAGCATCCTTCAGCTGTATATAGATAGATCGTTTCAGTGCAAAAAAAAAGGACTTTTTTTGAGAGGTCAAAACACAGAGCTGTTCCTAAAACTAAGACAACTCAATTGCGCTAAAAAAACTCGATGCTAGATTAGTCGCTTCGCTTGTAAACTTCAATCCAGGGAAATGTGAAGTACTGTAATATTGGAATAGAATCTCCTACCCTCAACTGCAATCTATTGATTATAATTGCAACTAATCCTCAAAATCACATGGGGAACTGAAAGATCTAAGATTATTACGAAGTAATTGAAGTTCAAAAGGGTGAGAGAGTTTTTACGGCGAGAAGCAGCGATTCCTTAGCAGAAAGGCGCTCCATTTCTCTGGCGTAAACTGAAGGAGATCCTTGAACTGCTGCTTCCTGCACCATTGCTCTTAAAACCCTTCTCCGCCTCCAACTTTTCACCGTCGGAACAACGACAGAGACCCTCGACGGTGGCATTGAGCTCGAAAAGCTCAATCGAACCGCAGACGGCCCAGAAATCGAACCATGTATCAACGCCATCGGAGAAGAAGAAGGCGAAAGAGACGTAAGCCTAGAAAAAAAGTACCAAAGATTGGGAATTTTTGCAGTGAATACCTCAGCAAATGAGTATGTGTGTATGTGTATGTATGAGTTTCTCTTCTTTTAGTTATTTTAACCGTTAGCCTTATTTGCTGGTTCAACCGGTCGGTTTCTGGTTTAAAGAAAACCCTATTACGGTTTACTCTCTCGATAGAGAGGAAGAAGACACTCGATAAGTGCCAAAGTTGAAAACTTTTTTTCTCACTCTCTGCTCGTTTCTGAGTTTTCCCGCCATGGAATCCATGGAAATCGACTCCGAGAAGGCTCACCAACGGAGGCAGTCCGATTACAGTAGCCTGGTTCGATACCCAGTACTCTCTTTCCTGTGTTTACTTCGAGCGAAAGCCGCTAGAGCCTTGTGTGTTCGGCTCTTTCTACTTTTTTGTGTGCGTGCTAGGGTTTGTAAATTTGGTTATGAGTTTTCTTTTGTTATTATTCAATTGAAGCAGGATGAGAGATTCGAGATACAGAAGGAGATGTACAGAGGGCAGCAATACAGCCAGATTTACTTTGCTCGTCTTCATCTCATGAGAACTCTTCTCTACTCCCTTGCCCCTACCTGGAAACCCGATTTGCCTGGTGAGACTTTTGTTTATCTCAAAAAAAGGAGAGAAATTTCCAGAAATTTCGTGGAATTTGGTGTTGGGTTGACATAATTTGGTGAAATCAATCATTTTTAGGGGTTTTGCTAACTTTTGGTTACAGTTAGTTTTCTGGGTAGCTTAGGTGTTTGAATTACATATCTGAGTTTGAGATTTCAAAGGCATTCTTTTGTTTGCAGTATGTAAGGTTTTGGGACTTGAAGAAGGAAAAGAGTGCATACTCGTAGGAACCTTGTTCAAACACATGAAGCTTAAACCCTGTGTTCTCGATGAATATTCTAAAGAGGTTGGTTGGTTTATAGCCTCTCTACTGTTTTGGTTTTGTTTTGTTTCCGCTATGTCTAGAACTCTAGATTAAACTTGAGCACTCAAATTGCTGAGTATGTTAAACACAATGCAGAGGTCAGTGACTCCGCTTGTTAAGCCTCATAACTTTATGCACCCTGATGATAATCTGATCCTAGAAGACGAGAGTGGGAGAGTTAAGCTTGGTGGCTCTGCACTTTCACCCGCAATATATGTGACAGGTATGTATGTACCTTAACTGTATTTCTGTTCTTTGCTGTATTGTTTTGTTGTTTGTTAAAATGTGGCACATGTTTAAGGTTCGGATTTTTTAAGCAAGCTTAGTCTCTCTTAAAAGATGGATTCTTTGAGAAAACAGATGTTGATGCATTAGAGAATTGTAGGTGTTTTTCTTTGCTGTATTGTTTTGGTGTGTGTAAAAATGTGGCACATGTTTGAGGTGCGGATTTTTTAAGCAAGCTTAGTGCCTCTTAAAAGATGGATTCTTTGAGAAAAGTGATGTTGATGCATTAGAGAATTGTAGGTGTTATTCTTTGCTGTATTGTTTTAGTGTTTGTTAAAATGTGGCACATGTTTGAGGTTCGGATTTTTTAAGCAAGCTTAGTGTCTCTTAAAAGATGGATTCTTTGAGAAAAACGGATGTTGATGCATTAGGGAATTGTAGGTGTTGTTGTTGCATTGCATGGGAAGGAGACTAGTGCTGGTGAATTCTTTGTTGAAGATGTACTAGAAGCTGGATTGCCACCTCAGATAGAACGGCCTTTGGATCTAAGTAAGTCTGACTATATGTTCTCTTCCTTTTGATATATCCTCATGGCTCATCATATTCATAATTCTCATAGTACATATATGCTGTTCTGCAGAGGAAGATAAGTACGTTGTGTTATTGTCGGGCCTGTGCATTGGGAGCAATTTGTCTAATCCCCTGCAGTTTCAGCTTCTTGTTGACCAAATAACTGGACATCTCGGAGATGAAGAGGTTAAAAAACCTCTCTTTTTTTTTTTTTTTAACTGTCAGGTTCTTCCATATTTTTCTTTGATTTCTAATCAATGGTTTGAACAGGAACAAGGCCTTGCAGCACAGATAGTTCATGTGGTAATTGCTGGAAACTCTGTTGAATTTCCCCGTAAACTCTTTAGTGGACAGGTACTCATAACTTTCCCTGCTGATAATCTTCTCACACGCAGCTTCAGTTATCTGCCTCCGTTATGATCTTTATTGGTTGATTTTTTGCAGAACGTGGCCTCGAAAGATCAATCAACACTGTATGAGCCCATCAAAGAGCTTGATATCATGTTAAACCAGGTCAGTTAACCAGATCCACTTGTGTGTAATCGACTCTGTTAAAATGAAAATGAAAATAAAAATTCTTAGTTTTTTTGTGTGTGGACTGTTTTCAGATAGCTGCAGGAGTTTCAGTAGATATCATGCCAGGCCTGAACGATCCAGCTAACTTCGCATTGCCTCAACAGGTTTGCAGATACATAATAAAACACTAAAAAAAACCGAATTTTTATATAAACAAATCTGATTCATAGCCCCACTCCGTTTGTTTAGCCTCTGAACAGATGCCTTTTCCCTGGATCAGCACCTTATAACACCTTCAGATCATGTACAAATCCCCACTCGTTTGATGTCGATAATGTCAGGTATGGTTACTATTAATAGTGGATACAATATCTCTGATTCTACAACGATAACTGGAGTTGGTTTGGTATATCTGACTAAAAGCCTCTTGTGTATTGATGATATACTGCAGATTTCTTGGAACTTCTGGTCAGAACATCGATGACCTTGACAAGTACTCAGAGGCTGAAAGCAAGCTTGATTTTGTGGAAAGAACGCTGAGATGGAGACATCTTGCTCCCACCGCACCTAATACACTCGGTGAGAATTCACCCTTCCACTGCAAAGTAAACTCTTTTCAAGAAAAAGGTTCCTATTTTTTTTTTTGCGAGTCCATGGGTTTGATTCAGTTCTTTACAGGTTGTTATCCTTTCACCGATAGAGACCCTTTCTTGATTGAAACTTGCCCTCATGTCTACTTTGTTGGGAATCAAGATAAATTTGACAACCGTTTGCTAAAAGGTATAACGTCCTTGCATAGAGTTTATATAAGAACATAATAGTAACTTTTTGTCAAAACACTTTTTAAAAAACTATACTTTGGGGAAATATTGACGGTGCAGGTTCAGAAGGGCAACTGGTCCGGTTGATCTGCATTCCTAAGTTCTGTGAAACCGGTATTGCTGTTGCGGTGAGTTGAAATTTGAGCTGATATCGTCAACATTTGACTCCATTTTCTCTCAGTAAATTGCAGAAAGCTAAATCTCAAAGTCACCGTTTTTTGTTTTTGTTTTGAAAGGTGAACCTAAGGAATCTGGAGTGTCATACTATTAGCTTTAGCACTCAGCTAAGTTAATCATCATCATCATAACATTGAGTTGCTACTTTGGTCATCTTAATATCCAAGTTCTAACCAGATGTAATTTCTTGAGAAAGATTAGCCCTTTTGTTGGTTTGTGAAACTAAAACACTTTTCAAATCGTTGGATGTATTGGGATATATTCTCATTCGGATATCTTGTCCCTTGTTCGTGATCTTGATTTGTGCTGAACGAAAAAGATGGATAATTGGCTTCTCTTTTTTTGTTGCATTTGTTTATTTGTTCAACTTTTAGTAAAGTATCTAGACACGAGTTCATAGGTGTGTGGCATAAAGGACAAAAAGTGCCGACCAGATATTTTCGTCGTCATTGGTATGAAGAACGTGAAAGACTGCAAAAAAAACAATCTTAAAGGCAAATAAAAGTACAGTTCACAGAATTTCATGCAAATGGCTCCTTTCTTCTCTCTCTTTCTTTATTCTCTCAACGGCTATATTCACACTTATTACAAAACACAACTATTTTAACATTAAATTAAAAATCTCCATAGTATAACGCATTTATATATAATATATAGAGAAATATATATTCTCCATATATTCCCCAACGGTCCATTTTCACGTATTTCTTCAACCTTTTCCTTTATAAACCCAATTTCCTTCACAATCTTCTCTTTAATCCTCTTCTCTTTCTCTCTCTCTCGATGGATCTTGTTGTTATCACAGAAGCTAAGTCAGCTCAAATCCAGCACGTGAACCGGAAATCCTCCGACGAGTTGCTCCGGAAGTTCGCCGATCCTGACGTCGACGAGTCAAAGTCAACGAAGCGCCGGAGGAAATCAGCTTCGAACTCTCGAGAGAACGGCGTTGACATCGAAAGCAACACTATTGGCTTGGTGGAGAGGAAACGGCTCTTGCTTGCTCCGGCGAGTAAACGGAGGTCTCTGTTTCTCCGTCAGCTTGCTTCTGGAAAATCACATCTCAGAAACAAGTCACTCGTCAGAACTATCGGCAAGGTATAATCAAATCTCCATAAAGCTCCAATTTCTTTTTCACAAATTCCTTTAAAAAACCGTTTTTCTCAACTCTGCTCATTTGCTCAGACATGGCGTAAAACAATGGAAGGAGCGTCTAGAGTTTTCATCGAGAAGCATTATAACAGACACAGACGTCTCATCAACGACGTCGTTTAATCTTCTCCAACTTTGTTTATTTTATTTTTTATGTTTTACATCCCTTTTTATTTTGTAGTATTCTTAAACGAGAATCTTTGACGTCGTTTGTATTATTATTATTATTTTTTTATATGTATAAGATTCGTTTGTATTATTATTATTATTTTTTTTTTTTGAACTTTTTCGTGGATTCGTTTGTATTATTCTCAGTTTTTTTTTCTGCCAGCTATTATTCTCAGTTAATATTTGGTAATTTCATCATTAATTCTTGTCTGTTAATTAGCTTAAGTAAACTAACTATATTTTTAACTTCATAATAGATATATTACTCTCAAAATAATCAAGACACACATCATCAAGAATAAATTTAGTCTCCGGGAATATTCTTCTTTATTTGATCAGCAAGATAAACAATAACAACAAGAAACAAAATCCTTGAATCACTGTTTAAACACCAGCATTATTAATTTAAACAAAGGAATCACCTGGTTATATGAAATCCCTTGTAAACGACACAGTTCACCAAACAAAAAAACTGAAGAAGAAAAGCATAAAGAAAGTCTCATCCATCACCATAACAAATCTCAAACACTGAAGAACAAATCTCGATTTTCAACAAGATTAATTAGAAGCACTTCTTGTGAACAATCTCCTCTCCATATTCGTCATACTCTTCCTTAGTCATCCACATCTGCATACACACACATCACAAGTTTACATTACAACAAAATCACGTTAACTTTTAAAAACCATATATATAATATAATTAACCTGCTGAAAGGTGCTAAGAGAAGCCAAAATGGAGCCTCCGATCCAAACACTGTACTTCCTCTCTGGAGGAGCCACAACTTTGACCTTCATACTAGCCGGTGCAAGCGAACTGATCTCTTTGGTCATCCTCTCAGCAATACCAGGGAACATAGTGGAGCCACCACTCAACACAATGTTTCCATACAAATCCTTCCTTATGTCAAGATCACACTTCATGATCGAATTGTAAGTCGTCTCGTGAATTCCGGGAGTTTCCATTCCGATCATTGAAGGCTGGAAAAGAACCTCAGGGCACCTGAACCTCTCGGCTCCTATCGTGATCACTTGACCATCCGGAAGCTCGTAGGTCTTATTGATTTCCGAGCTCGCCCTAGCTTTCTCCAGTTCTTGCTCGTAGTCAAGGGCTATGTAAGCCAGCTTCTCTTTGATGTCCCGGACTATCTCACGCTCCGCAGATGTTGTGTATGTGTAGCCACGTTCGGTCATGATCTTCATGAGAGCGTCCGTTAGGTCACGCCCTGCTAGGTCCAGACGCAGGATCGCGTGTGGGAGTGCGTAACCTTCGTAAATTGGAACAGTGTGGCTTACACCATCTCCTGAATCCAACACAATACCTAACACATGCAATAAATTAGCAGATTATAAAACTCATTAACTGCTTCAAATGTAAACACTAACACAAGCAAGGGTTTGTATGGAAACATTGTGTTCATTTAGAAAACATATAAATGAAAACACTACTTAACACACAAGCAAACAATCCAAACATTGCTACAAGTTAATGTTTTGAATAGCTAGGGCTTCTAACTAATCTGCGCCTTTTCACAATTATGTTTACATTGTAACCACTTTCAAAATACTATTTACTAAAGTTGTATATAGTTGATACCATGCGAGCAAAGTCCTATGCTATTTTTACCTTCAATCATCAAAATTGTGTTCATTTAGAATACATATAAATGAAAACACTACTTAACACACAAGCAAACAATCCAAACATTGCTACAAGTTAATGTTTTGAATAGCTAGGGCTTCTAATTAATCTGCGCCTTTTCACAATTATGTTTACATTGTAACCACTTTCAATTGCCACTTTCAAAATACTATTTATTAAAGTTGTACATAGTTGATACCATGCGAGCAAAAGTCCTATGCAAATTCTACCTTAAATCGTCAAAAATCTTAATCCTCTAATATGTTTTGAATCGTTAACTCAAAGTTTTTTGCGCTTACCTGTGGTACGACCACTGGCATAGAGAGAGAGAACGGCCTGGATGGCAACATACATCATAGGAACATTGAAGGTCTCAAACATGATCTGAGTCATCTTCTCTCGATTGACCTTAGGGTTGAGAGGAGCTTCAGTGAGAAGGACAGGGTAATCTTCAGGAGACACACGCAGCTCGTTGAAGAAAGTATGGTGCCAGATCTTCTCCATGTCATCCCAATTGTTGACGATACCGTGCTCGATTGGGTATTTGAGAGTTAGAATACCTCTCTTGGCTTGAGCCTCGTCTCCCACAAAGGAATCCTTCTCATCCATTCCAACCATCACCCCTCTGTGTCGTGGACGACCCACGATGCTTGGGAACACAGAACTTGGTGTATCATCTCCAGCAAATCCAGCCTACAAAATGTTTTTGTCAATCATCATCACATATGATATCTTGTTTTGTTTTTCTTTACATTTGATGTATATATATATATTTTCTTATAATTTGGATTACGGTTGAAACAATCCGAGCCTTGTGGAGTAATATAGAGTGTTTAAGGTTTCTCCTTACCTTGACCATTCCAGTTCCATTGTCACACACTATAGGCTGGAACTCCTGATTATCTTTTAATTCCGACATGATCTAAAGAAAACATATAATAATGTTTTAGCAATTTTTCAAAACAAAATCATCGGTAGGAAGTTCTAACGCAACATTAACATAGCAAAAACTGTAAAAACCAAAATTAAATCGCAAACACTTGGGATAGATCAGAGATCATTCTGATTCCTAGCAAAAAACATGTTATTGATTCTTAATTTTAAGATAACGAGAGACTATAGACCAGGTATTACATAATGAAAAAAATTTAACAGAAATCTTTAGTAAACTAGCTCGAGATCCATACGAAATGATTGAAAAGTAAACCATTTTTTTTTGCTACATAATGTTAGTCGATTATATATTATCATTTTTACAAAAAATGTATGTGACTTTTCAACTAAAACATATGCTAAACAGAAGATAGCTTAAAGCCTCAATTCGGGGTTGCCGATGATGTTAGATCATAAGAACCCTAAATAACGTTTTGTTGATAAAGGGTTAAGAACCCTAAATATTTCACTGAAAACATTATTGACAAACATATTGATGCAGAAACAAGAACAAACGAAAAAAGAGCAAGAAACTGTGGATTTAGATGTAACGAACGAGGAAGGGATCAAAGAGTAACAATCTCGTTCTATTACTTTCAAGGTAGTGTCTCTCTGATCGCTTTGTGTTCTTTTTCTTCTCTCGTCTCGCTAACACGAATGCGTTTGACAAAAACCTTACCGCTTTGTACCGTTTATAAATGGCATGGAGAGAAAGGAGTGTATTCCACACACATGAAATCATCAACTTTTTATTTACGTTTTTAGCCTTCCAAATAAATGCAAATATTTTCTATTTTTTGTCATATTTCTTCATTTTGATTAAACAGAAACAAATCTAGAGAGAGTGAATGCACCAGCTCAGCGCTACATCTACATGCATGTTTTGGGTAGATTTTGTTACTTCTTCATACAGACGTGTGTCAAGTATTATCTTCTATATGATATCACCTTACCTTACAATCACTAAATTAGCTTTTATCTCATTGAAAACATTTTTTTCTTTTAACCCAATAGCCGCATATCTTCTCTATGATATCACCTTACCTTTTTTTTTTTTTTTTTTTTGAAAATGAGAGATCGCCTTACCTTACAATCACTAAATTAGCTTTTATCTTATTGAAAACATTTTTTTCTTTTAAGCCATAATAACTTTATGCTATATGAATAGCCATATATCTTTTTTTAAATGATATGACATGTGGAACCTGGAAACCATCAGCACCATGCATGTATAGTGTCCATAATTTACTTGATTTATTTCTTAATTAATAATTTTAAGTTTAATTTAACTTTATTACTTCCTACTTTCATACATATATACTACAAATATGGATTTTATTTATAAAAAAAAATCTAACTCTTGACTAATGATTAAAGATAATTTAACATCAAATAAAATAGAATATATTATGAAATAAAATTAAACAGGTATCGTCAGAAAGGATAGCTTATTTATAATAATTCTAATCATCACTAAATTAAAATTTATTAAATTATAACGTTCAAGATTGTACAAAAACAACATAAGTAAAATTTTATTTAGAATACCGAAAACTAGAATCAAATGTTTTCGATTAAATATAAGAATTGTGGTATATTTGTAATTTTGAAAAGTTCAAAAAGTATAAAGCAAAATAACAAAATAACCCTGTCAGTAAGAAAGAGAAAATTCATGCCTTTTCATCTCTCGTGTTCGATTATGATTTTGTTCAGCTTGTTTTACTTGTCTTTTCTTTTGTTTTTCACTCGTCTTTTACTTTTGTTTTCTCTCCGTAAAAAAATAAAATACTAAGAGATGTGGAGTTTAAGATGATTGATAAGTGATAACTGATACGTAGCAAGATAATCAAGCAATAACTATTATGGTTATATCAAAGCAAAAAGGTTAGATTCGCTCTTCGTAATGGATAAAATCATATAAGAAGATTTGAAAATTAAAACATCATCTAATTAAGGGTGATGTAACATAAAAGAAAGAAAAAAGTTTTAAACAGATTATATCGAAGCACTGCACAGACATTAATTAGGTCAATCTAGTTCTCCAAATTGGTATCTAAACTGAATTTTTAACAAATGAATATTCTTCAAACAACCGTATTGGAACTCAAAACAATAAGAAGAATGTCATTATTCTGAAACAAACAGTGATATTAATCAATGATAAACATTAGAAATGTTTTTATTCTATCACTGTTCTTACTCCAACATAAAGTTATATAAAAACAAAGAAATATTAAATCCCTCAGAACAATATATTTTCACCATATAACGCTCATAACAGTCATCACTATAAGTCTAGAAGGAATCTTAATTCAGACGGTGAACAATCCTCGCTCCATCTTCTGCATACTCAGCCTTACTTATCGACATCTGTAACATAGACATCATGATTTTACATTAAACAACCTTGAGAAACTCACATTAACCTTAATTATATGTATGTAATATGTTATATTTACCTGTTTGAAGGTGCTTAGAGAAGCCAAAATGGAGCCTCCGATCCAAACACTGTACTTCCTCTCCGGAGGAGCCACAAGTGTAACATTCGTACTAGCCGGTGCAAGCGCAATAATCTCTTTGGATATCCTCATTCCAAAACCATCGAACAACGTCGTACCACCACTCAACACAACGTTTTGATACAACTCCTCTCTTATATCAACACCACACTTCATGATCGAGTTGTGAACCGCCTCGTGGATACCGAAAGATTCCATCCCGGCCAAAGACGGCCGGAAAAGAACCTCAGGGCACCTAAATCTATCTGCGCCTAACGTGATCACTTGACCATCGGGAAGCACGTAGGGTTTATTGATTATCGAGCTCGCATTAGCCTCTAATTCTTGCTCGTAGTCAATAGCTACGTAGCAGAGCTTCTCTTTAACCTCTCTGACCATCTCATGTTTGGAGGATGTTGTGAATGTGTAGCCACGTTCGGTCATGGTTTTCATGAGGTAGTCGGTTAGGCCACTGCCTGCTACGTCTAGACGCATGATCGCGTGTGGGCGTGCGTAACCTTCATAGACCGGAACTATGTGGCTCACACCATCTCCCGAACTCTCAAGGCAAGACCTAAAGAGGCAGAAAATTTAAAGTAGTAAGTCAGAAATGCAGTTTATGCGTCTGCCTTTATACGTGAACAAAACTTCAACCCCATCCAAAAATGAAGAAGATCATATTTTGTTTTATAATGTAAAATATTTTGATCTATAGTTTTTTTGTTTTGGAAAAAATAAGACTGTAGGTTCCCTTAAAGATATTTTGAATTTTGGAACTTTAATTGTAGTGACTTACCTGTTTTACGATTACTGGCATAGATAGAGAGAACGGCCTGATTGGCAATGAACATAGCAGGAGTATTGAAGGTCTCAAACATGATCTGCATCATCTTCTCGCGGTTTGCCTTTGGGTTTAGAGGAGAGTCAGCGAGAAGCACAGGGTGTTCTTGAGGAGCCACACGTAGTTCGTTGTAGAAAGTATGGTGCCAAATCTTCTCCATGACATCCCAATCTTTAACGATACCATCCTCCATTGGGTATTGAAGAGTAAGAGTATCTCTCTTGGCTTGAGCTTCGTCTCCAACAAAGCATTCGTTTCCAACCATCACTCCTCCCTGGTGTCGAGGTCGACCCACGATGCTAGGAAACATAACCCTTGGTCCATCTTCTCCAGCAAATCCCGCCTTCAAAATGTTTCACAAATCATTTACATATCTCTATCTTGTTTCTTCATTTGTTTGCGTTTTATAGGATCCTATATTTCCGACATTATCTACTACAAGAAATGTTCAAAACAAAAATCATCATTAAGAAGTTTTACTTTTAACGTCACGCATCGTCGTTAATTAACGTTTTGTTATATAACCCGGGTTAAAACCGAAGAAACACCAATTCACAATACTTCACTTTTAGTTTTTTTTTTTAAATATTAAGTATTGTTTACTATTCTACCTGAAAACATTGGATCTTAAATTTACGCGACCTTTGAAGATATATTTGAAAAAAACACTATTTTTGTAAGGTCTAAAAAATTGTACTTGATTTTGTTCCGTCTCCGGTGAAACACGTCTATGACTCCACCACTTAAACGATTTGTACCACTTGCCCATTACTCAACATTAACATAGCAAAGCAGAATTGTAGCAACCAAACTGAATCACAAACCTTTCAAGAATATAAATTTCCTAGCAATTAACACCTTATTGAATCTTAGTTATAAAAAAATAATTAGATATCATGTATTACATCAAAAAAATCAACACAAGATCTTCACTTTTCTCAGTCATATAAGTAAAATAGCTCTTAATCCCATACTAAATGATTACCGTACAACAGATGGAGAAAATGAGTGAGTGAAATTTTAGAAAACAAGATAGAAAAATGGAGTGAAAAGAGAAGTTGAGAGTTGATTCAACTCGTCGATGATGTGAGATCATAAGAACCCTAATTATTTTAGTGAACAATGACAAACATTAATGTAGAAACAAAAAAAAACAAACAAAAAAAATAGCAAAAACAAAATCGAATTGGAGGTAGACGAACGAGGAATTAAAGGGACTATAAAATCAAAGAGGAATAATAATTCTCCTACTTTCAAATATGGTCTTTCTCTCTGTGTTCTTCTTCTTCTTCCTTCTCTCGTCTCACCAACAAGAATGCGTTTGAGAAAAATGTGTTGTCTTATTTATATAGCAAAGCCTACAAAGGTCGTGTAGCGATATGTGTTTGCCAGGATTTTGGTTCGTTCATGCGGACACGTGTATTCTTATCTTTATTAATTTGTATCATATATTTTACCTAAGCTTCAATATATTGAAAACATTACTCAGTTTAACCCAAAATAACTAACATTATGTTATATTTATGTCTTGTTTTCAATAACGTGGCATTAAAATTCTGAAAACCATCAAAACCATGTATACTGTGATAATATTTACTACTTCATTATTTCATTATTTTTTTTTTTTTTGATCATCTATAATATCTGAAACTTTTAATTAAAACTAACTCTTATTAGTGGTTGAAAATAAGTAATCACGTGTCAGAGAGGGTAACTCTTTTTTTTTTTTTTTTTGGGGGGGGGGGGGGGGGGGACTCTTATGTAATAACTAGTTATCACTAAAATTTCTTTAAATTCTAATCTAGACTTACAATAATTACCATGATTGTACCAAACCAATATGTATAAGTAAATTTTTAACAATAAAATTTGAAATAGTTACATCAAATACCCAAAAAATCAGATGTGTATTCAATTGAATATGAGAATATAGTTGTAATCTTGAAAAGTTCAAAAAGTAAAGCAAAATAACAAAACTATATTTTTTAAATTCTATACTATTTTATTAATAAATGACTATAGTTATATGACCTAGCTAAGTGACTAATTAAGTTAAATAAATGAGAGCAATTTTTTTTATCATACGGCTTGGGAAGTCTATCTATCCTCTACCACCTCTATTTCCTCGACCACATGCAAAAAAATAACAAACATATCTTTCAGTAGTAATAATGCTTGGAAAAAGATAAAATTAAAGCCCTTTGCATAAAAAAAGAAAAAGATAAAATTAAAGAGTTTTATCTCTTGTGTTATCTCATCATGATTTTGTGTAGTTTTTTAAGATGTTTTTTTTTTGTTTTTTTTTTCTCAAGAACTAAGTGGATTGGGAACAATAGATTGAAGATGGTTGATCTGAGATACAGACAACATCTTGTGGTTGGAGACAATAAATTTTAGGCACGAATTAAATGGAGGATCTGATAATGTTGGAAGAAAAAAAAAATAGAAACTAAGGGAAGTCAAGTCATTAGAAATAATGAATTCTGCTCTTTTCTTTTCAGATAAGAATTAAAATAATTCTAACAATAATCAACACACACAATCCATCGTTAAGTCATTGAAGGAGATGTTTCTTCTTTATCAGCAAAATTTTAAAAAGAAAACAACACCAACAAACGAAATCCTTTGACCTTTTCACCACTATTCTTACACCAACATGAAGTTATAAAAGCAAAGAGATATCTGAAATTCCTCTACCCAAATTATTTCATCAAACACTATAAAGAAGAAAGCTCAAAGAACTCTCATCACAAGACCGAATCTCGATATATCATATATGCTAACGCACTTAGCAGCATTTGCGGTTAACAATCTCTGCTCCAGTTTCTTCATAATCACCCTTAGTTATCCACATCTGCAGAGTAGACTTCACATATTTATATTAAAACAACCCCAAAAAACTCACATTAACTAAACTTAAAAAACCCTATATTATAATATATGTTCTTTACCTGGTTAACTGTGCTTAGAGAAGCCAAAATGGAGCCTCCAACCCAAGCACTACACTTCTCCTCCTTAAGAGACAAGGCTTTAATCGTCATACTAGCAGGTGCAAGCGCAGTGATCTCTTGGTCATTCTCTCTTTGATACCAGGGAACAACGTCGTGCCACCACTTATCATAATGTTGCGATACAAATTCCTTGTATCAACATCACACATCATGATTGAATTGTAAGTCGCCTCGTGAATACCAGGAGATATTATCCCGGCCATATACGGCTGGAACAGAAGCTCAGGGCACCCGAATCTCTCGGCTCCTATCGTGATCACTTGACCATCGGGAAGCTCGTAGGTTCTATTGATTTCCGAGCTCGCGGTAGCCTTCACCAGTTCTTGCTCGTAGTCAAGAGCTACGTAACACAGTTTCTCTTTGATGTCTCGGACTATCTCACGTTCGGATGATGTTGTGTAGCCACGTTCGGTCATGCTTTTCATGAGGTAGCCGGTTAGGTCACGGTCTGCTTTAGCTAGACGCAGGATCCCTTGTGAGACTGAGTAGCCTTCGAAAACTGGAAACGTGTGGCTCACACCATCTCCTATATCCAAGACAAGACCTAAACAGACAAGAACATTTAATTACAGAGTAAGTCATGCCGGATAAACATTTTATAATTATAAATGCAATGACTTATACCTGTCGTACGACCAATAGAATAGAGATAGAGAAGGGCTCGAGCGGAAACGAACATAGCAGGAGTATGGAAGGTCTCAAACATGATCTGCGCCATCTTCTCGCGACTGCCCTTTGGGCATAGAGGAGAGTCAGTGAGAAGCACAGGGTGTTCTTGAGGAGCCACACGTAGCTCGTTGTAGAAAGTATGGTGCCAAATCTTCTCCATGTCATCCCAATTGTTAACGATACCATCCTCCATTGGGTACTGAAGTGTAAGAATATCTCTCTTGGCTTGAGCTTCCTCTCCCACATAACATTCCTTCTGATTCATTGCCCTCGTGTGTGGATGACCCACGATGCTTGGAAACACAGCGCTTGGTGCACCATCTCCAGCAAACCCTGCCTTCACAATGTTTCATCTATCATTATTAGATTTGCCATTGTTTGTTTGCATTTACTATATTTGTTTCCCAATCAATTCACAACCGGAAGTAAGTTATGAAAATATATTTTGCTAACTATAAATTTAAACGACAATTAAAGTAAATGCGCTTCAAAACTCATGTTCAAGTCTCGCTACAGCTATAGCGAGGACTAAGAAGCCTAATTCACATGTTCTGATCTAGCCAGGAAAGTCTTTAGTTACAGAAAGGAAAAAAATTTATAAAAGTAAACACCAAAAGCAATTGTTTTTTTCATTTGCCTTCTGCTTTTAAAAAAAAAAAATTACGAAAAAACTGTAAAATATTTGATATTTAGGAGTAACTAAACAAAAAGTGTGTTGATTTTTTTTTTTTCCTTACCAGGACCATTCCAGTTGCATTGTCACACACGACAGCCTCCCTGACCTCGGTTTCCGGCATAATCTATGAAGTTTCAAAAAAAAAATTTCAAAACGATATGTTATCGTTACGAAATTCTAACGCATGCATCATCAACGTAGTGGGACTGTACGAACCAAAATCAAAGGCCCGTACAAAGATCGCATGCTGATAAATACCTTATCCAATCTTAATTTTACGACCATGCATGAGAGACCATATATATATATATATATATATATATCCGATACTAGATCCAAATATCAACAGAAATCTTCGATTTTCCATCAATTAAATCAGCCAGGCAAGTAAATTTAAATTAGCATGAATTCCATATATACGTACAAACAAATATACAGCAAGAGCTGGGAGAGATCACACGAAAACATTTTCTAAGAATGAGGAAGGGATCATAACATCAAAGGGGAACAATCTTTCTCTTACTTTCAGTGATTGATCTTTTTCTACTCTCCCACCTTTGAAATGTACGTACGTAGCTTGAGCAGCTAATTAGCCAAGAACACGTTTGACAAGAAATCGAACTGTCTTGTTTCTTTTATAATGGGCATGCAAAGAGAGGCGTAGGTCCAACACTAGTCCGCGTAACGAGTCATTTTGAATCCTTAAAGTAGTATTTACGTATTTGGTTTTTCTTGTATTTCATATGATGAAAAACAAAATCTAACCCAAGAAAACTTATCCTTGATGAATATTTCACATATCTTGTTTTTTGGATCTTATTGAATAATAATGTGACACATGTAATATGGAAACCATCAAGGCCATATGTATATTGTGATAACTTGGTTGATTTGTTTTCTTAGTCAATTATTTAAATTTATTAATTTATAATTTCATGAACTATAATTAGAACAGGATCAGATTCTCATTACATTGATTTCATGATTAATGATTAAACTATTTTATTTTTCAAAAAGAAAAAGACTTATTTTATTAAATTAAAAAAAAATCATGTCAGAGAGGTTAGGGAACTCATATCTAATAATCTCAAATCATAAATTCTAAGCTAATCTTACAACACCTGTCATGATTTGTACCATACTATAAAAAAAATTCTCAATAAAATATAGAATAGTTACATCAAATACCATAGAGTTCAAATGTATTGATCAAGTCCTTGGTATAGTTTTTTTTTTTAATTTCAAAAAGTAACCAAATTACACAAACTACAATATCAAAGACATGACTTTTTTAGAAAATATCAATAGCCTAATAGCCCCGAATTTATGGTGATTACTTACTAAACGGTAAACAGTAAAAAATAAGGAAATGTAACTTTTCCTCCGCTTATATTACTGTAAACCAATGGTTGAACAAAAAAAAATATTACTGTTAACCCAATTGTTTTTACCCGCGGTAAATACTAAATGCCAGCGACGATATGCCCTATTGCGAGTCGACCAACTGAGTCAAGGCCGAGTCACATCGACCACACTAGAGCTGAACGCCGCCATTAGAGCTGCGTTTCTCAGACAGCAAAGCTTTTATTCTCACCTGAAAATCGCGTTTTCCCGTTCTACCCCCCGTTTTGGAACGCAAACGTCGCACTTCCTGGGATTTCGTTAGTCTCTTGCATCTCTTCCCCTTTTACTTATACCGTTAATTTGATCTCGTGTTGACCCTCCACCTAAATTTTCGTCCTTTGGATTCATTGAGTATCATTTTCCGTTGATTTGTGCTGTTCTTTAAGCGGGTTTATGCAATTTTGGGATTTGTCCATTGTAAAGCTCTCAGAGCCGCCGGAGATAACGCCGCCGTTCATTCACAAATGCAAGACCATTTCTCAGGTCAAGCTCATTCACGGAAAGCTACTCTCCTTCGGAATCCTAACACTGAATCTCACTTCCCACCTCATCTCCACCTACATCTCCCTCCGTTGCTCACCTGCTGCCGTATCCCTCCTCCGTCGCTTTCCTCCGTCCGACGCTGGTGTCTACCACTGGAATTCTCTCATTCGCGTCTACGGCGATAATGGCCGCGCCGGCGAATGTCTCTCTTCGTTCTGCCTTATGCATTCTCTTTCGTGGACGCCGGACAATTACACATTCCCCTTCGTCTTCAAGGCATGCGGTGAGATCGCCTCCATTCGTGGTGGAGCGTCTGCCCACGCGCTTTCTCGGGTCACCGGATTTACGTCCAATGTCTTTGTGGGGAACGCGCTTGTCGCCATGTATTCCCGTTGCGGCTCGTTGGCTGATGCACGAAAGGTGTTCGACGAAATGTCCGTCATTGGTGTTTGGGATGTTGTCTCGTGGAACTCTATAATAGAAAGCTATGCAAAGTTAGGGAAACCCAAGACGGCGCTTGAGATGTTTCGCCGGATGACCACTGAGTTTGGGTTCAGGCCTGATGATATCACGCTTGTGAATGTTCTTCCTCCCTGCGCTTCTCTCGGTGCTCGTTCACTAGGGAAGCAAATGCATGGTTATGCGATCAGAAGTGAGGCCATACAGAACATGTTTGTAGGAAACTGCTTGGTGGATATGTATGCAAAGTGTGGGATGATGGATGAGGCCAACACGGTGTTCTCGAATATGTCAGTGAAGGATGTTGTGTCATGGAACGCTATGGTTGCTGGGTATTCACAGATTGGAAGGTTTGATGATGCCGTCAGGTTATTCGAGAAGATGCAGGAAGAGAAGATAAAAACGGATGTTGTTACTTGGAGTGCTGCTATCTCAGGGTATGCCCAACGAGGCCTTGGATATGAAGCATTGGGTGTTTGTAGGCAGATGCTGTCTTCCGGGGTAAAACCAAACGAAGTCACGCTTATCTCGGTTCTCTCAGGTTGTGCTTCCGTTGGAGCATTGATGCATGGTAAAGAGATTCATTGTTATGCAATCAAACATCCCTGTAAGAATGTTCATGGTGATGATAACATGGTCATCAATCAGCTGATTGACATGTATGCTAAGTGCAAAGAAGTCGAAGTAGCCCGTGCTATGTTTGATTCACTTTCTCCCATGGAAAGGGATGTTGTGACATGGACCGTGATGATCGGTGGATACTCCCAGCATGGGGATGCGAACAAAGCTCTCAAACTTTTCTCTGAGATGTTCGAGCAAGACTACCGAACAAGACCAAATGCTTTTACTATATCATGTGCCCTTGTGGCGTGCGCCAGTTTGGCTGCGTTGAGAGTTGGCAAGCAAATTCACGCTTACGCATTGCGCAACCAGGAGAATGCAGTGCCTCTGTTCGTATCAAACTGCCTAATAGACATGTATGCAAAATGTGGAGACATCGGTAATGCCCGGCTCGTATTTGACAGCATGAAAGAGAGAAATGAAGTTACTTGGACATCTCTAATGACGGGTTACGGTATGCATGGTTGTGGAGAAGAAGCTCTAGGGATCTTTGGTGAGATGGTGAAAATGGGTTTTAGGCTCGATGGTGTTACATTACTGGTTGTGCTGTATGCTTGCAGCCATTCAGGGATGATCGATGAGGGCATGGAGTATTTCGATAGAATGAAAAATGATTTCGGGGTTAGTCCTGGCCCGGAGCATTATGCCTGCATGGTTGACTTGTTAGGTCGTGCTGGACGGTTGGATGCAGCTTTGCGTCTCATTGAAGAAATGCCAATGGAGCCTCCACCTGTGGTATGGGTTGCTTTGCTCAGTTGCTGTAGAATCCACGGGAAAGTTGAACTCGGGGAGTATGCGGCTAAAAAGATAACAGAACTAGCGTCTAACAACGATGGGTCATACACGTTGCTCTCAAATTTGTACGCAAATGCAAGGCGTTGGAAAGATGTGGCTAGGATCAGATCTTTGATGAGACATAAAGGGGTTAAGAAAAGACCTGGTTGTAGTTGGGTCGAAGGCATTAAAGGAACCACTACGTTCTTCGTGGGTGATAAAACACATCCGCGAGCTAACGAAATACACCAGGTCCTCTCAGATCTTATGCAGCGCATCAAGGACATTGGCTATGTTCCTGAGACAGACTTTGCTCTTCATGATGTAGACGATGAAGAGAAAGGCGATCTTCTTTTCGAGCACAGTGAGAAGTTAGCACTTGCATACGGTATTCTGACAACTCCTCAAGGTGCAGCTATCAGGATCACTAAGAATTTACGGGTGTGTGGTGATTGTCATACCACATTCACATACATGTCCAGAATCATTAATCATGAGATTATAGTGAGGGACTCGAGTCGCTTCCATCATTTCAAAAATGGAATGTGTTCCTGCAAAGGTTACTGGTGAATACGATGATCTCTCTATGCACTTCACCAAACACTGCGTGACCTTAAGAGGTATGCTCATTATTCACTGAAACAGAAATCATAGTTTCGATTCACATATTCTGTTCTGGTGGTCGTAAAGTTGTTAATTACTAAAGCATCTTCCATTCAAAGCTCATAAATAAGATGATGTTTCAGCTTCTTGCTGTCTTGGGTATGAGTAGGCTAATGTGTTTCATTTACAGGTTTGAGGGATCAGCCAAGATGAGTGACAATCTTATGGACAAAGTTACCGCATTTGGTGAGCCCCTGAAGATTGGAGGTGAGCAACAAAATCAGTTGGGAACCTGAGTGGGGGATATGAATTTGAAGAATGTGTAATATGATAAATGAAGAGATAATCAATAGCGTTGAGTTGATCATGTGGAATAAAGAAGAGGATAATGATGAAGCAGCCGAGAATTCAATACCTTGCCTTGGTTTTGCTTGAGACGTGTGGCGTTCTTAGAGGTGGCAGCAGAGAGATGGAGATGGAGATGATGAAGAGAACGTGGGAAAAAGGAAAAAGGAGCAAGCCTATGACTAGGCTCATCTATGTGTATAATGCCTTTTGTTTCTTCCTTTTGAAATCTTATGGATTTGTTCAAATCTATCTTCTGGTTTACAGGTCTCGTTCAAGATCGGTAAGCTTTTTAAGCAAAACAGAAAACACAAATCATCTACTTTGATCCTCTGTATGTGATGGCTCAGCTGAAGACATGTTTTTTTATAGAAATTAGTCATAGCCCAAAAAAAAAACGTAGTTAGATAGTTTATCAAACAGACAGATAGGAATAATCTAATTTTTTTATCTAACTTAATCGAATCTAACTGTTAAAAACTGAAAATAGTGAAAAGATAAAAAAAACTTTTTGACACCTCTAACGATCTTATAAGACAAGATGTTCAAGTCTAATTTGTTTTAACAATTATGCAGTTTTAAAATATCTAGATTCTCTAATTAATCTAACAACATAAAATTTAATTGTAAGTAAATGATCTGAGTAGACAGACAATATCAACATTACCTTTTTAAGCCTCTATGAGAGCATTGCCACCATTGAAACAAAGTGAACAACGAACTCACGGGGAACATCTCCAAAAAAAAAAAAAAAAAAGCATAGTTAGATACTTATCAAACATACAGATATGAGTAAACTATTTTTTTATCTAACCTAAATCGAAAATTTAAATGTTAAAAACTGACATAATAGTGAAGAGATAAAAGAAACTTGTAACACCTCTAACGATTTTACAAGACAGGATGTCCAGGTCTAATTTGTTTTCACAATTATGCAGTTTTTAAACACTTAGATTCTCTAATTAATCTAACAAAATAAAATCTAATTGTAAGTAAATGATCTGAGCAGACAGGCAATATCAACATTACCTTTTTGAGCCTCTCTGAGAGCATTGCCGCCACTGAAACAAATTGAACAACGACCTCACGGGGAACATCTCCAAAAGAAAAATAAAAGCATAGTTAGATGCTTATCAAACATACATATGAGTAAACTAAATTTTTTTATCTAACCTAAATAGAAAATTTAAGTGTTAAAAACTGACATGATAGTAAAAAAACAAAAGAAACTTGTGACACCTCTAACGATCTTACAAGACAGGATGTCCAAGTCTAATTTGTTTCTACAATTATTCAGTTTTTAAACACCTAGATTCTCTAATTAATCTAACAGTAAATGATATGAGTATAGCAACATTGTAAATCTAATTGTAAATGATATGAGTAAACTAAATTTTTTTATCTAAAATTTAAGTGTTAAAAACTGACATGATAGTGGAAAGACAAAAAAACTTGTGACACCTCTAACGATCTTACAAGACAGGATGTTCAAGTCTAATTTGTTTCTACAATTATTCAGTTTTTAAACACCTAGATTCTCTAATTAATCTAACAACATAAAATATAATTGTAAATGATATGAGTATAGCAACATTGTAAATCTAATTGTAAATGATATGAGTAAACTAAATTTTTTTATCTAACCTAAATAGAAAATTTAAGTGTTAAAAACTGACATGATAGTGGAAAGACAAAAGAAACTTGTGACACCTCTAACGATCTTACAAGACAGAATGTCTAAGTTTAATTTGTTTCTACAATTATTCAGTTTTTAAACACCTAGATTCTCTAATTAATCTAACAGTAAATGATATGAGTATAGCAACATTGTAAATCTAATTGTAAATGATATGAGTAAACTAAATTTTTTTATCTAAAATTTAAGTGTTAAAAACTGACATGATAGTGGAAAGACAAAAAAACTTGTGACACCTCTAACGATCTTACAAGACAGAATGTCCAAGTCTAATTTGTTTCTACAATTATTCAGTTTTTAAACACCTAGATTCTCTAATTAATCTAACAACATAAAATCTAATTGTAAATGATATGAGTATAACAACATTGTAAATCTAATTGTAAATGATATGAGTAAACTAATTTTTTTTATCGTTACTAAATCGAAAATTTAAATGTTAAAAACTGACATGGAAAGACAAAAGAAACTTGTGACACCTCTAACGATCTTACAAGACATGATGTCCCAGTCTAATTTGTTTCTACAATTATTCAGTTTTTAAACACCTAGATTCTCTAATTAATCTAACAACATAAAATTAAATGATATGAGTATAGCACTTAATTCTTTTAAATAATCTAGATTCCTCAATTCTTTTAACCTACAGTGAAATAATGTAGCCTAAGTAAGTTAGATTATCACTTTCATAATGCGGTTTGTTCGCATAATGGTTATAGCACAGAGAATACTAAATTTATGCACAAATTAACAATATGTAGCGATCAGTTATAATATAAAAAAAAAGAGCCAGCGAAAACGGAACAAGTTTATGATAAAATCTATGTTTCAGCAAATCAGAAGCCAGCGAAAACCCAGAAATAAAAAACACTAACACCATAACCTATAATTCTCAGAATTGCAGAAAACAAGCTAGAATATTCAAACTGATTTCAAAGCAGCATGATATCCGAAAACTCAAGAACATTTCAAAGAAACCATAAATTAAAAGTGTAACGTGTCGGTGGAATGGGTTAGGAACAATAGCGCTCCGTATTCTAGTTTCAAACAAGTCGCTAAAATCTAAAATCTAAAATTCATGAAACATTTGATAAAAGAAGGAATCGGGTAATTGGGGGTTACCGATAGAAACAGAGTAGAGCGGAAATATCGAAAGGTGACGGAGAGCGACAGGTGCCGGTGACGGAGACCGACGGAGACGCTTCTCCTTCACGAGCCGAGACCGACGGAGACACTCTCTTTGACGAATGGAGATCGAGGGAGACGCTCTCCTTCACGAACGGAAACCGGTTTTGACAACATTCTCTCTGTATTTATAAGCTTCGTGTGGTCCCAACGGTCAGATTTTTTTACAACGGACTTCTTTTGGTGAGATTTTATTAAGCTTCGTGTGGCCCCCAACGGTCAAATTTTTTTTACAACGAACTTCTTTTGGTGAGATTTGTTTAATTTTATGTAGCCGTCATTATTATGCTCTTAGAAGTAAATTGAGGGTAATTTTAGGAAAAGTGAAAGTGCTTTTTCTCTGCTAACCGGGTTTGATGTTGATTTGGGTCGGCTCAATATACAGGGGTGTTAACCATAGAGAAGAAACCTACTGAAATGTTTTTTTATAGAAATTAGTCATAGCCCAAAGACACACAAAATCAATCTCGTATATTCTAATTTCTAAGTGGCTTCACTCAATTTACGGTGACTAACTCGTGAGGCAGAGAAAATAAACAGTAAAAAAAAACTTTTTTTATATATATATAGTTTTACCGGCGGTAAATACTAATTGCCAGCGACCAACTGAGTCAAGTCCGAGTCACATCGACCAAATCGGCTTTTGGGTTTCTTCTTACCTTTGCAAAACGCCGAACGACGCAATTTTTTTGGTTCTCCCCGATCTCATAGAGATGAACGCCGTCGTTAGAGCTGCGATTCTCAAACAGCAAAGCTTTTATTCTCACCTGAAATCCGCGTTTTTCCATTCTACCCCCGTCTTGGAACGCAAACGCCGCACTTCCTGGGATTCGGTCAGTCTCTGGGGCTCTCTTCCCCTTTTACCTTGTCCATAAATTTGATTTCTCCAGCTAAAGTTTCGTCCTTTGGCATCTAATTGGATTCATTGCTTATCATTTTCCGTTGTTTTGTACTGTTCTTAAAGCGGGTCTATCTGGATATTTGGTATGAATCGGTGACCATGTTCTTGGCGCTTCATTTTTAAGTTTTCGTAGACAGATCAAAAATCTGGGTTTTGTTTATGCGGAACAAAAATGTTGGGACTTTGAGATGTTTGCTTGTCTAAAATACAACCATTTCTGAGTGTTTTAGAGGTTTTGAACAGGTTGATATTATATATCTTCTAAATTTCGGTTTTTAATAATCTGCAGAAATCAAATGTTAACAAGAAGAGGTTCAGAAGAATGAGGGAAAAGCAAGAACTATTGCGCAATGTGAATGCTTTTGCAGCAAACATGTTTACGGTAATGCTATTTGCTTTGTTGGCCTCAGCTGTTGCTTTATGCAACCAAACACACACAAAACATCGTCATGTGGTCTTAGCTATTAGATACTGGAAATTTTGATGATTCAAAAGTAGTAGAATCTGTTCTCTCGGTTTCTAAGTCTCTTGTGCGTGACTTTTACCGATTCTTATTGCCTGTTTCTGTTAAAGGTGCATTTGTTTATGCCATTTTGGGATTTTTTCTTCATTGTAACATTTTGATTCCAGAGTTGGCATGATGAGTTCGATGACGATGTGCCCTCGTCACGGAAGAAACCTTCCTGGTTCAACAAAGACTACTCTAAGGAACCCAAAGGAAAGTGGAACGGCAAACACGGCTCCCCGAGTTGGGGTAAAAGTAAGTGAATGCCTTTCCTCTGTTTCTCTCTCCCATGACCAACACAATATACATAGGAATATCTCTAGGCATGTCGTAGCTTCACTGCTTCTTTAAAGTTTAAATTGTTAGTCATCAATCAAGTTTGTAATTGTATGTGTTTGTTTGTTGGCTTCAAGTTTCAAGCTGCTTTAGTTCAGTTACTCCCGGCTTGTCCTGTAAAGCCTTGAGCTTCTTATACTTGCTTATATCATTATTGAAATTCCTGGCTCATTGTGTCATTGTGTAACCTGTTTGTAAAATGCAACAAGGTGCAGTTTTGTTTGGTTACATTGTTGCAGTTTTGTTTGGTTACATACTCAGTATCAATAAAATTTTGCTATGTTGTGTAGGGCATTTCGACTTTTGCGAAGTTGATGAGGACTTTGACGTAGATTATGTATTCCGAACTGCTTTCGGTGGATCCCGAGGTTTCTCCTTTTCATTCACCCATGAAGAGGATGAACCTCGATGGCAGCATCACTCATCCAGGTCCTCCAACAACACCAAGAGGTCTTGGAGATCGAAACATCGTATAGACTATGAAGAAGAAGATGGCTATACTTCAACAGATTCAGAATCCAGCGACTCTGAGTCTGAGCCAAACCAAGCTTCTCATAGACAAGCACTTGGCCTGAGTCTCTCTGGTCCTTTAAACCTTAAAGATGTCAAACATGCGTGAGTACTCTGCTAACACACCAATGCCTAATCATACATTCATCTTCTCACGACTTCACATCAACCTCGTTGTTTTGTTATTGTACCTCAGATATCGAATCTGTGCATTAAAATGGCATCCAGATCGTCATCAAGGTTCTACCAAGGTGAACCAATAACATCTCCTCCATTATAAATTTTCATTTTTCCTATGTGTGTTCTTGAAATCATTGATTATATTGTAACAGGAGGCGGCTGAAGCAAAGTTCAAGCTCTGCAGTGTGGCTTATCAATCTTTATGCGAAAAGCTAGCAGTGAACTAAGATCAAAGAGTTTAGATATTGTGTTTGATGATTTACTTAGAGATACGTAACCTCTTAACAATAATATCCAAATTGTTTCATTTTAAAGCTTATTATCCCAAAGCAAAAACCCTACAGGACCCGAATAATGTTTGGTTCTGTCAGTTTTTTAATTATTACATTTTCTAAATTTTTAATAATAGTTTGTATTTATTATTTGTACTATCTCGTTCATTTATCGTTTATGAAAAAAAAAAGTTAGTCCTTGGAGATCAAGCAAAAAACTTTTAAGTAAACATTCCTTTCTCTGAAAAAGAAAAGATTCTACTTTTTTCTTTCTCCTCTCTCTTCTCTAAGGAAAATTAACTCTTTCTTGCTGGTTGACCAGGTGTGGTCAAGAAGCCTGAGTCACAAAATTCGTTTAGGACACAATGTTCTGTAGTAGTACTACTCTCTGAAAGATCTCACAGAGATGAACGCCGCCGCTAAAGCGGCGATTTTGAGACCGCAGAGCTATTTTTCTCTCCTGCAAACTGCGTTTTTTCATTCTACTCCCGTCTTGGAACGCAAACGCCGTTCCTCGTCTTCTAGTTCCGTGGGTATACTGTGTGTTTAAACTGTGTGTTTCATTAGTGTTTTAGAAAAAGAATTTCTGATTTTTATGGAGGAAATTAAAAATTTCTGGCAGAAATCAAATTCTAACAAGAAGAAGAGATCCAAGAAATTTTTGAAGGAACATGAAGAAAAAATACGTCGTGCTGTGGAAGAACTTAAACGCGAAAGGGAAGAGGTACATGAGAATTATGATGCAAACAAAAAAAAAAGTCCAGAAACATTATTTCATCTAATGGCTATTCACTTTTTGCTGGTTCGGTTTTGTTGACCTCTTCACTTTTTGTTTCTTGCATTGCTTTCCAGAATGTGGTTTTGTAAAGTTTTGAAACTTAAACACACACACAAAAAAACCCTTATGCGCTCTCTTTAATCAAAAGTTAATTAACATTTTAGCTCAATCTTGTTCATGACTTAAAGTGTATTTTTAATGCTTCTTGGTGTAATTAGGCAGCCAACAAAGCCAAAGGAAACCAGAATAATGGCAAACAGGGCTCCAAGGGTACGCGTAAAGGTAAAGTGCTTATCAGTTTGAAAACGTTTACTTGTCTGCTTTGTTGAATCACAAGGTGCGGTTTCTTTTGGATACAATACTTCGAGTTAAAAACATGTGTTCCATTTTTTGCAGGTCAATATGGTTACGACGATACTAGACAATTTGATTTTATGTTCCGATCATTATTTGGTGTACCCCGAGGTTTCAATTATTCAACCTATGAAGAGGAGGAGCGTCTATGGTGGTATCACCCTTCATGGGATTCTGATTACTCTAGGAACTCGTGGAAATCTAAATATCGATTTTATGACAAAGAAGAAGAAGAGGTAGAAGATGAAGATGAAGAAGAAGAAAAGAAAAAAGAAGATGGCAATGGTTCATCAAAATCCAGTGGCCTAGCTTCTGACCCAATCCAAGCTTCTCATAGACAAACACTTGGTCTGAGTCCATGGGGTCCCTTAAAACTTGAAGATGTCAAACATGCGTGAGTTGTTTTTTAACTTCATCTTCAAGGAGACATGAAGATAACACTTGCATTTATCTAACTAACTTCTTGTGTTTTTGTTTGAGATCAGATATCGAACTTGTGCATTGAAATGGCATCCAGATCGTCATGATGTCTCTACCAAGGTATAAAAACCACTAAGAATCTTCTTCTTCTCCTCTGGTTTATCTCAATCTTCATTTTTGTAAGTGTTTTTTCTCTTTTGTTAATTCTTGAATCTGTTATTAACAGGCTGAGGCTGAAGCAAAGTTCAAGCTCTGCACTGTCGCTTATCAATTTTTAATCGAAAAGCTACAGTCATCTAAGATTGTCTAAACACAGAGGAGCGTGATTATGAGTTAAGATATGTTTTTGATTACTTGAGAGATTTCTTACTTTCCAGAATCTTTTTGATTATGAGTTTTATGACCCTGTCACATTAATCAAGCAAATATACAACAGGATCCAAGCAAATGCTATGTGTCTTTGGATTTTGATCAACCATTGCCAATTTACTCTCTCTCCAAATTTTGTGTCTGAACCGGTTAATTTAGTCAGACGATGTGTCAAATTAAACCGGTTTTCTGCTGCTTAACAAGTGAAACCAATAATTTTGATAAATAATAAAACCGGATTCTCTGCTTTTTCAATCAACACAAATCATATCTGAAAATCTCTCCTCAAATGTCAAATTTTTCCGAACGGAGAACAGTCACTGACGCCGGAATTCGCGACTAAAGAGAATCCAGTTTCTGTTTTTTTTTTTTATCGGAGCCTGGAATTGAAGAGATTCCGGTGATACGCCGTGCGTATAATGCTCAAGGCCGTACAGATCTTGGGTTGGTCATCAGGGTTAACCATCTCACAGAGATTGACCAAGACCCGCAAGCCCTCCTCCTCCACTGTCTCTTTCATCTCCACATCTATAAACCCTCTCACGAATCACTCCACTCTCTCCTCCGCCACTTCGAGCTCTCCTCGGAGAATCCTCTGTTTCAGCCCAACCCGAATGTCTTCCACACGACCCGGGCCCGACCCAGTTCCAAATTCTCCGACTTCCGTCTCTGTTCAGTCAGCTGTGAGTCTAATCATCTCTTGGAAATGATCTTTTATAGTTTTTTCTTGGGTCACTTCTTCAATGGTGTTTGTTTTGTTTGTTGTTGTTTCAGGGCGATGTTCGTAAGATAAAGTTCTGTCAATGGTGTGGAGGGCCTACGAAGCACGAGATACCTGACGGAGAAGAGAAACTGAGAGCTATTTGCACACACTGCGACAAAATCGCATACCAGAATCCTAAGATGGTATAGTTTCGATTCTACGAAGCAGATTGTTTTGTCTCATCATGATGATATGTTTTGATTATAAAGGTTCTTGTTATGTGAAAATTTGCAGGTTGTAGGCTGTCTTATCGAGCATGAAGAAAAGGTTTTACTTTGCAAGCGTAACATTCAACCTTCACACGGTCTATGGTATGATTCAAATTAGAAAAAGAAAAAAAAAAACACTTTTCTTCTTAATGTTTTGAGGACAAACTATGTTTGAAAAATGTTGTAGTGTTGTGAGTGAAGGTATTATGAATTAAAAAGGTGGAATCTTTATTTGAGTACACAGGACTCTTCCTGCTGGTTATCTAGAAGTTGGAGAGTCAGCTGCAGAAGGAGCAATGAGGGAAACTTTGGAAGAAGCAGGAGCTACTGTGGAAGTTATTTCTCCTTTTGCGCAGCTCGATATTCCTCTTATTGGCCAAGTAAATATATCAATACTAAACAGTTTCTTCCTTCTTTATATCGTTTGTACTTATATGGCTGCTTGTGTTTGGAGCAGACGTATGTTATATTCTTAGCAAGACTGAAGAACCTACATTTTGCGCCTGGTCCTGAATCATTGGAGTGCCGTCTTTTTGCACTTGACGAGATACCCTTTGATTCCTTGGCTTTTTCATCTATATATGTAACCTTGAATTTGGTAAGTATATTGGACACAGATGAATCTAATACTCTCCAGTTTCCATTCTCTAAGATTTTGAAAAGCATGTTTGGTTTTATTTGCAGTACTTGGAAGATGTGAAAAACGGGAAGCTAAAGTTTCACTATGGTACGATAAACAAAAGGTAAGTTCCAGTTAAATATCAAACTGTGTGGAGTGTGATTGTTGAGAGATGTTATGAACAATTTCACTTACGGTTTAGTGTGACTGATTATGCTTTGTTCTTTCTCAGGCCTGGAAGTAGTCCTTCAGATATTCGTGCCTTCACTCTTGATTACCATTTGCAGCATTGACTCGAGGTTTGTTCTGTCCTTCTCTACATATATATGTACTCGGTTTGTTGAGGATGATGAATCCTTGTTCCTTCTTCTCATCGAGAAGCTAATATGTGGGAGATTTTTTCAGGAGATTTAGTGTTTCATTCTTTCTTCCATGCCGTGTCTTATCACTTTTCACCTCGTTGTTGACTAAAGGAAAGGAAAATGGAAGTTGCTTGCGCGAGAGATACCTTGGACAGATGAGAGTTCTCTCATTTCAGTTGTTGTGTTTCTGTTTCTGGTTTCATTTGCCCCAATTGTAAAAGGAAATTTTCAGATGTGAATGAATTTGCAATATTTATTTTTGATCAAACTCTGTGTAATTAGTCACTGTGAAACTGTTACTTCAAGGTCTTCAGAGAAAGAGAAACCAAAAAATAGGACTTTTATTCAGACCAAAGCACTTGAGAACACAAGAACAGAGACATGTTGGCGAAATGCAACAAACTGACAAAGACAACATAGCAGCAGCACAAAGATACTTTCAAACGAAAGAACTGAGATTGAAGGAACCTATCATGTTTGCGAGTGCAGAACTCATATCTAGCTGAAGCTGAAGCTCTTGAAGTTCAAGCTGTTGCCTTAAAGCTGGATCTTCCACTTTCTCTGTTGTTGCAGCTACTTGATCTGTCTGCTCAGTCTCCAAACCCTGAGCAGGAACAGATTCAGCGTTCACAGTCTCTCCTTCATCACCCGTCACACACTTCTCAGCAGAAGCAGAAGCCACTATCTTAGGCTTATTCACAGCACATGAAGCATGAACATGATAGCTACAAGCATAACAGTTATAAGACCAAAACCTACCATCCATAACCATATGACAAAGATTGCAGACAAGCTGATTCGCATAACCAAACTGAGTAAAAGACATGGCAGGAGTAGCACTGTCGTAGACAAGAATAAGACTGTGGATAGGATGAGACTCATGAACCATGACCTGAGGCAAGTGCGCGCATTGAACATGGAGGTCAAAGTCACACAAAGGACAACAGTAAGAGAACCCTTTACCTCCGGTGCAGCCACAGGCTCTGCAGAGGAAAGTACCGGCGCTGTAAGTGGTATAAGGGACTAGAGTCAAGTGGTGGAGCCCGGCGTGGGAAGGGTGTTGCATCCCACGCGCTGCGTTTCCACACTGCTCATGAAGGTTGAAGTCACATGTTGAACAGATATATGCGGTTGCAGTTTCGGAGATGTTTGATTCGCAGCCTGAGCAGATTACTGAAGAATCTGTGGCATTATTTGTCTTAATCTGTTCGAGTTTTAGAGTGTGTGGATGGCTGAAGTGTTTGTACTCCATTTATCACTTACTATGGAGTTTGTGTTAGCAATCTTTTGTGTTTAGGTATCATATATGCAACCATACAAGGGTCTTTCTGACTTTGAATTATTGTTGTTTGACTTTTGAATTGGTTATATAAAAAAAAAATTCATAATAAATGTGCAAATTGATGGGAAATTAGTATTTTCTGGATAACGAAAATTAACAGAAATAAAGAAGCAGCGTTGGACTTCAAAATGTCAACTACTTGAGGTTTGACCAACGAAGTCGTCGTGTCTCTTCTGAGTTTTCTCTCCGAGTCTGACTAACTAATTGGGTGTAAATTAAATCTCACTGATATGTCAGATGAATAACAGAATAGTAGAATAACTGAAAAATTACTAGCGGAATGAACTGAACTGAATAATTGTGAAACTTCAGCTATTTTTAGTAGATTAATCATGTTTTATTTTTTTAGTTATATTTTTAACACGTTAGCGAAATCACGTTTTAAAAACATAAAAAAACGTGAAAATATGATGAATAACATAAATGGTAAAAAATAACAGAATCAAGTTTCCAAAACGTGAAAACGTGAAAAAACTGCATACCATTCGAACCCAATGTAATAAAAAAAATATTCATACGAACCTCTTATATATAACAACAATTATTTAACTGCAATAATGATCCAATCGCAAGATTCGCAACAACAGACATTTAAGTTTAAAAAATATATGCATGATGGGAACTTTTTTCATTTTAAAAAAAATACAGTATGAGTAATTTTCCACCCAATAGACTAATAATATCCAAGATTTACTTTTATTTTTAATAATCAAAAATAAAAAGTTGTGAAGACCGTAGTCTTCCAAGTTGAAAATTGAAATAAATTTGATTTATTTATTTGTTTCGCTGTATGATATATATATTTTCAAGTTTCAAACCTTTGTTTTTTTCACATTTGGCTTATTGGTGCAACTCTTAACCAGAAAAAAAAAAAAAAAAAACTTGGGGTGCAGCTAATTTTGCAAATAGCCTAAAGAACGTTGGTTGAAAAATGAAATAAAATCAAGCACAAACACCAATTAAGTCGTCGATCAATCTACACACAGATACACACCCAATATATCATGTACATAAACATATTACATATACATATAAACTGTAAATACTGATCTTCAGACTTACTTATCATATGCAACAAACTGATCAGCAGGTGCACTTATCTCGCTCTCAGTAGCAACAACAACATCGGCATTATCACTGCTTGTGCTGGTTTGTCCAAGCAAACTACTTATCGAACGCGCCTTTACCATCCCAAGCTTCACTCTCTTCTTCTTCACCTCCACCACCACCGCCTTCTTCTCGCCGCCTCGGCCGCCGCCACGACCGCCAGCACTCTTCTTCATGCTCCGTACCCTTCCTTTACCGAGATGGTGCTCACAAAGGGAGTACCCAACAAGCGTTTGCTGACAACATCTCCACCCTCTACCGTTAACGCGGCTGCACCGTGATCCTTCCTCTAACGCACCGCTCTTTTTCGCCTTCTTCTTCCCTTTTTTACCGCCTCTACCGCCACGAGCTTCGTCTTCCTCCTCTTCTTCTTGTTCCTCGAAGCTTATAACGCTTCTTCTCTTCCTCAAAGTAACACCCTTTTCATTCTTCTCGGCAACTATTGTATATACAAACACAAATGGTGAATGGTGCAACAAACGAAAAAAACAAAAAGCTCAACTTCACCAAAAACATATATCGATCAAGCTATGTACCTTGTGTCGAAGAGTCGGATTCTCCTTCGGGATTAACGTTCTTGCTGCGATTGTTTGAAACAAGAAGGAAGATAAGCTAAATTCGAATACATATATAAAGAGATGAAAGCGATCTATGAGTGCAAGAAAAAAAAAATAATAGAGCACACAAGGTAAGGGTCGATATGGGGACCATTCGTATAAGAGCATCCCATGCTAACATGCACCGTCATGAGGTGTGCATGTTTAGAGTATTATTGAGTTACTCATCATCGCTAACTACTACTAACTCTATTGCATTCCCAAATGTTTACGGTGAGAGAAGAATGACGATAGTAAAATCATAAGAAAAGCTTTCAGATTAGATCCAACCTCCATTATTCATCTGCAACACATTTAATCACATATAACAAAAGCTTTCTAGCTAGCTATTTCTAAGAACCATGAAAGTTTTAATTTTGATCCCGTTTCTGTGTTGGGTTTTTCCTTGAATCTTTTACAAACCAAACAAAATAAGCTTTGTCTGTTCTAATGAATAAATTATTACACCACAAAGTTATTATAACAGAGAAGAACAAAAAATTCACAATCTTTCTCGAATTCACTTACCTGCCCGATGCATCAGTACCATTCTTCACGTCTACATCAGCATCACCATTATCATCATCATCCTTTGGAAATAACAGTACAAAAGAAAACGGAAATGAGCAATTGAACATTCTTACTAAGATCTGCAAATGGAGAACAATTATTCTCCAGTGTAATTTAATCCAATTATTTCCAAAACATATAAAAAAATAAAATAGGAAAAAAAAAAAGAGATAGAGAGAGATAAAGTACGGTCTACATACAACACAAACTGCACCCAAAAATCCAATTTTTTAATCTGTCGATTATAAATGAAATTAGGTGTCCCTAATTTAATCTCAACGTATATTAAAACTCACCAAAGCCTTCTCATCCTCCTCCTTCTTGAACCGATGAGGAATCGGCGACGGTAGCGGAAGCGGAAGCTGAAGAGAAGCAAAACCTCCTTCTCTATCCTCGCCGCAAAAGTATCGAGCGGTGGCCGTCGGTGAGCGGTTAAAGTAGAGATCTGAAAGAGGAACAGGTAATAGAGACGAAAGAGGAAGAGGCACTTGTCGTTTCCGGATCCTCATCGGGAGAGAAATCGAAAAGATTCTTACTTTTGAATTTTTGTTTTGGTTTTTCGGGATTTTTGCACCAAGGAAGAAGTACTGTAGTGTAAAACCCAGATATAAAGAAGGAAGAAAGAGTAATTTTTTTTTTTTCTTACACGGACTTGGAAAAAAATTAAAGCAGAAGGCTTTGTGGTTTTGTGTTGTTCTTGGTAATGGCTCTTAACTCTCTCTATATCTCTCTCTATGCCTCTCTCTCTAACTTTTTAATTGCTGTTGCACCCAAAAAGCAAGTTAGTAGTAATTGAGAGAGGAAGAGTCCACGTAGGAATGAGTGACATTAGTAGACCATTTTATTATAGAGGTACAGTATATGCATTTTATTATTTTGTCAATTATAATTAGTAAAAAATATTTGTAATTGACAATACTTTGAAATCTAGACCGGATACTCTGATTTGGTGTTATTTATTGGGTTCAACTGATATGATTGGAATTTCGAAATTTATATTAGATAACATGATTATATAAAATACATGAAAAGATTGGAGAAAGTTGATTTAAGTGTAGTTTTTAAACCGTCTATATATATACACACTGATATAGAAAACAAATTTTTGAGATTTACAGTATATGAATTTGAATTAAAGTAGTTATGAAAACAAATGTAAAGAGCTAAGAAGCAATAGAATAGACATTGGATAATTAACGGCCATTATATAATTATTTCTTGAAATTAGGATTATTTTTTGAGGTGTAATTTGCGTTGAGAGAAAATTATAGGAAGGAGGCACGTGGAGAGTGGATGGCGCACGTGCGGGGAACCGGGTGAGAGGGTAATCGGTCACTGACCACTCTCTCTCATAGATGCCAGCTTGGACGAGAGAGAGAGGGAGTGGGTGGGGGGAGGGGGAAAACTTTTATCCTTTAAGCTTTCATGGGTGGGTCCCTTTTCTATCTTTCTCCCTCATAATGACCCCCTAATTTTTGCTTTATTCCGTGTGTCACCCCTTTATTTTCGGTTTTCACTATTTCCCCCATCATCTTTCGCAAGTACGATAGGGACAATATTTCGAGCTAAATCTGACTATCCGTACTTTTATCACAGTCAAAAAGTAAGACCCAGTTATAATAAATACTATTCACATTTACAAAGTGATTTTTAGAATCATTTTAATGCATAATCCCATATACAGTTAAGCATATTATGTGTTGTCATGTGAAATCCGTTAGCATTTCTTTATCAATGGGGAGAGGTCAGGTCGTATTATATTTGTTTAATGTTTAGTAATACAAAAATTAACAATAATAAGAAAAAGAGAGGAACGACAATGTTGCACTTGCACCCCCTTAATAGAAATAGGTGGGAATGGGCTGGCATGTCGCATTATGCCAAAAATCGACTAAATTAACAGTTTATTTTCTTTTCTTTCTTTTGTTATTGTACAGGTGTATGATAGAAAGGAGCCGACTTCGCGGCTTAACATGCACCTCCTTCGTTCACGTACTTTTTTACCTTAGGTGAATTTCTCGAAAATATAAGATTTTATAAAGTTTTTTTTTTGTCATTCTAAAATTTCATAAGTTTACGATAGTCGATAGTTCAGTAGTTGAGAAATCCGTTTTCCTTATTATCCACCTGTTTGTATTTTGTCATCGTCACTTTTAGAGATGTTGTATGTAAGATGTTTATATATATTAATGGGCTGACGAGTAAATGCAAATCATCTACGTCAATGTTTTAATATCTTTGACGCACTGATTAAGTTGCTGCTTGAGTTGTTATATCATATATGTGACCTCTTGTGGACTTGTCGTACGTTGATGCAAGTGTAGCCTCTAGTGATGGCATTGTAAACGAGATAGTCCTTTAATTCTGCCATGACATGAAAGCAGAGTTTGGGTCTTGCAATTGCATGCTCTTGCTATTGATTGCCGAGAGAGGTTGTCGTGGGTCTTATATGAAGAGAGTTTGGTTAAATTCCTAATCACAAATATGAATGTTAACTAAAAGTGTATGGTTAATAGAACAAAGTATTGATACATTATAAACTTGTTTAAACAAGTAAATTTGGTTAATAGAACTCTCATGTAAATTGCATTATAACCTTTTAATTCACAAGATATGTTTATTGAAACTAAGTACGTTATACATAGCAATACCATGATGTGAATAATTATTTTATGTAATGTTTCAAAATAAAATGAAGGTAAATTTACTAAATGATCATAACTCTTTAAACATTAAGAATACGTACAATCACTATTTGCATATGTTTATAGTTTCCACTTTCCAAATATAAAAAGGTGTCATTCAATTTTTTAATTATATTTTCCACCAATTACAAAAGTTGTGATTCATTTATTTAATTTTTGGTAAGAAAAGAAAGTGTATACAGTATATAATAATAATAAAAGGCCAAAATTGTATATGTAATCTGGTCAAAGAGACTGCACAACTGATCCTGACCGTCCGGTAACCGGAAGGTATTATCTTTGCCGTGAAATATAGACGTCACGTCATTAGAGTATACCGTAGCACAGGGGATTACGCCCTCTCTCTGTCTATCTCTCTCTGTCTGATTAAAATATAGAACTTCCGATTATGGTTTTTTTTTTGGATCGACAGGATTCGATCGTACCGAAAGAAGGTGAATAATCCCATTTGACTAATCGGAAGGTCCAAAGCTCGCTGACGAGTTCTCAACAGTATCCTCCCCCGGAGCTTATCGTCAGCCCAATTGGCTTTCGATTTCTTTCTGCCTTGCCCCTTTTCGAAGTCGCGATTGTTCATTCTATCGTTCAAGAGTTCTCTCACGTTTTTTTTTTCCTTTTTGCAAAATTCGCCTCAATTTCGGTTTTTTGTACGGTGATTTTACTGTCCCGAGGGTTTACTGTCTGAAAGGCAAGAGCTTTGGGGGTTCTCTTTTCAATCGTGATTGCAATCTGGGGTTTTTCATACGGGGATTTTACGAATTAGGGTTTCAGAATTGGGAGCATTTTTTTTTTATTATGCTGCGCCAATTGCGATTTGGAGATCCAGGGTTGTGCTCGGTAATGGAGTAATGGCTTTCACCCATACGGACAAGACCGGAGATAATCGTCTTCGTCTCATGTTGTCTCTGTTCTTACTTGGATAATTCTCGTTTGTTCGTCCGCAGCTTCAGTTACTCGTATTATCTACCTAAATCCCCTTTCTTCATTGCGAATCTCAAGCAAAACGGAGAAACTCACAAACGCCGTGCCTGGAAAATTCTTCTGTGTAATCTCTCCTTCTCTTCTCTTCCTTACTGGAATTGGGTTTTTTTCTTTTGCTGCGTTTAAATTCGTTTTTTCGATCAACGTTTAATTGGTTTGCCTATGGAATTTTCACTTTGTGTCTTCTTTTTCTCTTATGTTCAATGGTGTTCTGTAGAAATTTGTTTGGTTCTATGCTGTGTGAACCAAATATAAAATATGTTATGTTGATTATGGTTTCTTTTCATGCAGGATAACAAAGATCCAAAGGAGTTTCAATTTTGTTTATTTGATGGGTGAGGAAATATCCAGCACAGTGAACCTGGATTTGAATCTGGGACCTGACCCTGAGATAAGTCTCGAGCCGGCAACGAATGATGCTGCTGTGGATTTGGCTAATTGGGCTATTGAACCTTTTAATAGAGAATCTGAGTCTCTGAGAAGGTTTAGGACACGGCACAGGTCACGTTTCAGACAGATTAGTTTACTTCCGGCTCTTTCCGAGACGCATAGCCCAGCGATAGAGTTGAGTCAGCTAATGATCAGTCCTGCAAACGCAGCTGCCTTGCCAGCTGGCGAAGGAAGCTTAGCTGGTGGAGAAAGAGTCAGCGAGGAGGACTCTAAAAAATGCGAGAACGGGAACAAAGCGATGGAAGAAGACAACGTAACAGAGGAGAAGAAGGTTATTGAGAAGAGCGTCGGAAGCGACGGGAGCTTCTTCGATTGCTATATATGTTTGGACTTGTCCAAGGACCCCGTCGTCACCAACTGTGGCCATCTTTACTGTTGGTCTTGCCTTTACCGGTGGCTACAGGTTTCGGAGGCGAAGGAGTGTCCGGTTTGCAAAGGCGAGGTAACCGTGAAAACCTTGACTCCGATCTATGGCCGTGGGAAAAACAAGAGAGAATCTGAGGAGGTTTCAGATGCCAAGATCCCTTCGAGACCCCAAGCAAGGCGCATGGAGAGCCTGAGGACTACACTTCACAGGTCAGGTTATGTACCGGCGGAGATGATTAGGCATTTGCAGGATAGGCTAGAGAGGGAGTCTAGTACCGGGGAAATACGCCCTAGGCCGTTTCTTAACCGGTTTATGACCTCGAGGGGGGTTAGAGCGGAGCAGAACCAGTCTAGTGGAGCATTGGTTGAAGCGTTAGGTGAGATTAGCGATATGGATCTGATGTCGAGCATCGCCCCTGAGAACGAAGGGGAAAACGGAAACCCGAGGCCGTCCTCTCGTGAAAGGTCGATCAGGAGACAGTTGCAGGCACAGAGAGCTGCGAGGACGTCGTTTTCTCCTGTGTTGACCTCTGCTGAGAGATTGGTGGATGCTTACTTGATAACAAATGCATTAGGGAGGAACCCGGAGCAGAGCAATAACCCTCCTGCTGTTGGTGTTGAAGACAGAGACTCGTTCTCGAGCATAGCTGGTGTGATGAACTCGGAGAGTCAAGTTGATACTGCGGCTGAGATTGATTCTATGTTGACTGCTTCGACTTCTTCCTCTGTGAGAAGACCACATGAGAACGGTTCGAGGGTCTCTGATGTAGACAGTGCAGATTCTCGCCCACTGAGGAGGAGGAGGAGATTGGCTTAGAATGGCTTTCTGACTTTCCATGGGTGGTGGAAGAAGCAGCAGGAAGCTAGGATGATCTCTCTAGTTGAAAGCTCTGCAATTTAATTGTTTAATTTAGTTTTTTCTTTTCTTTTTTTTGGATTTTGGATTTTGGAATTTTGGTGTTTCTGGGTTTAGGAATGGTTATTGAATCAAAGATTAATAATATATATTCAACTGCTTACAGAATATATATCCCTTCCGATTTATGGTAATCCAACTTTATTTTCTCTTAAAAAACACATGAACTCGGTTGTTATTGTTGTTGAGTTCGAGTCTTCATGCTTATTATAGGTGTTTGGCTATAAGTATTTAGCTTGGATTGAAACCAACAAGTCGCTTTGGCCGAGTGGTTAAGGCGTGTGCCTGCTAAGTACATGGGGTTTCCCCGCGAGAGTTCGAATCTCTCAGGCGACGATTTATATTTTAACAAACTATTTTGATTTTGATTTTTTTTAAGCTAAACAAAACGTGTAGACAATGTATGGACTATGAACATATCTTATATTTTCACGAGAGAATTTAAAAATCGAAAAGTAGTATTTCTTAACATTTTGACCCTAACAAATTCAAAAAGAGTATCTGAAAAAGATACCATGTCCCGCGGTTCCATGCACGAGCTCTCAAGAGCCATTAAGATACAAATTTTGTTTGGACTGCTTTGGTATACTGTAACTTTCGTGCTCTTTGTTGTCACTTGACCAAAAGTGTGATTTAATTTGAAATAAAAAAGTTCTTTATAAAAACAGAAACAAAAGCTGAGTTAGAAAGCCTACATTTTTTGTAGCTACTAGTATATTATAAAATATTTTACAATTTCAATAGTGGGATGAGATGAAACAACATCTACAAAAATCCAACTGAAATTAATAAGAATGGCTAATTTATGTTGTTTAGCCAAAATGTTACTAGAATAAAATAGGTTAGTTTAGTTCCTTCGGTGCTTGAATTCATTATCTCTATGATGATTATCTGTCTCTGAGTAGTTAGATATTACCCAACATGTATCTTAAGCTAATAGCTTTATCATAACATATTATTTAGAATTAAATACCTTTATACTAGAAAATAGGAATGCAATTTTCAAAATAAACGAAACTAACAACTTTTTATTTATACAAGGGATATTTATTTATTTATTTTACAAACAAGAAATTTATTGGAGGAACATTTATTTGGCCTTATCTTTATCAGTTTTTTCTTACCAATGCTTTCCCATTTGATAAAGATAACTTAACATATATAATAGAAATAAATTAATATACGTATCTACTACATTGATTTATCTTTATCAGTCTATATGAGAAAATATCAGTGTGATATGTGAATCCAATCAAAAACGTCGAAAATAATTGTATAAATAGAATGAAATTCCCACTAAATCTGATTACGAAAAGTCAGCCAAATAGCGGAAAACTATAATTTTTTTTGACTTTTTGAGAAATTCATAAGAATAATAGAAGAAGAGCGAAAAAGGAACAACCTTGGTGAAATTGCGGATTTCGCAAATTCAAAAGTGTAATAAAGATAAACAGAGCAAAAACCATTAATGGCTTTCATCGATACCAACAATAAGACAGGACACAACCATCTTCGTCTCCTGCCGTCTTAATTTCGTATCTTGGTAATCTGCGTTTCCTCTTCCCCGCAGCCTCGATTTTTTTCTTCAATCTCTTCTTGTGAATCTGAAGCAAAACCTCCACATCTCGAACGCCACCGCCAAGAAAATTTCGCCCGGTGTAAAAGTATATTTTTTTATCTCTCTCTCTGTCTCTGAATTTACTTCTTGTTTCTTCCAAATTTGTGATTTTTCTTCTCTGGGTCTAAAATCTATGATTCGAGCAAATATCTCGAGCCAGGGAATTGAGAAATAGGTTTTTTGGTTTTTGTAATGCAAATTTCGTTCATGTACTTAATTTAAATCTCAAGAGTAGGCATATTGCGACGAATCTGGGACAGTCTTTTGGGAATTTCCGAATTGGTTCTGTTTCTCTTCTCAGTTTAATCATTTATGTTTGAGTTCAGCTTCAATTTGGTCTATCACCCCAACTTATTTGATTTCAAAATTCAAAATTTTGCTATCCTTCTTTAAAAAAAATTGAGTTTTTTTTTATTTGTTTTCTCCATGTTTAGATCTTGTGTGTTGAACTTATCTGTAGGGTCAGCAATATTCATTATGATGTTTTGTTCTACTTGTCTTAAATTCATCTTTGGATCTCTTTCTCTTTTGTCTTGTTAGATTGAAAAGTATAGTCTGCAAACGAAACAGACTATTTTTTTTAATGTTTGAGTTGAGAGCAACAATTCTAGCTTTGTAAGCTTCACCATTGTGAGTTTCTCTAGATGAACTTCATTCTTCATCATCAAAGACTAACTTGTTACATAACTGTTTAATACTCTTAACAGTTTCAAAGTATTGTGAAGAATCAAGGTGCCTGAGATAACACGAAAATGGGCTGGGGGAAAGAGAGATGCTGGCAATTTTCAGCTGACTGGGAATGAAACTAGTCTCCATAGTTCACAATTGCAACCAGACCAAGTGGCTGCTAAGTTTTGTGAGGTTGGACCGAGATTTGCAATATGGTGTACTGTTACGAGACTATCGTTGATAATGTTTTTCGGATATAAAGGGAGAAACTTTATCAAGTGAACCTACTATCTACTTCCTAACCTACTTGTCCTCAAATGATTAACAACACGTTACCTGCTTGCCTATGATATCATTTACTTTGATTGTTTTTTCGAGGTTTTTGGTGAACTGTTAACTTTTCCTTCTGATGTATATAAGCTTGACATTGGCCATTGTTTATTTTTCTGCAGAAGAACTAAGATCTAGAGGAGAGAGGATTTTACTCGATTGGTAATAGAAATAAAGAGAGTTTTGAGGTAGGTTTTTGACTATCCATGGCTCCTGGTGGCAGTGCTTTGAAAGAAGCCCTAGAATCTAACTCGACAGGCTTAGACTATGAGGTTAAGATGGCTAAAGTGGAGGCCAATAGCAAACCAGCAAAATCAGGTAGTGGCTCCATTGGAAAATATGGGATCCATTCGAGCAACGGTGTTTATGAGCTCCTCGAATGTCTGGTTTGTACAAATCTGATGTATCCTCCAATCCATCAGGTAGGTTCTTCTTCTTGGTTTGTAAAACATTGTTCGTTCATTTATCTAAATGTTGACATTTACTTTCATGCAGTGCCCTAACGGCCACACACTGTGCTCAAGCTGCAAGCTGAGAGTGCAGAACACGTGCCCTACATGCCGTTACGAGCTTGGCAACATAAGATGCTTGGCTCTTGAGAAGGTTGCGGAATCACTGGAAGTTCCATGCCGGTACCAAAGCTTAGGGTGTCATGACATTTTTCCATACTACAGCAAGCTCAAGCACGAGCAGCATTGCAGGTTTCGATCCTACAACTGTCCGTACGCTGGCTCTGAGTGTTCGGTGACGGGTGATATCCCAACCCTTGTTGACCATCTCAAAGATGATCATAAAGTCGATATGCATGATGGTTGCACCTTCAACCACCGTTATGTGAAGTCAAACCCTCACGAGGTTGAGAATGCTACATGGATGCTTACGGTAATTCCTATAATCATGCATTCCCCTTGTAGCTATCTAAAGTCATTATCAAAATCTATTTGGTGTGGCCCTTTCACTTAACAGTCAAGATTGTATCACGTACTGCCTTGCTATATCTCTATCTTTAAACAGTTTTGATGATCAAAGATTAGGTTCATGTTTTCTTTTCAGGGTTTAGATTTTTGGTTGGTAACATTGAAATCTTGTTTCGTCTGATGTATTTTTTTAGGTCTTCAACTGTTTTGGAAGACAATTCTGCTTACATTTTGAGGCGTTTCAGCTGGGGATGGCACCGGTGTACATGGCGTTTCTACGGTTCATGGGAGACGAGAACGAGGCGAAGAAGTTTAGCTACAGCTTGGAAGTTGGAGCTCACAGCCGTAAACTGACATGGCAAGGGATTCCGAGAAGCATCAGAGACAGTCACAGGAAAGTCCGTGACAGTCAGGACGGGCTCATCATCCCTAGAAACCTGGCTTTGTACTTCTCCGGCAGTGACAAAGAAGAGCTCAAGTTGCGAGTCACCGGACGGATTTGGAAAGAAGAATAGCTGATTGATAATGATAATGATGATTCATGATATGCCAAAGCAAAATGGGAAATAAGAAGAGAAGAAAGAGATAAGCTCTGTTGATTGAGATTGAAAAACGGATGATGTACATAGCAGCAGTCTTGAGAGCTCTTCTTCATCATGTGTGACAAATTTTCTGGGGTTTTATTCAACTGTTTTTTGTTCAGTTAGCTATGAGATTATTATCTCCCATGATCGGGTTGATATATTCTGCTGTTTGCAATATTACAAACTCTTGTCTTGTAATTTTCCTGATTTGTTGGAAAAAAATAAAGAGACAAAGAAGATCGAGTTTTTTTTTCTTCTTTAGGTTCTGTTCTTTGGATCATAATTGTTTTCAATCTTGTTTTATCACACAGCATCATTTCATAACGCTTCTTCTTCATCATCTTACTTAGTCTCTGAAAGAGGCTTTTCAATTGTCAAGAAGACATGATAAATTATGAATTCAACCTAACGATGTGTTAGAAGTTAAGAATTTAGAAATATGAATGATTACAAAGATAAGTTAGTAGTATGGTCCGGAGAGGAACGTGCAAGACGTGAAGGCAACACTTAACATTTTCTACGTACGCTCTATTAAATTAGTTTAATAACAAAATTAATAAGCGAATGTGTTATCTCCCGACTTTATCGCGGAACAGAGAAACAGAGAGACTTACAATAGTTCTGAGAAAACCCAAATAAGAAAAAAAAATATAAATTTTTATCAAACTTCCAGATTTCCAAAAGCAAAATCAGGCCTCGTTGACATTTTCCCAGAAATCAAACGTAGTTTTATTCGAATTTCCAAGAAACAGATCCTTTGTGATTTTCTCAAGTAATCACTCTCATTATCGTCATCATCTTGTGGGGTTGATTTAATGGCAGAATCTAGGTAACAATCATTAATTTCTTCGATTCTTCAAGGCTCTGTCCCTCTCTCTTCCGCATGATCACAATCCTGATATGTTCTGTCTGCAATTTTGTTGTTTCAGAATCGTTTAGGCAAATGAATTAGATTAGGTTCATAAACACATGAAAGATATGCATATTAATACACATTTCCAGATGTTATTAACAGATAAAACAGAGATTGAGAAGAACAGAATCGAAACACAAGGATAAGACAAGACACGTGTTTGGCAAAAGATCTGAAAATATGTTCTGTTGCGGAGGTGCGGATGAGGAACCCGCCGGTCCGCCAGCAAACCAGTATGCAGCGCCTCCTAACAAGGCCGGAAATCCCAATTTTGGCGGTAAGAAACCTAACCTTTTCCTCCCCCCTAGTTCCTTGCTTTAGAGTTTATATATATGTTCTTAGATTTCACCACGAGCGTTTGCGTTCTGCGTTTTTGGGATTAGGCGGAAATAGAGGGGAGCCGAGGAACCCGAACGCACCGAGATCCGGAGCTCCTGCAAAGGTTTTGCCCATAGAGATCCCTGCCGTTGCATTGGATGAGTTGAACAGATTGGCGGGTAACTTCGGAAACAAGGCACTGATCGGTGAAGGTTCTTATGGACGTGTCTTCTACGGCAAGTACAAAGGGAATGATGTTGCTATCAAGAAGCTTGACGCTAGCTCTTCTGAAGAACCTGACTCCGATTTCACATCACAGGTACACACATTAATATTATTACAAAATTTGATCATGCTAAATATCAATCAAAGCTTCTAATGGTCTTTTCTAATCTAAGAACTAATCACTATAAATTAAAAAATGGCAAGTTATCGGTGGTATCGCGGCTCAAACACGAACATTTTGTGGAGTTGCTGGGGTACTGCCTGGAAGCAAATAACCGCATTCTCATCTACGAGTTCGCAACCAAAGGTTCTTTACACGATGTATTACACGGTACGTAAATTCAACTCCTCACTATACTCATATCTTAGTTCGTGGTGTATCTCTATGTAATATATACATATGGATTCGAATATTTAGGGAGAAAGGGCGTGCAAGGGGCTGAGCCAGGGCCGGTGCTGAACTGGAACCAAAGGGTGAAGATCGCGTATGGAGCAGCCAAGGGACTTGAGTTCCTTCACGAGAAGGTCCAGCCACCAATAGTCCACAGGGACGTGAGGTCGAGCAATGTCTTGTTGTTTAATGACTTTGTCGCCAAAATGGCTGATTTCAACTTGACCAACGCATCCTCCGATACCGCGGCTAGGCTTCACTCCACTCGTGTCTTGGGAACGTTCGGCTATCACGCTCCAGAGTATTATAACACATAAACTCATTAATTTAATTATCTCATCATGACATCATCTATAGGGTTCAATTGTTCTTTTACGTTTAGTCTTTGTTAATGTGTTTACGTTTTTTAAACATAGCATCTTAGTGTTTTGTCACCGTAAGTCAGTAAATGCGTATGTGAATCGCAATCGTGATGATAAATTATGTTTTGTGTTTCGTATTTGCTTTTACAGTAGTGTACGCAAAACGTGTTTAATACATGTAGGTTAACCTAACCAAATATTATAACTAGTACACATAAGTATTTGCATGCATTTATATAACAAAGAGTGTTCTTGTTTTAGGTATGCAATGACGGGACAGATAACACAGAAGAGTGATGTGTATAGTTTTGGTGTTGTGCTTTTGGAGCTCTTGACGGGAAGAAAACCCGTAGATCATACCATGCCTAAAGGCCAACAAAGTCTTGTTACTTGGGTACGTTACACGTTTATTAGAAATTGAAGTTAATACGTAGTTATCAAAAAAGGATCATCCTCCATATCCTTATTATTAACCCTTTTACGTTTGGCTTGGTTTGTTTGCAGGCAACTCCGAGACTAAGTGAAGACAAAGTCAAACAATGCATAGATCCTAAGCTAAACAATGACTTCCCTCCTAAAGCAGTCGCCAAGGTCCGTTCTACATTTTCTTTTTTCAAATACTAAGATATTTTGATAATTGGTATAGTGACTTATAGAGATGTTAAAGCATGAAAAACTCTATACGCGATCATAGTCATTTTGCAATACAGGAAACCAAAATGTTTTATGCTAAGTTTCATGACTTTCAAAGTCGAAACTAATTGACAATATGCATTTAGAAACGGTTTTTCGTAACTAGGGACATCAACTACAAGTTGGTGATTAAGGATCTTTTGGTGTGTTTGTAATGTTGAATTTTCTTTGTTGGTGACTGAACAGTTGGCAGCCGTGGCGGCCTTGTGTGTTCAGTACGAGGCAGACTTCCGACCCAACATGACCATTGTTGTCAAGGCACTTCAGCCTCTTCTTAACTCTAAACCGGCCGGTCCTGAGTCTACTTCCTAAATAACCATTTTACCATTTCTTCTGTTTTTATTATTGTTGTTGTTGTTATTGTTATGGCTCTTTTTCTCTCTTTTTCCTTCTGTTATGATTATTGGTTATAAGATGTTGTTATTTAATCAGAATGTAACTTATATTTTTCATTGGATTGAAGCCCTCTTTCTTTTTTTGGTTGAATCTAAACCTTGAGTCGAATTTTGAATCAGAATTTTCACTGTTTTAGGAGTCAATGCAAAAAATAGTAAATTAGTTACTAATTAAGATATGAATTCAAAGTTTACCAAAAAAAAAAAGATATGAATTAAAAGATTTTTTTTTTGATATTTTGTGTCACTAATTTTTAGTTAATAGATTGATTTTTTTAAAACATATCAAGATTTACTTCTGTCGATTGTACCTAATTTTGCACAATTACTTTAAAGACACACAAACTCACATTTTTAAAAAATAATCAAATTATATATTTAAAAGATTCTTTTAAAAAAAATCTTTTGACTAATATATTAATAGGTTACTTTATTGTGCATGAAAAGATTTGTATGTTGTTAATGACCTTATCAATAATTTGCATAGGATTATGATGCCATAGAGTTAATTACTTGCATTTTTTAAGAAAATGGACAAGTGTCATTACTTAGCGGCATATGCCTCAATACGAAATGAAATATTTAAACATAGTATAGATTATTATTAATACACGATAATAACAGAAAAGTATGTGCGTTTAGTGTTTTATATAATGTGCAATTTAGTAACCTTATAAGTTTTTATCGTCATGTATACATCTCAAATCATGAATATAACAAGTGAGGATAGTAAACAACATTATGACGACACCCGCACATGACCCACAAATTTCCTTACCGTATGGAAACAACATAATATAAACCACAAATGTAAATAACATATATATAAATATTTATAAGTTCTTCTAAGAAAGATATGATTTCTTTATTTTATTCATAAAAAGAGGTGTTGACCAGAATTATAAAATCAGCACATTAAAAGAAAATAAATATTTTACCCAAATGTTAACAAAGACCGTACTGTAACAAGGAAAGTACATTTTAGAGATCTCTGCGTATTTTAGGTTTTTTTAACTTTTTTAACAACCCGTCCCCTCTTTTATACCCAGCGGCTCTCTCTCTCTCTCTCTCTCTCTCTCTCTCTCTCTCGCTATGCATTTGCTAATATATACTTAGCTGCGAATCTCGTCATCTCCCGAAGAACCCTGTTTCGCGTCTCTTTCCAATCCAATTCATTTTCTGATTCGATTCCTTTCATTCAGGATTCGAGGAGACGTAATCCGGGAAGATATCGTTAATTGTGTTATCAGGATTGCCCAATTCGACCTTACCACAGATCTCGATCGGATGCTTTGCTCACTTTTCCGATTGGATTTTCTGTGATTTCCTTCTCCGATTCGGCGGAGTTTAATTCGGTTGAGCTTTTTTTTTTTTTTCCTAAGTCTGCGCCCGTTTTGGGAGACGATTATGGAATCATTGATCGATGAACAGAGACAAGTGTAAAAAGATGCCGGGTTTAGCACAGAGGAATGAGCATTGCCCTTCTGGGTTTTGGTCCAAGGACGTCGATGGACTCAGCTACAATCAGTTGCACAAGGTACCACGTCTTCGATTTCTTATTACTTGTTTCCAGATTTGGATTCACGGAATTTTGAACGTTCAAATTAGTTAACCCAGATTGGGATCGCTGCCTTTGAGGTTTCTCTTGATGAGTGTTTAGGTTCTTCTGATGAGTGTGGTTGAATATGCATCTGGTTGCAGAACAAAGCGGAATCAGTGTTTTTTGATTTTGGAAAGCTTGTTTAATTTAATGGTTTTAAGATATGCATCAAACCATGAAATCAAAATTTTTTATTCCTGAGATTTATTAGCTCGATGAACATGATGTTTAATCACTTCACTCGAAAAACCAACTTGTTTTGAACTCTTGATACAGTTCTGGAGTGAGCTGTCGACGAAAGCTAGGAAGGAGCTCCTCAGGGTTGACAAGCAGGCTCTGTTTGAGCTAGCTCGCAAGAACATGTGCTGTTCCAGATGCAACGGCCTGCTGCTTGAAGGTTTCTTGCAGATTGCTTCACAGGGGAGGTCGTTGCAACGGAAAGGATCGATAGGATGCAACAGATCAGGAGCCTCAAAAGATCAAATTGACTGTAACTCAGCTGTCAGTAACAGATGTGCCGGTGCGTTGCAAGACCCTTCTGTTCATCAATGGGGAGGTCTCACCGCAACACGCGATGGTTCACTCACACTTGTTGACTGCTTTTTGTACGCGAAATCTTTCAAAGTGCTTCAGACTGTAAGTTCATCATGGGTTTTCCCTATTCTAGGTCAGGTCCGTCCAGTTTAGCTGGCTAATCTGTTGGCTCTGTCAGGTGTTTGAAAGTGCCCGTGCTCGAGAGAGGGAACGTGAGTTGCTCTATCCCGAGGCTTGTGGCGGCGGAGGTCGGGTATGGATAAGTCAAGCGATGGCTGGTTATGGTAAAGGTCATGGAACAAGAGAAACAACGTGTATTTTGCATACCACGAGGCTCTCTTGTGATACATTGGTGGATTTTTGGTCTGCACTTGAAGAGGAAAGTCGACAGTCACTTTTGCGGATGAAAGAAGAGGATTTCATGGAAAGACTAACTTACAGGTTTGTTACTTGCTGATTCAGTATTCTGGAATGTTCTGTTAAAATTTCAGTTGAGAAAGTGTTTTGATATGATCTCGTTTCTCCATTCAGGGTGTACTATGAACTCTTACCACTTAAGTCATATTTTAAATTGAAAAGTTATTATGGATTTAGTATTTTCTTGACTTTGAGGATGTGCCTATTAAGTCATTGCATGCACTACTTTTGTTTTATGTAACTTTTTCTTCGTTATATGGTCTTGTGACTTTTTTCCTTTCCTCGATAAAATGTTGACCTTTTAAACTGTAGATTCGACTGCAAGAAGTTTTGTAGAGACTGCAGAAGAAATGTTATTCGGGAGTTTAAAGAGCTTAAGGAACTTAAACGAATACAGAGAGAAACACGATGTACCGACTGGTTTTGTGTTGCCGATACAGCCTTTCAGTATGAGGTCTATATCTTTTCTTAATCTTTTCCTCTTATTTTGTGGATTCCTATACCCTGTACTACAAGAGCACTGGTTTATATTGGAAGGTAGAATGAGAAACGTAATTGCAATTTATCAGGTGGACATTGATTCCGTCCGAGCAGATTGGAGTCAATATTTTAAAGAGTGTACTGGATATCATCATTTCGAGTGGGCTATTGGAACTGAAGAAGGAGAATCTGATATCCTCGAGTTCAAATGCGTAGGCCATGATGGGAGGGCCCAAGCCAATGGCCTAGACCTTCGTGGATTGCATGAATGCTACATTACTCTTAGGGCATTTAAAAAGAATGGCCGCTCCTCCGAGATATCCGTCAAAGCCCATGCATTGAGAGGCCAACAATGCGTTCACTCCAGGCTTGTGGTTGGGGATGGCTTTGTTTCAATTAGAAGAGGGGAATGCATTCGAATGTTTTTTGAGCATGCTGAAGAGGCTGAGGAAGAAGAGGTAATTGAAGATCCTCAAGCTTTGTGACTGAAAGCCTTCATATATTTACAATTTTACAGAGATGATACTTCCTTGTTAAAATATTGTCATTTTGTTTGCTATATAAGGATGAAATCATGATAGACAAAGATGGAAATGAGCTTGATGGTGAGTGCTTGCGTCCACAAAAGCACGCTAAGAGTCCAGAACTTGCGCGAGAGTTTCTTCTAGATGCTGCAACGGTTATTTTCAAGGAGCAGGTTTGTTATAGAATCCTATAAGTTCACATTCCATGGATCGTTATTTTGTTTCGTATTTAGGTATCTTCAATTCTATCTAATTTATAATAATATCTCAGGTTGAAAAGGCCTTTAGGGAAGGTACAGCCCGTCAAAATGCCCACAGTGTATTTGTCTGCCTTTCATCGAAACTATTAGAGCAACGTGTTCATATTGCCTGCAAGGAAATTGTCACTTTGGAGAAGCAGGTTTGTTTGCTATCTTGATTTGATTTTTTTTTTTTTTTTTTTTTTTTTGACAAGCTACTCAATTTAACAAGACATTTTACACTTATTTTGTCCAATGACTCCGTCGTCTTAACTCTTGCAGAAGAAACTTCTGGAGGAAGAAGAGAAAGAAAAGCGTGAAGAAGAGGAGCGAAAAGAAAGGAAAAGAACAAAAGAAAGAGAGAAAAAACTTCGTAGAAAGGAGAGGTTGAAGGAAAAGGAACGAGAAAGAGAGCAGAAGAATCCAAAATCTAGTGATAAAGCAATGCTGCCAAATTTGTCAAGGGAAGAAGAAGGCTCCCTGAATCTTGATGAGGAAATGAACAATACTATTAGCTGCGAAGAGTCAGGAATTGAAACTGGAGATGTAGATGTGTCTTCTCCTGGTTCTCATGATGATCTCGATGAAGAGTGTTTGGATGATTGTACTTCTCCAAGAGCGGAGACCCACTACTGTGATAGCACTGGTAGAGAGGTTATCGATCATGAAGACCGAAATGGGTGCTTTACAAATGATAATTGCAACCATCAGACAGCAAAATTCTGGAAAGAGCCTGAACCTGATTATGCATTGAGGTGGTCAGATAAACGCAGATACACGGAGAATGCGTCTTTTGACAATAGTGCTGAGGCAAGATTCTGTAGTGATAGACTAGAAATGTGTTCAAGGCACTTCAACGGCTCAAAACAAAATTTGGGAGTAAAAGCTTTGAAGGCTGGGGGTAGCCCAAATAGCATTAAGACACATGAGGGGTTTCAGTGTTCAGCCAACAGGATCAGTGAGAGGTACCATTATCACTCTTGCAGTTGCGAACCCATTAATGGATACCGGGAAAAGGTAGAATCTAACAGAGGCATGCGAGAACCCAAAACGATATTCAAATCAGACTCTGATCCGGATGTCTCCAAGCCAGTTAATCGAGCCACTGGGAATACTCAATCAGATTATCGACGAGAGTTAAGACCTAGAAGCAAAGTGAGCATCACTCAAAATCCTTCTGTGAGGGAGCCAGTAAACGTGAGAAAGGTCTTGGACTCCGTGGATCTGAAGCATGCAGGAAACAGTTCAAATTCTGACGTATCAGCAGTTGCATGTTTAACATTGAAGGCTGAAGATGTTAAATCTGCTGTGAAGCCAGCTGATACACTGCATCTATGCAAGGCTACAGAAAAGTTGGGTAATGCTATCTTTAGCGACAAGAGCAGGGATTCTAAAAATCCAACAAAGGAAGGGAAGAAGATGGAAGCTGACACAAAACCGAAGGATGATGACCTGTACTTGAAAGATCCTATGATGAGTAGAACCTCCAGTTCAGATAATTGCTCTTCATGTCTCAGTGAAGGAGATAGCAATTCAGCTTCTTCAAACAACGGAAACACCGAATCCTCCTCGATGTCTGATTCTGAAGATGCCAGTCAGCACTCTGAAGGAAAAGAGAATCTAGTGGATACTGGAACCGATATACCTGCTTATCACGAGAAGATGACACAGAAGAGTATCGATGAAAGAGATCCAGCTGAAAACGGGGAAAGTAAATTATCAGGACCTCCTTTTCAGGTTCCTCAGCAAAACATGGAAAACATGGTACCCAGTGGTTCCTACCTGTCCCAGCCGCAAAACATGATGTTTCCCCAAATGCTGAACCAGAGTATACCGTTGTCAGTCTTCCAGGCTCCTTCAACGATGGGGTACTATCAGCAAGCTCCAGTCTCTTGGCCTGCAGATCCTGCTAACGGGTTAATGCCATTCCCTCATCACAACCATTATGTATACACAGGTCACCTTGGATACAGCCTCAATGGAGAGTCCCCGTTATGCTTGCAGTATGGGACCCCATTGAACCATTCAGCAACCCCTTTTTACAATTCCGGGCCAGTTCCAGTTTTCCATCCGTTTGCTGAAGCCAACACAATGAACATTGTGGACCAAGCTCAGACTCATGAGCAATTGGAACGCAGCTCTCTGAAGGAAGCAGATCAAAGGAGATTAAACCGAGTGTATCCATTGGAAACTCCAAGCAGCAGAGGTACGCAAACTGATGGCGATGAAAACTTCTCCTTGTTCCACTTCGGTGGGCCGGTTTCTCTGTCTACAGGAAGTAGGTCGGATCTTGCTCATTCCAATAATGGGAAGGTGAAAGAGATAGGTGAAGAGTACAACTTGTTTTCGACAAACAACAGCTTGAGGTTTTCTATCTTTTAAAAGGGTTTATTATATACAGTTTCTTGGATTGTTTGGCGCCATGGAAAATTGTATTCCAAAAACGCAGTAAAATCTCTCTGGTTGTTTCATTTCATGTAAAGATCTCCTGCAAGAGTTTTAGTCTTTTTTCTTTTCAAAGGTTCTGTTTTACTCAAAAATAATGATCCTCCATTACAACACAAAAACAGAAACAAAAGAAAAAAATCTCAATACAGAAGAAGAAGATGATCTTCTATAGTTTTTTTCTGACATAATCTATTGTCCGGAGAAATTCAAAACAGCAAGGTAAAGTCCTTGTTCATCAACAAACTGGGTTAGCTCGAACGAATGCTTCTTAGCAACATTCCTCAATGTGGAATCATCTGGTAAATCAGAGACGACCACATCTGCAAACTCTTTCCTTTGCTGCTCCAAGCCTTCTCTTCCTTGCGGGTGACTGATCACTACTCTTGCACCTGTTACAATCATTGAACCAGACTGTGTTAGAGGCTAAGAAACAAAAAAGCGTTAGCCTGAGAGCGAGAGAGATGAAGAAAGGTCCAGAACATCGTACCGGAGGAACAACGTTGAGACAGTGTCTTAAACACATCGTCGAGATCGAAAGGCAACGCCGGAAGAAAGTAGAGAAACACGACGTCTAACGGAGACCATTTCTCTGGGACATAGATAAATTCTCCTTGCCAACATTTGACTTTGTCGTATTTTTCTTTGACACAGGCCAACACAAAAAGGGAGTCATGGACAATAAGCAAGAGCTGAGAAGGTGAAGATTCCACCAGACGATCAACGAATGCTTCTGAGCTAACTGAAACTAAAATCCTCGAAGATTCTGATATTTCTCCAGCCTCGATGATCTTTTCGATCTTCTTGGTATGCTCAGTGGAGTCGATCTCCATAGATTCGAGAAAGGACCAATCTTTCTCATGGAAATCGTCCTCGGAGACTGTTTCCTCTGGAGGAGAGGTTGAGGAAACAGCAAACGCTTTGTAACGATCAGACTGTGAGAATGAAACAAGTTTAGGAGAAAAGAAGTGACTTCGAAGACGATTTAGCTTCCTTGGTTGCAAAGAGAGAAGATGCGAAGAATTGAAGGCAAACAGAGAAGGTAGAAGGGCGGAAGAAGAAGATGGAAACGAAAGAGAATGCATTTGATTACTGCAGCTTCTGTACTAAATCGAAGAAGAAGAAGAAGATAGCAGCGAGAAAATGGGTATTGTAGGGCAGCAGCATCTCGAATTGGAAGACGATGACGATGACGTAGTCTTTCTTTGGGCCGAAATAAGAAAAGCCCATTATGTTTTGGGCTCAATAAGAGTCTCAGTTTCTATGTTGTAGCTACGGCGGAAACATTTTCAGAGAAGTGAACCGGTGATCGGAGAGAGAGAGAGAGAGAGGATGGGAACGAGACAAGTGTACGAAGAGAAGCTGAGGCGCGGGAATCTCGATTATGATCCGACCATGAATCCTGGTCTTGGCTCAGCTCGGTGTCCGCGTTGCCTTTCTCTATTAAACCCTAATCCAGTGAGCTGCCAAGTGTTTTCAGTGTTTTTTTTTTGTGGTTTTTGAGGTAGGATGGTCTGAGAATCCGTTTCCTGTGTTCTTGTGAAATCAATTCTCAGGAGAAAGGAGAGTGGGCGGTAACTTCCGTTTTGCACGATGCTGCTGCAGTGGTCAGTTCTCGTATAAAACCCCAGCCTCGGTTCGAATTTTTGTTGATTTCCATGAAAATTTGTATCGTTTCGCGCTTTGTACTGGGAATATAATTGAGTTGTGGAGAAATCAGCTGAATTTGGAATGAGAATTCGCATTCAGGGCCATGTAAAAATTCAACCTTTTTTTTTGTTTTCATTGATTTCTGAGATGAACTTTTCTCCAGGTTATTGTGAATTTGGTCTATTTGCAATGTCTGATTAGTTTTGTGTTTCAGCCTTTTCACTGGAAATTATACGCCTTGGCTGTTGTTTGCAGAGCATCATATTCTCTGAATATCTTCAGTTCACTGATTTGTAATTCAAAGTTTTTGGCTTTTTGAGTGTTCTTTCAATTGGGACTACCATGATGTGTCTCGGATTGTTTTGTTGGGAAATCGATTTAATCTGATTGTGAACTGTAGCTGTACCACTCTGTTTCTAACTAGGTATCTCTTGTGCTGTAGGCTGGTTCTGGTATTGGTGGCTTGCTTAGTGCCGTCCATGCTTTCAACACAGGTATCATCACATGATTCTCTCTTGTGGTGTCATATACTTGGATCATTTATACAACGGGATCTTATTAACTCTTTGGTCTTTCAGGGATCCCATATCTTCAAAATCGGTTTCCAGGGTCAAAGCGGCTCTCTTTTCTTGTTGGGGTATGTATTTTCTCTTGCCATGTCTTCTAGTTCTTGAATTCTTCTGCCTGCTTCTCCTTTCTCTGTTGACAGTACCTCATTGCTTCTCACTTATTGCTTTTGCTTATAGGTTCCTTTGCTGCTAGGATACTCAGGCGTAGGGGCTGCCTTTGGAGGTAGCATGGTCTTCTTTCCCTCAATTTTGTATATATCTTTGCGTTAGTGATTGAATTTTGTATATATCTTTGCGTTAGTGATTAAATTTTGTGAAAGGGCTTCGCATGTTTGAGTGTTTGAACCTGTGTGGTTATTATCTGTTAGAATTCTCTGTTTTTATATCATACCAAAGAACCTATATGTCCATGTTGAGTTCGCGTATTTAAGGAGACTGCTGATGGAATAATTTCCTCTTTATTGAGTGTTGGCTTTTAATGCAAGAAAATTTACGAGCTATGATTATCTTTTCATTATTGTCTATGGTTGAAATACAGATAAAGCTGTTCTGCATTAATTATTAAACACATCAGGATGATTGTTTTTTCTCTATCTGTTTAAAACGTACAAATGCCAGGTGTTAGTGGGTATGTTAGTAGCATTCTTGCACGTAGGCTTTTGTTTTATGTATTACTCAGTACATATTATATGTCTATGCACACATGTGTCTGTTTTTCTTTAAAGAAAACACCTGAAGTTTTGCTCGTGTTCAATGGTTTGGTAGGTTATGCACTCCCGAAGTTTGCTCAGCTGACAGTTACCTCGTACTATGCATCTTCAAGTGCTTCACATTATGGGATCTCTCTGCTCACCCGCTATATCGAGGAAGCTCATCTCTCTCGAACTCAGAAAGAAGAGGTCAAATGAAGTCATGCACAGATCATCGAGAATCTATTCCACTCCTCTGGCTGAGCACAACGTATATCATAATCTCTCCTTCTCTTTGTTTTTTTCCTCCTTGGTTACCTTTGTCAAGTCAAACTCTTGAAAACCACATCTATAATGTTAATTCTTTGACATGTTTATACAAAATATAATGTCTTTTGGTTCCTCTCTTTCTTCAGTTTTGGGGTTCTGTTACCGTCTTCAAAGCTTTAGCTAATGCCATGGTATTTGATTCTTGAAGATACTATATTGGTTATACAAAATCTTCTTGGTCCATTTTACAAACTGCTTAGTGTAACTTTCACATATAAATCCAAATTTCACTATGAATTTTGACGGAACATCATCTGAAAGTAGATGTTGGAAATTAGTATATTGTAAGAAATCAGACTCCCAAGGATTGATTTAGTAGACCACATGGTCTAAAGGGTCGGTGGAACTTTCTGTAGCTTTGGTTACCAAAAACCAGACCACCGTTTTGGCAGTTTGCATTGTTGTGTGAACCAGATTGTGAAGTTTTTATCTTATATATTTTTTTTGGGAAAAGGGTTTGAGATGTGTACTGTTAGAACTATCATCCTCAAGTTGCAACTTTCCTAGGGTTGTGGGCCGATGTTCCTTAAATTCCACTAGTCCTTTTACAAATCTAAAAATCAAAATTAAAAACAAGTGAGCAGAGAGAGAGAGAGAGAGAGAAGTGGTCCTATAAGGGTTATATAATGTAATGTATGTGTATGCTCTTCACACGTCTTTATTATGTGCTTCTTTCTTTTATCATGTTGTTTCATCACATGCTTCCTTCTACATTGCATTAACTAGTGGGGTCCAAATCTAGCTGCTCTTGATGTTAACTCTTTGACACCATACATCCTTAAATTTTCCATTATTTGATAAAACCATCACGTAATTCTCAGATGTACTGTCTTCTCTGGTTTAGCCTGCCCTCTGCAGTTTTTTTTTTCTTTTGTAAATCCAAACAACTGTTTCGATAAGGGCATTTCTGTCTTTTTCTCCTTTCTTTGTTTTTTTGTTTGGTTTATGTGATAGAGAACAACTTCAAAGAAACACAATCTCTCCTCCTTTTGATTGACAGGCTGAGTTTGCACCGTTTGGTCCTTCCCCGTAAAATAGACAGCGCCTGTTATCACAATAACATGTTTTACACTTTAAAGATTAGTGGTCTAACGTTAGTTGATTAGTTAGATATTAGAGAAGAGTAGTACAAAGGACAAGTTCACTCAAAGAGTATCCAAAGTTGTCCTTTTTGGGAATACCCTTTTTTCATTTCCTTTCCTTTAGTAGAAGACTTGATCGAGTGAGACTAGCTTTTTTTTTAACCTTTATGTATCGGTTATAGCTTTGTTATGAGATGAGATGCACCACAGGCTGCTAATTCTAAAGCGATAATAGCTAGGCATTATTAAATTTATATGTATGTAACCATCATGTGTTGTTGCGAGGCAATGTTACATATATCTGTGACTCAAGTCATGCCAAAATTAGAAAAGTCAAGGTTTTGAAATTCTTGGTCTATCCAAAAGTCGTAGCTTAATAAACGGTTGTCTTTAATGTTTTGATTAGTGTAACACATGATGTTAGGTACGAGGATTGATATCATTTGCTTTCTTCTCATCAAATATACGATTAATAACTGTGTAGGCCTATGAGCTTTTCTATCAAACTGTGTTCTCTGGAGAGGCAATAATTAGCAAGAAACATGATCATGTGTACGTCGGAGGATTATTAACTAGTTTTTTTTTCTTTTCTTGAGAGTCCATTTGTATTGATCATGGTAAATGATGAACAAGTAAAACAGATGGTATACAGCTTGGTTGATGATTCTCTTTGAATTGCCCCAAAAAAAGGTTTGAAAAGAAACTAAAGAAGAAAGCTTTTGAGGAAAGCCTTTAGCTTTAGCTTCTGTGTGTTGAGAGATAGATGTGAAAGCTATCTTTGGCTAACTCTACATTTGTAATCATGGACCACTTTCACTTCTCAACTCTCTCTCTCTCTCTCTCCCCTTTTGTCTTGTCCATTGTCTTCAGTGATCCCCACAGTCACCGAATCATCATCATCATCATCATCAACATCAAGAGCTTTCTTTCTCCTTTGGCTCTTGATTCGGTAAAACACCGTTTCATCAAACAGAGACTGTAAACGTTTGGATCTAAAGAGATTTTTGTGGGTTTTTTCATGCTTGAAAAGACATCTATCTATATAGGATTTGACTTAAAAGAGAAATTGATCGAGACTTGAATTATCTCGACTGCTACAACAGAGATAGAGAAAAGTACGTACGTGTGACTTCCATGGCTCTTAATTTAATGTTCCTCTTTCTCTGAAACTTGCGATCTTTTAAGGCATAACAGAACTCAGAAATGAACAGACGAAAAACAAAAGAGAGAAAGAAAAAAATGATAATTGTATCATTCACACACACACGTGAGACGAAAATGGATGAACATATTTTACTAATTAATCAGATATTATTATTCCCTTATTAATATTATATATAAACTCAGAATCTGAAGAAGAAAAAAAGCCTCAAAGGTTCAAGATCTACACATCATGCCGGTTCTCCTTACAAAACACGAACATCGCTTCGTTTTTTTTCTTTCTTCAGCACTCTCAAAAGAATTTGGCTTCACCGATCGAACGAGTTTCATCATGGCTAAGTTAAAGAAAATAAAAAAAAATAGTGTCAAAGATGAAGATCGAGACTCACATGATCTTGCACATTTGGTTTCATCAATCTGTAGGGCCAATTCGGCTCCTTATTGTTCTCCTGCTCATGCGTCCTAAACGCTGAAGCTTGTGATGCTGAGTAATGGCCATGATGAATAGCGTTTGCTGACGTGGAAGGCGGTACACGCCACAAACCTAAAGGACTTCCGTTGATCGTCGGTGTGATACTACTAGAAATAGGAGGAGGAAGAGTGCGTGAGTAATACGACGGCGTTTGCTGTCCTCCTCCTCCTCCTCCACCACCACCGTAGAATCTAGCTTCCGTCGTCCACGAGGGATAGTGACGGTGGTGGTGGTTGTTGAGGAAGCCGTAAACGTGGTGAGGGTCAGGCTGGTGATGATGATGAAGGTATGACGACATGGAACCGCGTTTGGCGTGTTGGCGTTCGCGTTTGTGAGCGTTTTGGTGTCCACCTAGGGCTTGAGAAGTCGGGAAGTTTCTGAAACAGTAGTGACACTCGAATCTCCTGTTATTGTTGTTGTCTTTGTCTTTTTCCTTGTCCTTGTCCTTTTCCTTGACATTTTCAGAGCTCTCTTCGTTGATCTTGGTTGTTGTAGTTTCGGAAGAATCTGGAGAGAAGTCTTCTTGTTGATGAGCACCGGAGGAGTTATCTCCGATGAGCTCTTGGCCGAAGAGACGAATAATGGAGCTTTTTTCTTTGGGCGGAGTACGGCGGATGAAAGGAAGCTGAGAGAAGGATTCGACGTTGACGTTCATGAAATCGTGAGTTTCTCTTCGACCATTGGTTTCGTCCATGGAATAATGGGAGAGAGAGAGAGAGAGGAATGAATGAGTTTGAGACGAATGAGGTTGACTGTTTCAGAGACAGAAAGACAAGAGATGAGGTTATGCATTAATATAAAGAGCTTCCCAAATTCTTTTTAAGGTAATTAATTGTTATTTAAAACCAGTATGGCCGCGTGTGTATATTAAATTTTTACGTTTATCCATCTAAGTGATTTACATTTCACTCGCACATTTTAGTTTTTATTTTTCTTTTAGAAAATCTACATTTTAGTTTTTAATGTGTAATTTCCGAACTTCAATCTAATCTCTGGAACATATAGAAGAGTCACACACTTTACCAATCAAGTACACGACACTATATTCGTCAGATACTTCTATAATGTCTTTGATATATTTCTTTTTACTTTTATTTAGTGTTGGATATCAAGTGTCACGAAAACGTTGATTTATATTGTGGATGAACAAACATTTTGGCAACATTTTTCAGCATTGATAATATATCGTCTAGACCGAAACTCAGATCATCAACTGGCAGACGTACGCATGTGCACATAATTTTCTTATATGTTTTGTAATTTCTATATAAAGTTATCTTTATTTGATTTAAAATTCCTTTCATATCTTGTATACAAATTTTCAATACTTTCCAAAAAATAGTTTAAAAAACTACCAAGAGTTTGATCAATATTTCAATCATATGTTGTTTTCATGTTTTTATTTTTATCTAAAGATAAAATGCGAAAATTGTATATACTGTAATAGACATTTTTTTATTTATATATGTCTTGTAAGCCCACATTTAGGATATTGTAGATATGATAACAATTAACTCAATTGGCTCAAGTTTAACTAATATCGGGGGAATTTGAGTAAGTTTTATCTAAGTTGGGTATACTAGATTTTCATGTTTCAAGGAGGAAGAAGTTTTGGAAGAATGTAACTTATAGGTAATTACGTATTATCACACGTATGTGATTTTTTCATAAATTTGTAAAGCTAAACCTTACAAATTTTAAATATTTTGTTTAGAGTTGCCCTTCGTTCTCTTCGTGTTCTTTACATTAGTTACATTTCAATCAAACAAACACTAAAATAATAACCAAATTTCAGTGACACCAAATAATTTTCTATATATAATACATACATTTGTAATTGTACCGATTTTAGTATATATGTATATGGAAAGTAAGTGTGTTTCTTTGTATGATATTGTTTCTGGAATGATTAATTGTTGCACTTGTAATAGATGAGATTGATGTACATATATATAAGTGATTTTTTTGTTGATACATAGTGCATGAAGGATAAGCTGAAAGGCTAAAAGTTGAGATTGACTATAAAAAATACAGAACCTCAGCTTATGGTCGTACACAGGGAAATGTAAATGTAGTATTACATTACAGATTTATCTTGTGTATATATGAATCTATGATGGTTATGTACCGTGTCATCATCAGTAGGTAAGCTTTTTTTTTCTACGAAAATAATAAATTAATATAGTAAAAGTGGTCGGATAAATAAATACATAGAGAGGTCACTTTATTCACTTCCCTACCCAATCTCACACACATGACACATATATATAAAAATATCATTTTCTTCAAACTCCAATCAATTCTCTCTTTTTTCAAAGTTATCTCCTTTTTTGTTAGTTGTTTCTTTAAAGCGATTTCTGCAAATGTTGGAACTAAGACAAAAGAAAAGCTTACCGAATTGATCGCTAACAGATGAAATGGGGTCACGGTGAGTAATGAGATGAACTAAAAAGAGTGAGAGTTTGTAGGTAAGAGATCATTAGCAACGTGAAGTTAGGTGTGTACTCTTTTATACCATGGACCTAGCTATTTGCTTATTATGTCTTCGTATAAGTACATGAATTTTTCTACTAATAGACTAATACAGAGAAAGAGAGAGACCTAATAACTAAAGAGAGCTCTTCTCTCTCAAGGACCAGCTTTTTACACTCTTGGATGTTTTGTCTCACTGATGCAAAAATGATCTTACAGAGAGGGAGATGTGGTCCTTGTACATGATCATTGAATGATGCTAATAATCAACTAGTTGATGTCATCACCAGATAATTAATCAAAAGATTTTAATCTTTGTTTGTAGAGGTCGCATCCTATCATTAATGTAATAAGTTGTTGATACCTATACCTATCAACTCGATCATCCGGCAAGATTTGATCCACGTATTCTTCATTTTGAATTATATATATTCCCTTTATATGTTTATCTACACACTCTAAATCTCCATACTTAGAAAGAATAATTCAATTTAAAGTCCATTAGTTTTGATATTTTTTCATGCTTCTTTTAATATATGTATATGGAGTTTTTATTCATTTGTATAAGTGTATTGATTAAACAAAATTTAATACTTAGTTGAAAACGGGATATCATCCAAATTAGAGTATAGCTCTTTTAATCTAAGAATGTTGTCAGGTTGACATGCAAAATCTACTAATGTTGTTACAAGTTTTGATATTGCTTGATATAAAATTCATGAACGATTTTTATTATAAAAAAAATTCATGAACGATATAGCAACAAACAAAACGATTTGACCGATTATCCAATAACAAGAACACACAAAAACTGCATATTGCTTTATGATATATTTATAGGCATAAACAATAATTCATTCTTCCAAAAGAAACAAAAAAAATCAAGATCTTACAATGTATCATAACATTCTGTTGAATTTCTTGATCCTATTTCACAACATTCTTCTACATAGTCTCATAATTCAAATAAGAATTCAGATATATTTAAGCTTCATCGTATACATATGGATCAGGTACATTTAAATTTGACTTTGATTGGATATAACATAATAAATGAAGTTAATGCTAGCTTTTAGAAAATAAATATATTACATTTGATATGAATATATACAACGAGAATAATAATTCACCAAACACATTTGATGCAGCTCCACTATACCCACCAAGACATCCTCAACTCCAATATCTAATAACAAATTGAAAATTACTAGTATGAAACAATCCATTTATATAAAACGGTTGTCTTAGAGCGGTAGATAATTAGCCGGTCAAAATGGTTGATTAAATTAGTAAACAAATCCTAATATTCGAAATATGGGAATCAAATTTGTTGTAAATAATATACATTTTAAGTTTTCAAAGTTTTTTTTATCGTGGCGAATCATCTCTCGTTATTCTCTATACACCAATATGGATCATCCATTTGTGAATAGCCAAACTATTCCTTTTTTGGTCAACAGATAAACTATTCCCTCATAAAGAAAAAAACATCGTAACTAATAAAATTTAAAATGTAAGCGATTAAAGAAAAAATGTTCTTTTTTGAAAATTGTCTCATACGGATTCCCTAAGAAAAAAGTGCTAAAGAGTGACTTCCTTACGTAAATTCACTGATTCACATAACGTGTATGTGATATATGACTAATCAAAACGTATTGTAAGAATGGAAATAAATTCAACTATGGTAATGTCCATGCGAAGTACTGGTCCCAAAGTACATTAATTTACATACATAATTTTGCAGATTTTGGACTTCACATGAGGAGTCCACATCTCTTTATTTTTTTTTTCCCCACAAATAAACACTGTTTAAACCTAACATGCGGTTTAAAATTTTAAACATCAAAGATCCATGGAAAATCATAAGTAATTAAGGTTTTTAAGCTTATTCAAATAGTATAAATTAATAAGAAATAATTAGTATTTTTTCTAATATTATCATAGTAATGTAATAAAAAAAAGACTTTCACAAACCAAAGATATATATTTTTGTTTAAATATTAGTAACGAAGAAGATATATAGGAGTCTCTTTGATTTGGATATTTTGTCTATTCCAAAGTCCGAATCAGTATCCACCATATGATAGTCAACATATAATATTTGCAAAGCTCATGAAGTAGGAAATTCTTTAAGAACACAAACATATATTATAAACCGAAGAGCAAGAACACATATAGTAAATACGTATAAAACCAATCTAAAAAAAGGGTCCCCAGGAAAAGATAAACAAATCTGAGAAAATGTAATTGGGTCCCATGAATGGCATTTGAACCCCACGAAAAAACATGCACTTAAAAGCCCACAAATCTCCCAAACCCTAACAGCAACTCTTCATTGAATCATGCAATTGCAAACCTCTTTGCTTTGCCATTAAAGTCACAGTCATATGCTCAGAGATTTAATGGCTTTTGTTGAGGGGACCATATCTCTCACTTTCTTGCCTTCACATCCATCTCTTGGATTCAACTCCTCCACTCTTATATACACATATGTATGCAAATTCCCTACTTATTACTCTTTTTTTTCTCAAAAGAAAATTGATGAATTGTTTGGCCAGTAATAAATAAAGATCATAAATATAGAAGATGAGAAAAAGAGTCTAGATTTTGAGGGACAAGCATATCTTGTCCTTTTCGTTGTATGTGACCTCACAATGTTCAGCTATATATAAGGACCGAACTTCAAAGTAATATAGAAAATAGAGATATGGGGATAGATATTTTTATTTTAAGTAGAAGAAAACAGAAAATAAGAATGAGAGGAAGCCCAAAATTAAAAGCTATAGAACAAATGCAAGTGGAGTTAAAAACAACATGAAGAGCTCACCAGTCTCTTTCAGTGTTAAACAATCTACTCTAACTCTCCATCACTTCATCGAACTCACCAAACTCATTATTAGTCTCTTATACAATAATGACACGATCAATGAATATCTAACGGTATATACAACATTACAAAAATGATTATTATTTGTAGAAAAAAATGTTGTTTACTAGTAAATGAAATGAGTTTTGCGTTGAACCCGACTCTATGTGATTTTACCAAGAAATAGCTTTTAGTAGATTTAGAGGGGAAAAAACTACAAATTAACCACGTATCTGAACAATCGAATGAGCTAATAATTATCCATCAATATAATGTTCCACAAATCAGGACCTGAAATCTCTACATTTGGTAGTAGAAACAAAAAATGACAACCTAGCTATATTCTTGTTCATGTTATTAGAAACATCCTACGATTAATGTTTAGTATCCATGCGTACACTGCTTGAAATTTGTATAGTCGTTAATGTAGACTGTGATAAAAAAAAATATAGGAATACATTATACTATATAACTATAAAGAAAAGAGAGTTGAAAATAAGCGTTATGGAAAAGAAAAAAAAATCATGATTGAATGAGTAAGATTTTATATATAGACGGTGACAACAACATATGAAAGAGAATGGGGGCTCTCTCAACGGTGTGTAAGTATGTGAAATGTCAATAAAAAGATAAATACATACAAATGTGAAATGTGTATTATTATAGCTTTTGTGAGGTCTAAAACTTTTGGTGGGTTTGTGATTATCATTATTGTCTGAAACTGATATGGGTCTTGTTTCTTTAAATGGACCACCATTTATGAATATTCCTATATATATTAACTATATTATATATATGTATTTGTGAGAGCATCTTTCCAGATGATGGTTTAACAATGTATGTGGGGAACTTTCTCTACATCATGTGTGTGATATGTCTCCGGTCCTCTTGTCAATTTTCTTTCTTTTAAAAACAAACAAAATTCAAGAAGGAAACATAAAACTCTTACTATTTTTTTTTTTGAATATTAGAACACTCGTGCATGAAACATGAGTCAGATATACATAAATTTATGTCATTTTATGGCTATATATACACATTGGTTAGGATCTTAAAACCGGTTTTATAATTCAATTCTAAGCTAATAGTATAAGTGGTTCCTATTAACCGGGAAAAAATAAAGAGTGGTTCCCTCGATGAATGTGATTTGCACAACACCCATAAGATTTACCTTTGGTACCACTAGGCTTTATGATGGGCCAATTCTTAAACAGGCCTTTTGTGTCGACCCATTTGTACCTTTTCGTTGTACAGTCAATTTGGGTACTCCAACAAGTAAACAGCTCTGAGTCCACAACTTAAAACGACATAAAATAAATCAAAATGAAAGTGGAAATATTTGTACATTTCATCTACACTACGAAATTTGCAAAAATACTACATTTTTGATATATTGTAGTAGCAAGTAGCAACATCGTTTAGTTTCAGCAAATCACTGCACGAAGACAAAATTGGGTTATGCGGATCTCGGAGGAAGAATCCTCAACTTTAGGGGTTTATTCGACATTCTCTTAATCTGTGACGCCTTCGATGAAATAATCTTCAGTTTTAATGGTGCCTTCGTGATACCATCCAACTTCGGCGGAGATTTTCTAATCCTCGACCCCACTCGCCTCCTCTCTCCGCCGGCGCCGGCATCAACGATCCTCTGGTCTCCTATCAAAAAAGGATGCAGCAACAACTCTGAAGCGCTTCCTCTCTCCTCAGGCTTCCTTGCGAAACACTTCTCCATAAACTGTCTTGCACCGCACGGCACAGTCTCTGGAATCTCTGGTGCGTTTTCATCCAATAGACGAAGCTTCAAATCATCAACACTGACCCCTGACCATGGATGCTTACCGGTTTACATTTCCAACACTATGCAACCTAGCGACCACAAATCTAGGGTTTTATCGACCGTGCCACCGTCGCGGACAGACTCCGGTGACATGTAAGCATGCGTTCCCACAAACGGAGAATCCGTTTCCCAACAGTCAGATTTGTCTCCTGCCTTTATCGACAATCCAAAATCCGAAATCTTTAACTCGTACGAACAATACCACGTTCCTTCGTCGTAACGCGGAAACAAAAGAAGATTGTCCGGTTTAAGATCGCAATGGACATAACCGTGACTATGAATCGAGACCAGTCCTTGTAGAATCGCACGAGTGAAGTCTCTGATGACCGAGTCGGATAACTTTCTGTTTCTACGGATGAAACTGGTTAGGGTACCAGCTGCTGCGTACTCCATTGCCATCTTGTAGACTTTGGTTCCATTGAAATCGATTCCTTGAAGCAGAGAATTACCAAATAACTGCACGATTCCAGGACATCCTCTGAGTTCCGAGAGAATTCGAAATTCTGTGTCGACGGAATCGTAATTCTGATGATCAGAGATCTTCACGGCTGTGTAGAACATCGTGCCGTCGTCTTTTGTGTAACCGTAGAGATCGACAGAGCCGTACGCACCTTTTCCTAAAGACTTGACGAAGTTCATCTCTGGTGTGTTCTTGTGCATCTCTGGTTTCTTTTTCTAACGCTTCGTTTTTTTTTACGCAATTGGTTTGCTCTGATCAATCTGTAGTTTACTCTGTAAACCTTTCAGTGTTATAAAGACCTCGGAAGAGACGAATTACTCGAGATTGGTGAGATAAAGAAAATGGAAAACCCTAATTTTTGATCTAGATTTGTGATCTAATGAGGAAAATAAAAAATGGAATTATTAAGTTCTGATTAAGTAAATAAATGTCGCTTTAATTTTTGAGGGAAAAAAATTAAACCATTGTAGATTGATCTGCACACCATCCAGTAGATCCTAACCGTCGGATGAAATTCTTTTTTTTTCACTGACTTTTTTATATGGACAAAGAAATATTATCTTGACACACACAGTAAATGTTATCGCCTTAAACCTTTAAAGATAATATATTTTTCCACTGTTTTGGGGATTATCATTATTTAAAGGGCCCGATTTTAACTGGATACGAAAAATTAATAATGAATTCCGAAAATTATTTTAGTATATACACACACTCAACAAAATATATCATTCTCTTTTACTAAACATAAATTTATTTACTAATTACAATTTAACAGCAGATTAAAATTTGCAATCCTCACTCTACACAAGTGATGATGATGGATGAATGTATAAAAACAGGGGAAGATAACTTCTTGTAACTTTTACTTTTTAAAGGGGAAAAACTAGGATTCAAAGAAGAGCAAAGAAAAAGAAAGACCTAAGCTATGGTAAATTTGAAAAAAAAAAAAAAAAAGTTATGGTAAATCAAGAGAACAACAGACTCAAAGAGGACATCATGAACGTTAATCAAGACCTGAACGTTAGGATTTCTGAAAAAAATTTTCAATGGAAAATAAATCCAATTACATATAAAACTTTTCAAACTTTATTCCATTAATTTTCATAGAACAATCTCATGATGATACATGGAATCAATATCTTCAAATTCAGTGATGTACCCAAAACTGTTACATAATTCTACTAATCTTGCTAGGCGTCGACTTCAAAATTTCTCGAGTCTATACGCAAATAGACCTAATTTCCGAAAGCCCTTGTCTAATTTTCTCCAATTCCAGAGCGAAATCTCTCCGAATCTCAGTCTTCACATTCACATGAGGCTCCGTGATCTTGTTGACGTATCCACGCAAGAAGCTATGCCTCAACAATGTCGAAGCGTCTTTTCTGTCTTGTGTCTCCAAAGCAAAGCAAGTCATGATAAAGAGTTTTGCATCGCAAGGAAGATCACTCGGAATCAACGGCTCGTAGCAGTTCATGAGATCCTTCAAGTCATACTTTTTATGCCACCATGGTTTCTTTCCGGTGTACATCTCCAACACCACACATCCCAACGACCATAAATCAAGGCCTTTCCCCGTCTCGCCGTGGGAGACCGATTCCGGCGACATATAGATCGGTGTTCCGGCGAAGGGAAGATGAGGTTCCCACCAGCTGCTGTCACCGTCTCTTCTCGACAAACCGAAATCAGAAATCTTCAATTCGTAAGACGATCTCCACTCGCCGTTCTTGTAGACACAACTCGGGAAAACGAGGATGTTTCCGGGTTTGAGATCGCAGTGAACATAGCCGTGTTCGTGAACCGTGGCTAACCCTTCGAGAAGCATACGGGTCAAGTCTCTGATCAAAGGATCAGGCAACTTCCTGTCCTTGAATCGGTTGATGAAACTCCTCAAGCTTCCTCCAGGTGCGTACTCCATGTTGATGTTGTACTCTGTGCAACCTTCGTCGTTGGTTCTCTCTTGCACTTTGGTTCCGTAACACTGGACGATTCTCGAACATCCCTTGAACTCAGACAGGATCTGAAACTCTCTGTAGAGAGACTCAGCGTGTTTATCGTCGGAGGTTTTAACGGCGGCGTAAAGCGTCTTACCGTCGCGCTTTCCTTTGTATTTGAAGAGGCTCACCGAACCAAACGAGCCTTTTCCTAGAAATTTTTCGAAGTGCAGCTCTGGCCCCGCCATTGCAATAGATAGCTTTGGCACCAAGCTTTTAACCAAAAACCCTAGTTGAAAGTAAAGTCTGAGAGAATTCGCAATAACTTTCGCTGTAAATATACTGTATCTAAGCTATTAACGCGTCTAGTCATAAGATCAGTGACCGACTATCTTCACTCCCAAGCTTCTTTTGTTAAAGTCTTTCGTCCCAAGCTTCTTATTTCTTTTTTACTTTATCCCGAAATATAAAGATTTCCTTTTTTCTCGGAACAGAAAAGTTCAGCTGCGGAAGAAAAAGGAAACAACAGAAAAATACCGTTGGTTTTTCGAGGTAACAACACTACTAGTCATTAATTGAGTATATCTCGTTTATTCTTATTAATGATTGCAAAATCTGTTGACCTCAAAAAATAATGAACAATCATTTTGAGTAATTTTAAAATACATATATATATATATATATATATATATAACTGAAGTCTTCTCTAGAGTCGATCAACGTGATATAACCAGTTTATTATATGATACAAATCTTCACATCATATCTATGAATGATTCAGAGCTTAATAAGAAAAAGTTAAATCTGTAATTTTTTCCTTCTACTAAACATATGAAATCAGAAGTACCACAAGAGACGTTTTCCTATCTCCTGATCCTTTTAAGCTCTTTAGCCACTTCAATCATCTTGGGAACGTCCCCTTTACGACCAATGCATCTCATAGAGAGCTCAAGAAATGCTTCCACTTGCAATTTCTCTTGATCTATGTCTCTACCCTCAACAACCAACATCTTTTTATCTACAACCTTATCAAGTCTCCCATCCTTGACAAATTTAGACAAACGTTCTGGATCTTCCTCCAAATAATCTTGGTTTTTCCAAAAGAATGGTTGTGGGCCTCGTGGCATTCTTCCAGTTAAAAGAACAAACAGAAACGCTCCAAAGCTATACACATCAGTCTTCTCGGTGACTAAACCCTTTGACATATAGTTGGGATCAATATACCCGAATGTTCCTTCCACTACATCATCTTTAACAGATGTTTCGCCTTCCGGGATGAAAACACAGTTGCAAAATTCACCCAACTTTGCTGTTCCATTCTCATTCAAGAAAATCTGACAAGGTTGTATATCTTTATGAACTAGAGTTCTTGAAAACGCCGAGTGAAGGTAAGTTAAAGCGTTTGCAATCTCCTTTGCTATAACGATTCTCATGCTCCATGTTAATGTTGGATCAATAGGACATCTTGCTCCTCTTAGGCTACGCGTTATGACCTCTGCATATTCGCAAACTAGAACCGGGTAAGGGAATTCTAGGCAGCATCCTAACAGTTTGAGGAAGTTTTTGTGACCACTCACCATTGACGAAACCGCTAAGTTGCGGTATATCTTTTCCGAGTAAATCGATCCTCCATAAGCCCATTTCTTGATAAGCACGACACGGTTATCGAGCATACCTCTGTAATGTCGGAATCTATCTATGCGAACAAGATTGCTGCTGCTGAAGTTATTGGTGGCTTCTACGATCTCATCAGCTGAGAAATTTTTTATAGGATTGGATTTAGCATCATCGCTAATCGCAATTAGCTCTTCAAGTAGTAATCTTCCGTTCTTCATAAAATTTCTCTGTAGCTCGTTGACTTCACGGTTTTTCCTTCTCCACCAAACCATCTCGACAATTTTCGACTACAGAACAAGCAAATCGCAATAGTGAAACCTTAGAAATCGCCGAGAAGAGTTTCAACTCGATTTTAAAAGGAATTGACCAAATTTTGGTTTACTTCCAGGACAAAGCATCCTGGAGATAAGTGTGTTGTATAAACTTGGTCGGAAGAGAGATATCTATCTCCTGTTCCTTTAGATTAAGTCAATAGAACACATATAATGTTATCGGTACACCAACCAGTAGACGAAAATACTCCCGGACGTTTGTGTGGGTGATTCATGAATGAATGTGATTGAAATATTTCTTATGCATATAGTTTAAGCTCCTAACCAGATAATCAAATATATTTTAATTTTAATTCTAACGTAACGTGGTATAATATTATACGCTGTGTAGTAATACTAAATGATACTTTGAATGATGTTTTTTTTTTCAATGCATGCAATTTTAAGAGAAAAAAACTGGCGTATATATTCAATACAATTATGGTAGTAAATATGAATATAAGGAAAATATAAGAAAAAAAAACAACAAAAAAATGGAAGAGAAGAACAATTTTCTTATTAATCAGAGTAACATACATGTCTGACCATAATCAAATTATTTCCTCTCTCGTCTTATTCATTTTGCCTGTCCAAACAACACATACAAAATCGGACATAGTAGAAATTGATAGAGACATCAATTTGGTATTCTTTTTATAAATAAAAGCTTAATTAGTTCAAGTAGTAGGTGAAGAGAGACACAAGGGAAGCCCCAACCAAAGAACCAAGAGCTGGTACGGCTAAGGAGGCTCCGCTTGAGGCGGGTCCTGGTGCCGGAGCTCCAACTTCGGCAGCCATGACGGTGGTCATGGAAGCAGCAGCGAAAAGAACTCCGCAGGCAATGTTCTTCATCTCCATTTTTAGTTGAGACCTGAAAGGTTTTTTTTTTCTTTTCTAGTTTTGTTTCTTTTGTTTATTTATTTTTTTTTGGTTTCTTGCAGGTCTGAGGGACACGAGATAGTTTCAATGGGAATTTATACGGGATGTAGTTAACTTATGTTTAGGAAAGTTTATTTTAGAAATCAATTTTTAACCAAATATACAGAAAACTACATCGTCGATCAATAACGTAAGTTAAGGTAACTCACCGTTGAATCTTTATCTAATTGCATGTGTGGCTTTGAGAAATTTAAGCGTTCTCATCCATATTTTTACCGGGTCAAATATACATTTGTAATTTGTAACTCTAATTAATTATTTACCAGCTATGTTGTTGTTTGGAATATTGAACTTAAAATAGTCGGTCGAGATTAGTGAGTGGTGAGTGATGATAGTTATTGTGATGTCTTAGTTCTTTATTGCTAATTTAGCAAATATGACATATCGGTTTATTTGGTTTTGAGATGTATAGAATTTGGATAGATACTTTTTTGCTTGGAACTAAAGAGCGTTGACAATTCCCTCCCGTTGTATTGTGGTCCTTCCTCATAGGTTGGCATATGTAGCAACATGCAGAGGCTGGTTTGAATGTTTTATAATGGATCTTATGAGGTACAGTGTCTTCATTTCGTTTTCTTTATCTATGGATTCTTTAAAGAGCTAAAAAGCCCACTAAGCAGACATAGTTTGTGACTTTCTATGTTCATTTGGTTAGTGTAAACTATTTTGATTCGGTCCGATATGAAGTCGAGTTTGGCATAGCATAACCTAAAAATACTAAATCTAAAATCTGAAACTTTTAGGTAAAGTCGATTTTGCTGGTAGAGATTTTGGTATTAACTTTGCTGATGAAAGACAACAAAGTGATCAAATTTGAAGACTTTTGAGAAATAATAAAGAGAAAGAAAATACAAAGAGAATAATTAGAAGGGGAAGAAAGAATGAATTAGCTTCTGCTCTGCTTTTTCTTCACCCCTACTTTTTCTGTTTATGCTTCTTTTTCTTTGCTGTTTGGTTTTGTTTAAAGCTGCGTCCAAATCAGCTTTTTCTTTTAAATTTTAGCGATAAACTGATGAATAAATTCTTGAAAATATATTTTAAAAAATTATTCGTGAGTATAATATATTCTCAATCGGTTTGGTGTTATCTTGAATAAGATACTCCGAATAAGTTTTGTGCTTTGTGTTTGATCACATCACCACAAAGCTTTTCGTAATTAAAATATTAATGGAAATATCAAAGGTGATAAAGAAAATCACTTAGGAACAAACATATGAACCGAAAGTTATTCACTGAAAGGTGACGATCAACTATTGGTTTCCTTTTCCAAATCTATTTGCTCTCTTTAATTAATTTTATAAGAAAAAGGTATATATATAAATAAAAAATAACCAACTTAAATAAGCATCATACTGGCACCGTACGCTCTAGCAAAAGAAGACAAAATATGTGATCAGAAAATAAATAAACATGTTCGCACTAATTTTTTGGTTTTCTTCGTTTTCTGATCATGGAATAATGATACGAAAGAGTCCAAAGAAAACACTCACGTGAGCTCGAGGATTAAAATTGGTTGCACCAAGGAAAAGAAAGATATTAAAAATAAATTTATCAAAGTTTAGATAATGTAAAGTATTAATAAAAGAATTACTGAATGTTAATCAACCCACCAGGCACCAGGCCACCACCACCTCTACACAAAGCTAAATTTGCATATTCCAAAAACATAAGAAAAATAAAGTGTAATTGATTAATGTTCATCAAGATTGACAGATGAAAAGAAAAGAGAACTAACTTAAGAATCTTTTTTATATTACATTTAAAGATATATATATCACTTTCACCTGCCCCATAACGACATCCACATCCTTTAGAAATCCAAAATAAATCATTTATAAATTTCCCCCACTCAACACTATCCAACAAAGTTATATTAATTTATTGCACTAATGCTCAAATGAATAGTTAGTTACAGAGCATTTAATAAATAAATAAACACATGTCTCAAAAAGAATTGGTTTCTGACGCTCCTCTGGTTTCTCTCCTCAAAAACATAGGAGTATATAATTAAAAAAGGTATACTTAAGAAACCAAAAAGATTATAAAATTTAATTTCAGGGTTCTCATAACAATAACAATAATATAAAAAATTATAATAATAATAATTAATAACAATAACAATAATGATAATGATAATGGGAGAAAGAAATCCTAAAAAAAAATATGAAAATGGGAGGAAGGTTTTTCTCCTTCTCCTTTCTTCCCATAAGCCTTTTTCTTGTTTTGTTCCCTTTCTCTTCTCTAAAATAAAAAAGAAAACCCCATCTCTGTTTTTTTTTTGTGAAAATTAAATGACCAAAAACAAAGAAAACTTCTTCACTTCCTTCTTTGTTAATCATGTTACCCTTCTACCACCACCACCACCTGTAAAAAAGAGGTTTTTTATATCTACCACAGAGAGAGAGAGACCAGACCACAAAATGTGAATTCTTTGGTTATGGCCTCTCAATTCTGCTGAGCTACGAGCTGATCGAGCTGCATTTGCTCAATCCAAGCTTCTAGCCCAGCATGATCCATTACCGCTTCAACCGCTGTTGGCTGCTTCGCGTTTTCGCTTGTTGAAGACGACGCTGCTTTCTCTTTGGCTTCGGTTGGAGACTCCTTCACCAGTGACTGAACCCACGAAACATCAGGCTCTTCGCCATCAAACGACGAAGATGATCTCAACTTACCAAGTGCCTCTGAGCTCATTCCCCAATCCGGTTTACCATTTGATGATCCCCATTTCGACGACCACGAGCTGTTGTTGTTAACCGGTGAACCAACAACCGGGCTCGTGTTTGTTCTAAGCTCCCTGGAGCTAAGGCTACGAAACTGATGCTGTTGCTGCTGCTGCTGCTGCTGTTGCTGCTGCTTCACGCACTGAGCCAACATGGAAACACGAGAACTCATGGGTGAAATTGGCTCAACCACATTACGAGGAGACATTCTTCCTCCTCCCGAAAACAATGAATGATCAACGCTCTTCGGTGAAGAGAAACTCGTGTTGATCGGAGACAACATGCTCTGCTGCTGCTGCTGCTGTTGCTGGAACTGGTTGAAGACAGCTGATTTGTGCGTGGGCGAGAAAACCGCGGAAGCTAAACCGGAATCGGTAAACCGAGGAGACGAAGATCCTTCCGCTGAGAAAAGGTCTTCGAGATTCGAAGGAGGCATCGACTTCATCCGACCAGAACGGCTCAGCGAGTTGGAGAACTCGTTGAGGAGCTGCTGCTGCTCGTAATCCGCTAACATGTTGAACTCGTCCTGAGGGATATCTCTCGCATTGAGAGAAGACCTTAGCCTGCTTGACTGTAGATTGCTTCCGGGTAAATGCAGAGCAGGGACATTCGGCTGCGGCCAAGCCATGTTAGAGTGAGACATCCCGTTCCCCGCTGCAGACGGCGAGAGCGGAGACATGACGGAAACACCCGACGGAGAACCGGGAAGGAGACTCAGAGCCGCTGCATAATCAGCATTGGATCGAGGCGAAGGAACCGCTGAACCGGTCGACGCGTACAACGGTCGAAGCTCCTCGGGCGTATGCGCAAAGAAACAAACACGACGAGCACAGCCTGTTCCATCTTTGCAGAGACGGGTCCTGTACTGAGCCGGGTGAAGCCAGCATTCAAACACACCGTGCGCGTACTCGCACATGTCTCCTCGTCTACAAGCGCCTTTCCTAAAATCCGGACACGGGACACAGCTGTAATGGAACTTCCTCGGGTCTCTCCTCCTCGCGTTCTCGCCGGGGTGAACAAAAGGACACTCGGTCCAATCGTGCGAATACGCGCGCGAGCAAGGTCTGACCTTGAAGGAATACATTCTGAACTCATCAGTCGCGTAGATACTGTTCTTGATATCAGGTAAAGACGGATCAACAGGGTACTCTTTCTTGAATTCAGTTGACTTCAGCTTGAACGGAGAGTCAAGCGGCGATCCAGACCCTGGCTCACCGTTCTCTCCGGTAGGAGATTGAGACGGAGAAGTGCTGCTTCTGCTCGGAACATTCGTCACAACGCGAAGATTCCTTTCCGCTGTCGACGATCCATCGGCGGAGAGAAGCTCCTGAAGCATAAGCTTCACACCTTCAAGCTTAGGAGGAACAACAATAACGTCTCCAGCTCGTTGACCTTCAGCATCCAGCAGATTCAGATCAGCTCCAGCTGCGAGAAGCAGCTTAACCACTTGGATAGCGTTCACAGCACCTCCAGAGGCAGCGCAGTGTAGCGCGGTGGTCTGATCGTTCCCACAAGCTCGGTTCACGTTAGCATCAGTCAAAGAGACGATGAGCTTGATCACATCGATGCTTCCGTAAGTCGCGGCGACCATCAAAGGAGTCCTCTGGTGGTTGACCATAGCTTTGGAACCTTTTTGACGGCCGTACCAGAGACCAGCTTCGTCTACGCAAGAAGGGTCTCTCTCAATCGATAGCCTTACGCCTTCCACATCGTTGTTTGCTGCAAGCTCAAGCAAGCTCGCGAACGTATCCTCTGTTTCGACTCTCAAGTGATTCATCTCTGTGTTGGTTAAAAGATTTGTATCTTCGGAAGATGTTGATGACACGATCTGGTTTAATCGGTCTGATCCACAGCACATACTTCCATCAGTAGAATCGGATTCTGTATCATCATAAATTTCAATCAGAATAAGATCACTCACATAATAATATAAACAAACAATTAGATAGATCATATGATAATATTGAAAGCTAACATAGAATCTTTCTGATTCCTTTCTCCATTGATTTGAAGAAACTAGAGAGACTAACAAACCAGATCGGGGGATACTCAAACTAAGATAAAACTCAGCTTAAGTCATTTTCAGACAAGAAGGGGTTTTTGTCTTAACGATTTCCAAAAGCAACCGTTTTTTTTTTCTTAACCAGTAAGTCAAACAGATTTCAAAGAAAGAATCAGGCAAGAAGATTTTTGTAAAGA